CAATATATAGAAAAATTAATGATCATAGTCGAGGATAAGGTGCTGAGGGCTGGTTTGTGTTTTGAAATTGTAAGTCAAAGAATAAATCAGATTTTAAAAGAAGAAACTGCCAGGCGTGGTGATGCATACCTTTCATTTTAACACTCAGGAGGTAGAGACAGGTGGATATCTGAGTTCAAGGCCAGCCTAGGCTACTTAGCAAGTTCCAGGCTATGTAGAGCAACACAAGGAGGTTCTATCTCAGACAACAAAACTTAAAGAAGAAACTATAGGATTTATTCAAACTAGTTTTGTGATTTAACAGGGAAGGAAAAATAAGTCATTTATGATTCTATGATTTGTAATACAGGAAGCAAAAAAGGGCAGTAGCCAGGACAAAATGACCAGGAAGCAAAGGCCTGCTTTTAGTCTTGAATGTGTGACTCCTGAGGTTAAAGTATGGTTGTCCTGATGGCATCATTTTCTCTCTGGCAAAGATACTGTGTAAAAGAACACAAGATTAGAAAGCAGGAAATCTAGTCTTCAAGCCAAATCACTAATTAGCTTCATGGCCCTGGGAAAATCGACATCTCCGGTATTCAGTGTAGTTATCTAGCAAGTGGAGCTAATGCACATCTGCCTTGGCAGCCTTCCAGGGTTGTTTTGCAGATGAAGTAAGAATGCACATTGGGGGCTGGAGAGATGACTGAGAGGTTAAGAGCACTGACTGCTCCTGTGGAGGATCCAAGTTTGGTTCCCAGCACCTATCTTGAACAGCTTACAGCCCCCTTGTAATTTCAGCTCTAAGGGATCTGGAAGCCTCTATGGGCACTTGAATCACATGTATGCACACTCGAGGTGTGTGTGTGTGTGTGTGTGTGTGTGTGTGTGTGCATATGCAATTTAAAAACATAGTACTAAGAATACTTATAGTATTATACTATAATATACTTATACTAGGAATGTTTATAGTACTAGGCATGTAGCTGGGTAGTAGAGCAAATGTTAGGGTACACAGGCCTTGGGTGTGATCCCTAGTACTCTCAGGGATATAAAATCATACCCTTGTCGTTGCAATTCCCCATGCAATTATAAGATGGTCATGTCACTTCTCAGTTCAAACTAAAACAAAATATTTGTAGTTAGGGATAGATCAGGCAAAATAAGAAAAACATCAAAATTCTTAATAGCTTTTGTTTGGTTATTAGTGAAAAGCTTAGAAACTTGAGTCTTAACACATGTATCTGAAACTCATTTGGAAGCTTATGTCATCAATGATGGTGATCACAACTAAAAATACAGGTTGCATCTTGTTGGCTATTAATATTTAACATGCCTTTAAGTTGAAGTATCAATGGAAAGTTTTTATTGCAATCTGTGCGGTGCTCTGTGTGTGGTAACAGAGTCAGAAGTCGTCCTTTGTAGATTGCTCTTCTGTTACTGTGATTAAAAACCGTGACCAACCTTTAATCCCAGCACTCGGGAGGCAGAGGCAGGCGGATCTCTGTGAGTTCAGGCCAGGCTGGACTGACAGCCTCCACTGACTGACAGCCTTACGAGAAACCCTGTCTCGTAAAAAAAAAAAAAAAAAAAAAAATCCGTGACCACAAACAACTTGGTTCTGGAGGGGAGGGTTTGTTTCATCTTATACGTCTAGGTCATCATCCATCTTTGAGGGAAGCTGGGCAGGAACCATGAGGAGTGCTGCTTACTGATATGCTCCTCAGTTAGCTTTCTTAGGTAGCACAGGCCTACTGCCTAATAATGGTACTGCCCACAGTGGGCTGGGCCTTCCTGTACCAGTTAGCCATCAAGAAAATGCCCACAGACATGCCCTCAGGCTAGTCTGATGGAGGCAGTCCCCCAGTGAGACTCTCAGATAACTCTGGGCTGTGTCCACGTTGACAGCTGCAGCCAACTAGGAGAATCTTCTTAGGTCTGTTGCTGTGAGCTATGTTTTTATCAAGGATCAGATTGCAGAAATGTCTCTATGCTTGCTCTGTATCCTAAGACATTACTCCTAATACTTCTGAGCCAGCTGAGTTGACGCTTAACAGTCAGTTGATGGAGTTGTGTTTACTTGTCTCAATTCTCTCTGCCCCTACTTCTCCATCTGTCATAGGAGATAAAATCTGGGGAAAGGCTACTGGGAGGCTTTCATGTTGAACTTTATATAAAGCACTGTTTAAACATTAGAAGTAGTCATTAGAAGAGTTGCTATTTTGACAGTTGTCCAGGAATAAAGCACATGAACAAAAAGAATGAATTCTCTAGAAACTGATAACTTGAAGGAGGAAATAATGTAGTGCTAAAGACCATGGGCTTTAGAGGCACATGAACCTGTCTTTATTCAAGCCAGTGCTACCCTTTGCTTTGTGGTTTAGGCAGGCCACTTAACCTCTCACTCAGACCTTCACATTCTTGTATGGGAATCACAATACCTAGCTACTTAGCAGGTTGTTATGAATGGTCAATGAGATAGCATGAAATAGCTGGCCCAGAGGAGATAGAAAGTGAGAATGTTGCTTTCTCTCCATCATCTGTTGCCTTGGTGGAGAGCAAATCTATGAGTTGGAGGTAGTAGTCTTACCCATTTCTTTGTTTTTTTTTGTTCTTTTTATTTTTATTTTTAGATCTTCTCTGTAAATAGCCCTGGTTGTCCTGGAACTCACTGTGTAGACTAGGCTGACCTTGAATTTAAGAGACCCTCCTGCCTCTGCTTCTCCAAGTACTGGGATTAAAGGTGTGTGCAACCATACCTGGCCATCATTTGCCTTTTTATTTTTGTTTGAAACTTTAAAAAATCTCTAGTTATTTGTATGCTTACAGTACAACAAACAGCAGCTATATGAGTGATGGATATATGGATAGGGTTTTTTCCTTTCTGATTTGCTATTTTGAGTTTGGATTTCTCTTTCTCTTTCATGCAAGGGATCATGGGAAACACAATTCAGTACTTGACACTACTCAAACTAAGATGGTAGACACTGTCAATTAATCATATAATTGAACTGGTCTGTATGCCTCAGATGTTGTAATTTAAGAAAAGCGTGTGTGAGAGAAAGATGCCACGAAACAGGGTTCAAGCAGAGGAGGTTTTTTTTATTAGGGAAAGGGATCATAAAAAGGGGAAAGGGAAGAGGGGAGACCAGCTTTCAGAGTCAAGAGCAGCAGGAGAGATGAGAGAGGGAGAAGGAGAGAGAGAGAAAGAGAGAAAGAGAGACAGAGAGAGACAGAGAGAGACAGAGAGAGAGAGAGAGATGGGAGATGGGAGATGGGAGATGGGCAGGGCCCGTTTAAAAGGGAACATAGTGAATATGCATAGGTGGTGCTCTTAGTGGCTGCAGCTGATGGTGTATCCCGTCAGAACCCCAAGGACAGGCCAGTGCAGATGCTTGAATACTAACATCAGAAGCCTTCACAATACTTCAAACAGCTAAAATCAGCTCATCAGAGTTAATATAGTAATAAAAACCTGTTTGCTCTGTAGATGAAAATGTAGAAGTAATATATGAACTTTTCATTAATTCTTTACTTTGGATGTGGTCTTGTCCAACCTTCTGACAAGACAGGGCAGTTTTGTTGCAAATGCTTGTCTGCATTATAACATTATCACCTAGTGGGCATGTTCAGATACCTTGTAGATACATTGCATATTTGTGTAATAAATATAGTGGTGAGCTGCAGTGATCTAACAAAGGACTTGCCTCAAGAATCAGCTGGATGTGATCTTAAAATGCTTATGCTCTGACCCCTTCCCCCACACCCCACAGAGACTTTATTAAACCGGACTCTTCAAGAGTAGGACACTGGCATGTACATTTTATAATGAATCCCCTATATACACCAGTTTAAAAACAACTAGATAATGGCCAAGGGTGTAGAGAATTAGACATCTTTACACACTATTAATATGATTATAAATGGACATAGTATGGTCATAGAACAGTTTTGCAGTTAGATATAGTTTTTTTGTTTGTTTGGTTGGTTTTTTGTTTGTTTGTTTGTTTTGGTTTTTCGAGACAGGGTTTCTCTGTATTGCTTTGGAGCCTGTCCTGGAACTTGCTCTGTAGACCAGGCTGGCCTCGAACTCACAGAGATCTGCCTGCCTCTCCCTCCCAAGTGCTGGGACTAAAGGCGTGCACCACCAATGCCTGGCTCAGATGTAGTTTTTAAATCTGCCCTGTATGAATAGATATATTTATAATTTGAAGCTTTTTTTGTTTTGTTTTCCCCTCTGTTAGACAGGATTTCCTTATATATAGCTCAGTTTGGCCTCCAACTCAAGATCCTTCTATCTCTACCTCCTCAAACTTGGGATGACAGGCATCCGATAGTGTGCCCTGCTGAAGGAAACATTCAAGAGCTGTGTGTGGTAGTACATGCCCACAGTCCCATTACCCAGGGGCAAAGTAAGAAGACCAGGAGTTTGAAGACAGCTTAGGCCACATAGCAAGACTATGCCTCCAAAAGTTTTCTGTAGACATGTTCATATACTAAAAGCTTGTAAGCACCTAATGATTTAAAGTACATACATAGTTGAAAGCTACAGTTTACTACACAACTGTTTAAAGAATGAAGTGTATCCAGCACTAGGGGGCAGAGACAGGCAGATCTCTGAGGTCAAGACCAGCTGGTCTACAGAGCAAGTTCCAGAACAGCCAGAGCTACACAGAGAAACCCTGTCTCAAGAAAGTAAAGCAAACAAAAATATGAAGAATGTATGTATGAGAATTACTTATACATGCTAAAGTTGTTATGAAAGTAACTGGGATTTTTTTCTGGGTGAGATGGTGTTCCCATAATCCCAGTATCTGGGAGGATGAGGAAGGAGGCTCCTAGTTTAAGGGCAGCCTGGGCTCCATAGTAGATCCTATTTGTTTTATGTCAGAAATATGTAGGCTTAATGTCTGCATATCTGAATTTGAAAATTAGGTTTAAAACACTTTATAATACTTATCAATTGGTTGTCTTCTTGCCTATTAGAATTTTAATACTTTTTCATCCTCTTCTAATTTTAGGCTCGATGAGAGAAAGGGAAAGTTAAGGATGCTGGAGCAGAACAATGGATTTCTCCTTCTCTTTCATGCAAGGGATCATGGGAAACACAATTCAGCAACCACCTCAACTCATTGACTCCGCCAACATCCGCCAGGAGGATGCCTTTGATAACAACAGTGACATTGTTGAAGATGGTGGCCAGACACCCTTCGAAACTACTTTGCAACAAGGTTTCCAGTATCCACCCACAACAGAAGACCTTCCTCCACTCACAAATGGCTACCCACCATCGATCAGCTTGTATGAAACTCAAACCAAATATCCACCATACAATCAGTATCCCAATGGGTCAGCCAACGGTTTTGGTGCAGTTAGAAACTTTAGCCCCACTGACTATTACCACTCAGAGATTCCAAACACAAGACCACATGAAATTCTGGAAAAACCTTCTCCTCCACAACCCCCACCTCCTCCTTCGGTACCACAAACTGTAATTCCAAAGAAGACGGGCTCACCTGAGATTAAACTAAAAATAACCAAAACTATCCAGAATGGCAGGGAATTGTTTGAGTCCTCCCTTTGTGGAGATCTTTTAAATGAAGTCCAGGCGAGTGGACACACCAAGTCAAAGCATGAAAGCAGAAAGGAAAAGAGGAAAAAAAGCAACAAGCACGAGACACCCAGATCTGAAGAGCGCAAATCACACAAAATCCCCAAGCTAGAGCCAGAGGGGCAGAATGTAAGTTGAGACATTTCATGTAAAGTTTTGTAATCTTTTATGTTTACTGGAAGTTGGAAATCTTTTTAAGTGTGTTTTTCTCTTCAAATATATTTCTGATGAGTTCTTTCCTGTAATCATTAGCAAGGTGTTTGGAAATATTAGAATTAATGAATAAATGCTTGGTGTGTATAATGGACATTGTAATTGAAGAGATATTTTAAAAGTGTTTGGCATGAAGAATCTTGTTTCTTTTTCTTTTCCTTTTTTTTGGACAAGGTTTTTCTGTGTAGCCTGGCTGTCCTAGAACCCTCTCTGTAGACATGGTTGGTGCTAACTAAGCAGAAGTAGGAGGGAGAGCTATTTACAGTCAAGACGTTCCCCAGGGGTTATGTCTGGGAAGTAGAGACAGATGCAGAACAGTAGAGCTCTGTGAATTGAGGCTATCCTGATGTACAGTGCCAGTTCCAGGCCAGCCAGGACGATATAGTGAGACCCTGTCTCAAAAAAAAAAAAAAAGAAAAAAAGAAAAAAGAAAAACAGATTATTCAAACATGCTGATTAGGACTTTAGGCAGAATTTTTGGTTTTTCAAGACAAGGTTTTTCTGTGAAACAGTCCTGGCAACTCATTCTTTAGATCAGGCTGGCATTGAACTCACAGAGATCCACCTGCCTCTACCTCCCAAGTGCTGGGATTAAAGGTGTGGGCCACCACTGCCCAGCCAGGCAGAGTTTTTATAAAAGCTCATGTGTACTGGTGGATTTTTGTTGCTGTTATTTATTTATCTACCTATCTACCTATCTACCTATCTACCTATCTACCTATCTATCTATCTATCTATCTATCTATCTATCTATCTATCTAGTTTTTAATCCAAAGGCATGAGCCACCATGCCCAGCTCTGGTAGATTATTTTACTGTCTGAGATTTGATTGTGAAGTTTCATGGCAATAAGATAATAATAGCAAGTATGTAATAGATCAGTTCTAACTTCAATGAAGAGGTTGTGATATAGGGCTAGAGAGATGGCTCAGAGGTTAAGAGCACTGACTGTTCTTCCAAAGGTCCTGAGTTCAATTCCCAGCAACCACATGGTGGCCCACAGCCATCTGTAGTGAGATCTGGTACCCCCTTCTGGACTGCAGGCATATATACAGACAGAACACTACATAATAAATAAATAAATCTTAAAAAAAAAAAAGAGGTTGTGATATAAACTACAGATGTTTCCTATATATGTATTTAGGAAGAAAATAATAAATGCTTATTTTGTGACAGTTATTCGCTTTCATATTTCATATATCTGAGTAAAGTTAATTTATTCTTTGATTTAAAGAAAGACTACTTGTTAATTGAATATTTCTTGGGTAGCTGCATCTAATGACTCAAATGTGATTGGTGTCCCCATGAGGATCACATGGATGTTTCACATGTCTCCATATTTTTCTGCCATTTTCTTATTCTTTTAACACATATGCTGACTGAATATCATGTGCTGACACCATTCGAAGAATTGAAGGTGTGACTGGATGCAAAGCAAAAGATGCCTACCTATGGGTGCTTTTTTTCCAGTTCATTCATATGCATGTGTGTGTGTGTGTATATGCATGTACACACCACACACACAAAGGTTTAAAGGATGTCACATGCTGTGAAAGAAATAGAATTGAGTGATTAGGAGCAGTCACAGATACTCAGCCATTCTGGTGTAGAATAAAGGCTTTAGAGTGAAAAAAGAATGTTGTAAGTGTCTGGGTGTCTTGCCTGCATGTCTGTCTGTGTGTCATGTCAGTGCAGGGCCTATGGAGACAGACAGGACATTGGACTCCCTGAAGTTACAGAGATCAACCACTATGTGGGTGTGGGCGTTTAAGCCAGGTCCCCTGGAAGAGCAGCCAGTGCTCTTAACTGCTGAGCCATCACCTCTCCAGCTCCTCCCTTTTCTTTCTCTTTCATTGGCTTTTAGAGTTAGCATACCATGAAATGCTCTCTACAATGCACTGTTTCTAAAACATTTATTGTGTGTGTCTGTGTGTCTGCGTGTTCATGCACATGTATACATGCATGCCATACTATATGCATGGAGGTCAGAGGATAACTTGGCCAAGAAGGTTCTGCTCTTTTATAGTTGATCCCAAGAATTGGACTCAGGTTGTCAGGCCTGGCAGCAAGTGCCCTTTATCTTCTGAGCATTTGTTCTTGTGTATGCATGCATGTGCATACAGGTGCCCGTGGAGGCCAGATTTAAGAGTTACAGGCTGGCCAGGCAGTGGTGGAGCACACCTTTAATCCCAGCACTCGGGAGGCAGAGGCAGGCAGATCTCTGTGAGTTCAAGACCAGCCTATTCTACAGAGCAAGTTCCAGGACAGCCTCCAAAGGTACACAGGGACACACGCATGCATGCAGGCATGCACGCGCGCACGTGTGCACACACACACACACACACACACACAGTTATAGGCTGTTGTAAGCCACTTGCTGTGTTTGTTGGGAATGAACCAATTGAACGTGGGTTGTCTGGGAGAGCAGCAAATTTTCTTAACCACTGAACCCCTGAGCCATCTCTCCAACTCCCTCATGAGTTCTTGATGTTATTTGTTAAACACCCCACACAGAACTACCTTCCATATATCTTATATTGACTTTATGTTGAGTAAATTAATAAGTGGGAGGATAGAAGTTAATTGTGTGCTCCAGACATACTCAACATAGCATTTCTTTTTACTCTAACTTTGCACAGGGTAGGCACGTGTGTACCACTGCGCAACACTCCAGCCCCATTGTAACATTTCTTGTCTAGACCTACAGTGAAGAGAGATGAGTACACAATGGCTTTGGAGAATCACAAAACTTGAGAAGATCTGGATTTGGCTTTTAGCTCATTAGTTTCTAAGAACTGCTGTGCTGAGCTGGCTTTTGCTATAAAGATTCTGGCAAGTAGGGTAATATTCAGCTGTATTCATTAGGCTACACTTTGTGATAGAGTTTGTTAAAAACATGTCCTAATGGTGCATAATTGTAATCACAGCACTTAGGAAGTAGAAGCAGGAGGATCACAAGTTCAGAGTTATCTTTGGCTATATAGTGAGTTTGTGGTTAACCTGGGCTACATGAGAGCCTGTCTCAAAAGACTAACAGAATAACAAAAAATTCAGCACAAACAAAAAGTACATGAAAACCCCTAATAGAACAAGTGCCAGGAGCCATGAAGCAAGATTAAATTGTCTGTTTTGTTCTTGAAGTAGCATTCTGCTTTATTAGAATTCAGGAGCCATGTATGTAGAACATGTCTGAAACCACAACACTTACCTTCAGACAGGAACATTTACAGAGAACAAGACAGACGGGGGAATCTGTGCTGATGGAAGAAGAGTGGGGTGTGGACTATTAATAAATGCCCCTTTGCTCTTGAAAATGTTCACACACTTAAAAAACAGTAACAGCATAAACTTTGTTACTCAGACGGTAAAAGAAAAGGGTACACTTTATCTTCTATAGATTTTTTCCTTTGTGTGTATATGTGTGTGGTCTGTATGTAGTATATGTATATGTGTATGTGTAAGTGCACGTGCCTGTGTGATGCATGTAGGGGCAACAGGAGAGTCAAGGAGAATGCTGGGTCTCCCACTTTATCAGGGTCTATCTTGTTCCCTTGGGATAGGTTCTGTGCCTGGAGCCGTGTTGGCAGTAAGCCCCAGCAATTCTCCTGTCTCCATTCCTCACAGTGTTGAGGTTACAGGTGTCCATGCTTGACTATTTTTTATGTAAATGCTGGGATCTGAACTAAGCTTCTTATGTTTGCATAACAAGTTATCTTGTCAACTTGGCCATCTGTCCAGCCTCTTTTTTTCTCATCATTAATGTGAATGTTAATATTTTGTTCTTTTGGGGAATATGATTTTGCTTATATCTTTGGAATTTATTTAGCTAATATAGTTGGAACATATTTCACTTATTTACTTATGTTTGTCTAGTGTGTGTGTGTGTGTGTGTGTGTGTGTGTGTGTGTGTGTGTGTGTTGATTCCATGGTTTAGCTGGAGTAAGGCTAATGTGAACATGTGTAGTAGATACAGCTTTCTGAGATTCCGTTGTCTATTTGAGGGTACAACTAGAAGTAGAATTATTAGACAGGGAGGAATCCTGTTGTTTTGTTTTGTTGAGACAGGGTTTCTCTATGTAAATAGTCCTGGCTGTCCTGGAACTTGCTTTGTAGGCCAGGCTGGCTTTGAACTCAGAGATCCACCCCTCTCTGCCTCCGGAGCGTTGGGAATAAAGGTGTGTGCGGTCCGTCCTCATTTTGCTCCTTGCATGTGTGCATGGCAGCACTGCAGAAGCATGTAGCAGAGCTTGGGGCTCTGTCAGTTGCCACTGCCTTGCACCTGGGTTACTGCAGTATTCTAGCTGAGCACTCTGCTTCCCTCCTGCTTTCTACATGGCAGCCAGCAGCATCTTTTAAACAAAAGTGACTTACTGCTTGTCTGCCTCAGTCTCTGGGTGATTTTCATTGTGCTCGAGATGAAGTAAAACGCTTTGTCGTGGTCTACAAGGCTCTTGCACTCTAGCCTGCTCTTCCATTCTCACCTTTTAGCTGCTCCTTTCCTTGGTCAGTGGGTCAGTAGTGTGACTTAAAAAAAAATAACTAGTTAATTATGTTAATGTGCATAGGTGTTTGGCCTATATGTATGCCTGCGCTATGTATGTGCCTGGTGCGTGAAGAGATCAGAAAAGGTGCCCAAACCCTGGAAGAGCTTCCAGTGCTCTAACCACTGAGCCATCTTTCCAGCCCCAATAGAACGTATTCTTAAAACAGGCCTTTCAGAGCCAGGGCAGTGGCCCGAAAGGTACACACCTTTAATCCTAGTGCTCTAACACTCTGCCCCCATCTGCCTTTAACCTTGGTTACTCTTATACTGCTGTGAAGAGGCACCAGGACCAGTCCCAGGCACTCATAAAAGAACTCATTTAGAGAATTAGTCCATGATCATCATGGCTGGAAGCTCACGGGGCAGTGCTGGGGAAGTAGGGAGGCACTGGGCCTAGTGTGAGCTTTTGAAACCTCAAAGCCCACCCCTAGCAACACACTTCCTCCAACGAGACCACACCCACTCCAACAAGGCCACGCCTCCTCCTAACCCTCCTAAACGGTCCACCAACTGGAGACTAAGCACTGAAACGCTATGAGAGCTGCTCCTGTTCAAGCTTAGGCACCTGCTTGCTTCTTCCTGTTGTTGTTTTCTCCAGTCGTTACTAAGCCAGCGCCTCTCCTTAGTTACCTTGCTCAGAGGGTTCTGAGGTCAGAGCCACAGCTGTTCTTAAGCATAGGCCCTTATTTAAGCCATCTGAATTTTATCTAACTCTGAAAAGAAATTTTAAAAAAAAGAAAAAGAAAAATCTTTTGCCAGGCATGGTAGCACACACTTTTAATTCTAGCACTTGGGAAGCAGATGCCATTGGTTCTCTGTGAGTTTGAGGCCAGCCTGGTCTACATAGTAAGTTCCAAGACAGCCAGAGACCAAAACAAACAAATAAAATTAATCAATTTATTTATTTTCCTACCTATTTGTTTTTAAGGAAGTCTTATTAACTCTGGGTGACCTGCCTCTGTCTCCTGAGAAAATTTACTTTTTACAGAAAATGCAAACAATACAAAAATATAGGTTTTCTTTTAACATTTCCCTAATCTCATTGTCAAAACAGATTACTGATATAACTTATCTTATGTTGCATCAGATCTTTTCAAGGTACACATTAATTGTGATTTTCTTTTTTTAGTAAAAAGTTTGAAAATGTTGATAAATGTGTGGATTACTGCTATGCATTAATACTATAATTACCATCCCTCTGGTTAAATTTCTTCTTTTTTGTATTTCTGCAGGATTAGTTCCTGTAATGTAATTTCTGAAGAGTAGACATATTTTAGACTTTGGTTGCTAGTTCCACATGGCCTTGTAAGATACTCTGTTTTCTTTCAGCCTGTAGGAAATGAACCCAGTGCTTCAGCATGCTCTGGAAGCACTCAACCATAGGGCCACGTCATCTGACCTGCCTGTAAAACTTTTTATTCATCAATAGTGATATGCTTGTATGTGTAGGGGGATCAGAGTACAGCTTTTGCTAGTCGGTTTTATTACCCCCCCTTTTAATATAAAAATCCTGTCAACTCTGCTGGCCTCAGCTCAAGCTATCCTCCTGCCGTAGCTCCCAGGTATCTGGTGTCACAAGTGCACAGCACGGGACCCAGTATAGACATTTACTTTAGAAGTAACCTGTTCGTTTGTTTGTGGTATTGACTGTGTGTGCGTGCGTGCGTGTGTGCCTTGGTGCATAAGTAGAAGGCAGTGAAGGAGTCAACCCTCTCTCCCACTGTATGGGTTCCAGGTATTGCACTCAGGTTGTCAGGCGTGGTGGCAAGTACCTTTACCATCCTGCCAGTCAAAAGTTCACTGCTTTAAAATTTTTATTTATTGAGATATGTTTATGTTTATGAGTGTTTTGCCTGCATGTATGTGTGTGTACCATGTGCATGCTTGGTGTTTCTAGAGGTCAGAAAAAGACATTGGATCCCCTGGAACTGGAGTTGTGGGTGCTGTGAACCTCCGTGTGGGTTCTGGGAACCAAGCCCAGGTCCTCTGTAAGAGCAGCCAGTGCTTTTAACCAAAGAGCCATATCTATAGTCTTCCAAAGTTCACTTGAGAAAAAAAAGGATATATTTCTGGTGCTCGTGACTTAAAAAGTAACATAATAGTTTATACATTGAATGCTTATATTCTATTATTTTAAATTAATATTTCAGATAATATATAAAATAATAGATTGCATTATGACATTCCTCACTCATACGTGCATAAGTACCACCCTTTCTGACACCCCACCTGTCTTGCTAGTTCCCTTCCTCCCAACAAATGCCCATCTTCTGCTTTCATGTCTCAGGTGTATTGTGCACATATAATATGTATATATAATGCACTCATAGGAAGATAGATAATGGATATGTTGCCTTTATACCATAATTTAACCAATTTTATTTTATTATTATTTTGGTTTTTCAAGACATGGTTTCTCTGTGGCTTTGGAGGCTGTCCTTGAACTAGCTCTTGTAGACCAGGCTGGCCTTGAACTCACAGAGGTCCACCTGCCTCTGCTTCCCAAGTGCTGGGATTAAAGATGTGCGCCCTCACCACCCAGCCCAATTTTATTTTTATATAAGTACATTTTTTCTTTTTTGTTTTTCTAGACAGGGTTTCTCTGTAGCTTTGGCGGTTGTCCTGGAACTAGCCCTCATAGACTAGGATGGTCTCGAACTCACAGAGGTTTGCCTGCCTCTGCCTCCAGAGTGCTGGGACTAAAGAAGACTTATTTATTGAATTATGCTTGTGTGTGTGTCTATGTGGATGTGTGCACATGAGTGCTTTCAGAGGTCAGTGGCCCTGGCTCCTGGAGCTGGAGTTGCAGGCAGTTGTGAGCCTCCAGATGTGGGTGCTGGGAGCTGCAGGTGCTCCTAACTGCTGAGCCGTCTCCAGCCCCATCGACGTTGCCTCATTATGTTGCTTCTATAAGCAGGATGCTTTGCAGATCTTTATACTTAAGAGTTTTTCCCCTCGGTGCCTTCTCAGAAACAATTCTAGAAAAACGACCTGGACAAGGCTCTCTGTACACATTACCAAAGTTCTTCCCAGAAAAATTCAGGTTAGACCTTGTGAGCAGGTTCAGGTTCCTGCTTCCCTTCAGTCTGTTAACATTAAAAAGAAAGCCGGCTGGGAGCTGTCAATGGATAAAAGAGCTTTCTGAGTAAACCTGGTGACCTGTGTCCAGTTCTTGGGACCCACAGAAAGGTGGAAGGAGAGAACGGACTCCCAAGTGTCTTCTGACCTCTGCACACACATCAGTCACACAGAGCAACCAGGGTGGGGAGGGTAGATGGTAGAAAAGCCAGATTTTAAAAAGGAACAAGCCAGTTTGCTTAGAACAGTGCTGTTTGGGTGATAAAGGAAAAGATAAGAGTCCTAACTGGCTTAGGATGGAAAGTGAATGTTGGCATCATGTACCGCATAGATAATCTCCTCCTCCCTCTCAGTACTGTGCGTCCTCATGTTCTTTACCGTTTGGTTTTCTTGGATTATTCTCATACAGCACAGTTCCTAGTTTGCTGCCTCTTTATTCTGTCCCCTACATTTTTCTGCCTAGAGACCAAATGAGAGGGTGGACCCTGCACCAGAAAAACCAACAGAAGAGCCAGTGCTCAAAGAGGCCGTCCCGGTGAGTGGCTTGTTGAATACAGTGACCAGGTATGATGTCAGAAAAGATGACAGGGCTGGAGAGATGGCTCAGCAATTACGAGCTCTGGTTGCCCTTCCAGAGGACCCAGGTTCATTTCCTAGCACCCACATGGTGACTCCAGTTCTAGGGGATCCAACACTCTCTTCTGACCCCCAGAGACATTAACCACATATGTTACACATATGCAGGCAACATATTCATATACATGAAGGAAAATAAATGAATCTTCAACAACAGCAAAGGAGGTGACAGACAGTTCTTTGAAGTGTACCGTTACAGCTCCCTGCCCATCTTTTTTTTTTTTTTTTTTTTTTTTTTTTTTTTGGTTTTACGAGACAGGGTTTCTCTGTATTGTTTTGGAGGCTGTCGGTCCAGCCTGGCCTCGAACTCACAGAGATCCACCTGCCTCTGCCCCCCGAGTGCTGGGATTAAAGGCGTGCGCCACCACCGCCCGGCCCCCTGCCCATCTTTATGTCAAAAAGTGCACTGGGAAAACCTTGGGGCCTTTTAGGAATAAATTTGTTCTAAATTTACACAAATTATTTTCCTTATTAAAAACCATGATCGTTTTGTTTTCATTGGACTCTCAAAATGCTCCATCATTAGTTTGGCAACAGGAACCAGTAGTCCTGTTTCAGGGTTTGGGATGGGCTTAGTAGTTTTCCTTCATTCTTTTTTTGCTAGTTATAGATCGCAGATATGAGGGAAGAATATAACTGGAGATAATTTTACATTGCAGGCACTCTGTGTGTGTTCGTGTACGTGAGTGTGGTTGTGTGTGTGCCAAGTTTACAGCTTGGAGGTCAGAGGTCAGCCCGGGCATCCTCCCACCTTGTTGCACAGAGTGTTTCTTTGTCCCTGTGTTTGCCAGGATGCCTGGCCCATGAGCTTCTCTCCCCCTTTCATCTCCTTAGGAACACTGGGATTATGAATGCATGTTAGCACACCTACGTCATGTGGATTCTAGGGACTCTGTCTCAGCTCCTCATGCTAGAGTGACAAGCACTTCACCCACTGAGCCATCTCCCCAGCCCCTGGGAGCACTTTGGATATGCTTTATGTATAGTTCTCTCCCTTCTCTTCCCTCTTTCCCCTCTCTGTCCGCCCTCCCTCACCCTCCCTCCCTCCCTCCCTCCCTCCCTCCCTCCCTCCCTCCCTCCCTCCCTCCCTCCCTCACCCTCCCTCCCTCCCTCCATCCCTCCCTCCATTTCCTTTCCTTTTCAGGCCCTTCATCCCTCTTTCTTTCTCTTCTGATGGAGTTTTGTAACCTTTTCCTGTAGGTTCAGCCAATACTGTCTTCTGTTCCAACAACAGAAGCATCCACTGGTGTTAAGTTCCAGGTTGGTGATCTTGTTTGGTCCAAGGTGGGAACCTATCCTTGGTGGCCTTGTATGGTTTCAAGTGACCCCCAGCTTGAGGTCCATACCAAAATTAACACAAGAGGTAAGAAAAGTAATAAATAGATACTAAGTAACAAGTTTGCAATAAAGAAAAGTGAACATTTGGTGTTGTATGTGAATATAAGAATATGCATATATATTATCTGACATAAAACATTAATCTTTATCAGATTTTTATTATTGCTTATTTGTTTTTGATACAGGATCTTATACTATAGCCAAAACTGGCCTTGACTATCCAACAATCCTGCTTCTGCTCCTCAGGGTTTTCTCTCTCTCTCCTCTCCTCTCTCCTCTCTCCCCTCTCTCCTCTCTCTCCTCTCTCCCCTCCCCTCTCTCCAAAAACCTAAATAAATAAATAAATAAATAAATAGATAGATAGATAGATAGATAGATAAATGCATATTAGTAAGTAATTAGATATTTTATGTGAGTTTAACATATAGGCTAAGCCTGTTTTGAACTATGCTGTGTGTTTTGTTTTGTTTTGATACAGGGTCTCATTCTGTATGGTCCAAGCTGTTCCTGAGCTCATTATTCTTCCCCTGGTAATTCTGAGTTCAGGGATTGCAGATTTATCTCACCATACCTAACTTGGCTGATCATTAGTTCACTATGTATTCCTATGGGAATCATTGTCACCCAAACAAGTGCTTTTCATTATATTAAATTTCACTCAGTGCTTTATCCTTTCCTGTTTCATTCATGACTCTAAATATACTGGGAAAGCCTTACATGCTTGATAGGACATAGAAGTATAACTTGGATCTAGTTATAATAGATGATCTTAGTTTAGGAATGTTCAAATTAAGAAAAGTTATGTTCCGTGTGTATTTTGTCCAAACATGATGTTTGATTTTGACAAAACAGGATGGGTAGTAGATTCCCAGGATTCTCCCACCTGGAAATAACCTACTTAGTTCAAAGAAAGTGTGGCTTGTAACTTAATTTTAGGGTACTTGCTTTGGGAACTCACTTTTGTAATGTGTTGAGTTCTGTGACAATTTTCCATCTTACTCTTTTTCTTTATATATCAAACTTCCTTCTTGATACCTGTTCACCATCAATGAAAAGAAAAAGGTATCTGTTTAAATCTAACAAACAGATTTGTGGGTTCCACCTTATTGGTGACACTTAGCTAAAATCTGCCTTAGTATACTAGGTAGTATGGCTTACTATTTTAGTGTACTGGGTAGTGTGGTTTGCCATCTTAGTGTACTAGGTAGTGCGGCTTACCATCTTAGTGTACTGGGTAGTGTGGCTTACCGTCTTAGTGTACTAGGTAGTGTGGCTTACCATCTTAGTGTACTAGGTAGTGTGGCTTAACCATCTTAGTGTACTAGGTAGTGTGGTTTACCGTCTTAGTGTACTAGGTAGTGTGGCATAACCATCTTAGTGTACTAGGTAGTGTGGCTTACCATCTTAGTGTACTAGGTAGTGTGGCTTACCGTCTTAGTGTACTAGGTAGTGTGGCTTACCGTCTTAGTGTACTAGGTAGTGTGGCTTACCGTCTTAGTGTACTAGGTAGTGTGGCTTACCGTCTTAGTGTACTAGGTAGTGTGGCTTACCGTCTTAGTGTACTAGGTAGTGTGGCTTACCGTCTTAGTGTACTAGGTAGTGTGGCTTACCGTCTTAGTGTACTAGGTAGTGTGGCTTACCGTCTTAGTGTACTAGGTAGTGTGGCTTACCGTCTTAGTGTACTAGGAGGTGTGGCTTACCATCTTTCATTTTGACAGTATGTGCCGATTAAAGGCTGGGCGAGTAGAAGAAGTGGGGCAGGAGTGAAAAAAATCAACATTGTCTAGCTTTGTGCAAGGTACTGTAGTGGGTGGTTCTGCTATGTATCTTCTTAAGGTTTTTTTGTTTGTTTGGAATCATGGTCTCGTGTAGCCTAGGCTGGCCTCAGACTTGCTATGTAGTTGAGGATGACGTAGAACTCTGATTCTCCTGCCTCTACCTTATGCTAGGATTACAGTTATGTGCTACAATGGCTGCTTTATAGGTGCTGGGAATGGACCCAGGGTTCTTTGCTTGCTGGACAAACACTTTGTCAGCAGAGCTGCATGTCATCTCCCTCGAGAACGTTCTAATGCGGTGCTCCCAGCAGCTGCCATGAGGCGTATCCTGTCTCAGAAAAGGAGCCTCACAAGATCTTACTGTGTGACCCTTGCTCTGCAACTCTCAGCAGTTGAATCCATGCAGTCACAACGCAGGTGGTTGGCCTGAGAGGTCAGAGTTTGTGAAGTGTCTTGAAACTCTTACAGCTCTGCGAATGAAGAACAGGGCAGTATTATCCAAGAGACTGAATCTTCTGAAATATAACAATTCCTGTCCATATCTAGGCCTTGAGAACTTTTAAAATGACAGCACAAGAGTCATGACTCTAAAGTGCTCTCAAGAAAGCAACCCTTTGAGATCATATAAGGAGTTTTTACATGTTTCTTTTTAAGATTTATTAAATTTTAAATTCTTGTGTGTGGCCGTGCGTGGGGTTGGGAAGGGCGGTATGTACAGATGTGTACAGGTGCCCTTGGAGGCTCCTATTCTCTGGAGCTAAAGTTACAGGCTCTTGTGAGCTTCCTAAAGAGTGTAGGGAACTGAACTTGGGCCCTCTGTAAAAGCAGTTACATTCATCACTACTGAGTCATCTTCAGCCCCAGGAGCTTTCACATTTAATTCATTAATTCACTCAATGTTTCCTAGGCAGTTTTGTACTTTAGTGCTAGAAAATTTGTTTATGTTACTCTTAGTGATTTGCAAATCTAGAATTTAAAAATCATTCATGTTAAAAATCAATTAAAATATTCTGAGTATAACATTTAGTAATTTATCTATTTATTTTTGTTTATTTATTTGAGGCAGGATCTCACCATGTAGTTCTGACTGGCCTGGAACACCCTGTGTAGTCCAGGCTAGCCTAGAACTGCCTGTCTGTGTCTCCCAAGTGCTGGGATTAAAGGTGTGCACTACTACCTCCCGGCCCAGAATTTAGTGATTTTTAAAAAGTTCACTCAGAGTTGTGCTACCCCACTACAATCTAATTAAGAATTTTACCCCCCACACACACACCAAAAAAAAAAAAAAAAAAAAAAAAAAAGAAATCTTACACCCAGTAGCTATCACTGAAAACTCCCTCCCACACCCTGGAGGCTAAGCTGACGTGAGAACCTTCTGCCTCTGTCTGTACCAGTCTAGTGGCTTCTTCCACTTAGCATGGTTTAGAAGTTTATCTGTGTTTTGACATGCATCGGTACTTTATCACTTTTTGTTGCTAAGTAGTATCCTGTTACAGCCACAGCATCTCTGAACACAGAGACTGGGCTTCGTTGTGGACCTGATGCCTGTGGAGCACTCTGTGCTGCTCTATATTTAAGCTACTGTATGCAGTTTATCTGGGTTGTACTTATCAGCCACTGGGTTACAATTGTTATTAGTCACATTGTTAGCACTGAACAACGTATTGCACCTACATAGCATCTTTGATTCCAGTTCCAGGGCAGCTGATGTCCTCTCCTTGAGCACCAGGCACTGCTGTACAGACATACAAGTAGACAAAACACCCCCACACGTGGTATTTATAAAATAAAAGTAAATATCAAGGTAATTCTTTCTCTCTTTGTAATTAGCAGTCATGTACATGAAGGCCTTTGGTATGAGGTTTTCCCTGGGATGGGAGTGGATTTTGTTCCTGAAGTGTCTCACTATGTTGCCCAGGCTAGCCTGGAGCTTGAGGTCCTCATGCTCTCAGAGTACTGTGTCATGTAACCCTACTTTTGCTCTGTGTGTATGTGGTGTGTTTACCTGTGCACACACTGAGAGGAGACAGGAGGACGGGCTGTCTTACTGTTGTGACTCTCCACCTCACTCCTTTGAGTCAGCGTCTCTTCAGCTGGGGCTTATCTGATGGTCAGAACGCCCACCGGTCCTGTGTCCATTTCCTCGGGCCTGGGTTACAGGCGCTGAGGCCATGCCTGGAATTTTCACCAGGGGGCTGAGGATATGACTCAGATCCTCATGCCTGTGCAGCAAGTGTGCTTATCTGCTGAGCTATCTTCTCATGTCTCAGCCTCATTCCTCATGCGTGCCTTCTCTCCCCTTCCATCCTCCACCCTCTCTCCTTCCCCTCTCCCTTCGTCCCTTCTTGTCACAGGGTCTCACTATGCAGCCTTGACTGGCCTGGAATTCGTTGTGTAGACCAGGTTAGCCTGGAACTCACAGAGACTTGTCAGCCTCTGCTTCCTGAGTGCTGAGATTAAAGGTGGGCACCACCACCCACCAGCCTTCCCATGTTTACTTAACACCAGTAATAGTTATTATTTATTTATTATCAGTTTTTAAGTGTGTTTGTTTTGCAGACAGGGTTTCTCTGTTGCCTGACTATCCTAGAACTCACTATATAGACCAGGATAGCCTCAAATTCACAGAGATCCGCCTGTCTCTGCCTCCTGAGTGCTGTAATCAAAGGTGTATGCCTGGCTTAGCAATATTTTTAAAGCTTAAAAGTATGTAATTTATCTTTGCATTGTCTTACTTAAAAATGTTTATGTGTCTGAGTATTTTGCCTGAATGTATGTATATGCACCATATGTGTGACTGGTGCCTGGGGTGCCAGTAAAGGGTGTTGCGTCCATGGAGTTATGGATGCTGTGAGCTGCCGTGTGGTGCTGAAGACAGAGCCCTAGTCCTCCGCCATAGCAATGTGCTCTAAATTGCTTTGCATCTGTCCAGCCCCTACTTTAGAACAGATTCCTAAAAAATTACCTTAGAATTCTGGGTGTGGGTATGTGCACCCGAGTACAGGTGGCCCCCAAGGTTCTCAGGGTGATTCCCCTTGGAGCTGGAGTTACAGGTAGTTGTGAGCCACTTGACATGGTGCTGGGACAGCCTCCCATCCTCCAGAAGAGCAGTAAGTACTCTTCACCCCTGAGCATCTCAGCCACTGCCTTATTCCTCATATATAAAGACATTTCTTCTACACATTCAACCTTTGACAGAAAGTTTAGACAATTTAGTCAGGTATGTGTTTGCTTTGTAAGTTTTCCTGTCTTCAGGATTTTATTTTTTATTTTGGTTTTTAGATTTGTGGGCGAGAAGAACTGGGGATTGAATCGAGGGCCCCTTATACATGATCTGACATTGAGCTACACCCTTTGTCTTTTTTATTTTTTAAAAAATGATTCATATGCCGGGCAATGGTGGTGCACTCCTTTAATTCCAGCACCAAGGAGGCAGAGACAGGTGAATCTCTGTGAGTTTGAGGTCAGCCTGGTTTACAGAGCGAGTTCCACGACAGCCAGGACTACATGCAGAGGAGCCCTGTCTCAAAAAATAAATAAAAATAAAATTAAAAAAAGTCTTGTTTCAGTGAGTCATGTAAATCTTTCATATGTTGACAGATTCCTTTATAGCTTTTTTTCTTTTTCTTTCTTTTTGAGGTAGAGTACCTCTATGTGGCCTTGGCTGTCTTGGAACTCTCTATGTAGACCGGGCTGACTTTAAAGTAAAAGAGATCCTTCCGAGTGCTGGGATTAAAAGTGTGTGCCACTGTGCCTAGCTAGATGTTTTTCTAAATCACCACTTACTTTCTCAGAAGTTCTTTGATCTGGGAAAGTAAGGAGATTCAGAGAGGCAAAGGTGGGTTTTCCAAAATCCTAGTAATTACCTGAAGGGTCAAAGTATATTATTGATAACAAATAATGTGTTTTCCTTGAAATAGGAACTCATTCTTGAGAGACATCTGCCACCTTCTCATGTTCGAATAGCAATAGAAAGGCACATTTTCTAGTGGTTGTGACATCCCATCTTGCTGCCAGATGACCATAACTAGTGCTTCCCTTAAGGCAGCCTTCTCTGTCCAGGATGCCGAAGTGTCTCGTTCATTTCTTGTGGTTTCTTACTGCACAGAGTATTAAAGAGGCACAAATTCAAGACTGAAATGCAGGAAAGTTAATCATTGTGCTGATTTATCAAGGACATCATATAAAACCATCCTTTTAAAAAAGTGCCAGTGCCAGGCATTGGTGGCGCACACCTTTAATCCCAGAACCCGGGAGGCAGAGACAGGCGGATCTCTGTGAGTTCGAGGCCAGCCTGGTCTACAGAGCGAGTTCCAGGACAACATCCAAAACAATACAGAGAAACCCTGTCTCGAAAAACAAAACAAATGCCAGTGTCGGCAGTGAAGCACGCAGTAGCTAGGTGTCACTCTGTGGAGTGTTTGTGGTACGATGCCATAGTTCTATCTGCCATTGCTTTGTCTTAAGTGTAAAAGAGAAATCAGTAATACTATTATGACAGTGATATAGGGGTCACAGGACCCATAAAACAATCTTACATTTATAACGATCCACTCAGTTCTTGGCTCTTTAAAGTCCAAGGAAACGTACAGTTTTGGAAGGAAACATTGTGTATTTATATTCTAATTTGTAAAAATATTAGAGACAAGTAAAAAATAAATTATGTAATCAAAGTAATAAATGGGGCAATTAGCAGAATTTCACATTTTTCTTTCTCTTAAAACTTGCTGCCCTGATTTTAATCATATGGAGTGATTTTATAGTATCTATTAGTTGCAAGGTTACCGAATGTTGTAGTATATCTTTGGGCAATTTAAAATGTTCAAGTTTTAATGGAAAAATGCTGAGAAAACAGTGTTCAAGGTTCCTTTGGCAAATTATATGTGGATTTTTATGTGCTAACGTAATTAATATGAATATTTTCTTACAGGTGCCCGGGAATATCATGTCCAATTTTTTAGCAACCAGCCAGAGAGGGCATGGGTTCATGAGAAACGGGTACGGGAGTATAAAGGTCATGAACAGTATGAAGAGTTACTAGCTGAGGCAACCAAACAAGCCAGCAATCACTCTGAAAAACAAAAGGTAACTATTGTGTGTGGTTTGCTTTGTTTGTTACATTGGAGATGGAACCCAGGGTGTTTCCCTTGACTGACAAGCAGTCTGCTGCCCACCTATATCCCCATTGTCCATTAACGCATTTTATAAGTGGTCATAATGATATGTGCCCATAATCCAAGCACTCATTAGTAAGGCAGATGTAGCACTTCAATGTTTGAGGCCCACCTGGTCTATGTAGTGAGTCCCAGGCCATTCAGAGCTACATAGTGAGGCCCTATCTCAAAACACATAGTAAATAATTGTATATGTCCTGCAGTATTATAGTATTACTAAAAACTCTCAGAACTGAGTCTGTTGCTCCTTTGGTGGAGTACTTGCCAGGACACATACAGCCCTGGCTTGGGTCACTGGTACCACAGAAACTGGACATGGCTGCATATCCAGTAGAGGCAGGAGGATCAGAGCTTCAAGTTTTGCTACATAGACTTTAGGGCTAACCTGGGATACATGGGACCCTGTCTCATAAAACAAAGACCAACTTTACAGTCTGTTGTGAATTGATGTGTACAAATCCAGTAGGTATTAGTGATGTTTATTTTGCTAAAGATTTTAAGTAATTTTTCTGTATTAGTATCTACCCTTAATTCTTCTTTATTTTATTAACAAAGTTATTTTATCAAAGATTTAAAAATACTCGATAAGAGTCAGTAGATTTGTAATGGCAGCATTTGAGAGGCTGACGTAAGAGGGGAGGGTCCAGGTTAAAGTCAGCTTAGGGTACACAGTGAAACTTTATCTCAGAAACCAAAACCAGACCAAATAAAAAGTTTATCTAGTGCCTTCTGTGAAATCAGTATTTTTGAAAGTATTGATGTGCTTACGTAATCTTCATAAAAATCCCGGTAAGGTATATATTTTTCTTTTCTTCAGATCAGGGAACTGAGGTACAGAAGACTTCAGTTACTGGTCGAGCTCAGGCCACAAGAATTATAGAACTTCAATGCATTTGAAGTGGTGGTGGATATTTAGACTTTTGAAACAGATTATCAGTATGTCTTGTTGATTATTTATTTATTTATTTTTTAGTTTGGTTATATTGTATGTTATTTGCATATATTCATTGTACCTAGTACTAGGTTTCATAAAGATAAAATTTTCAAGTATATCATGCAGTTAATGTAGGTCTCTTATGCTTCAGAAATTTGTAATTTTTATACTTTTAAAAGCTACATTTTGGCTAGGAGTGATTCAGTGAGTTTAAACCACCAACAGCAAAAACACCAAGTTTTATCACAAGTTTTTAAAGAAATTCAACTTCTCCTCCTCTCTTCCTCTTCCTCCTCCTCCTCCTCTTCTTCTTTTTCTTTTTTGGTTTTCAAGACAGGGTTTCTCTCCAGTTTTGCAGGCTGTCCTGGAACTAGCTCTTGTAGACCAGGCTGGTCTCGAACTCACAGAGATCCGCCTGCCTCTGCCTCCCGAGTGCTGGGATTAAAGGCGTGCGCCACCACCACCGGGCTCTCTTTTCTTCTTTTTAATAAAACAGACAGCAGAGTCCAGAAACATGGGCTCCTTTGCAGCTGTTGTGATAGGCGGTTGTGAGCTACCTGCCATGAGTGCTGAGAATCAAACTCTGGTCTTCCAGAGCACCACCCACACCTTTTCTTTGAGGGAGGGAGTGGTTTTTCCAGACAGGGTCTTCCTTTGTATCCTTGTCTGTCCTGAAACTACCAGACTGGCCTCAAACTCACTGAAATCTGCCTGCTTTTGTCTCAGCCCCTGCCCTTGCCCCGCCCCCTGCCCTGTCCCCATCCCAAGTACTGAGACTAAACAAATTTCAGTATATAAAGAGGATTTTAGTTAATTTTATCTGACTTATATTTTAAAGATTTAGTCAACATTAGCATATACTATACCATCTATAGTCTGATTTTTTTTATTATCACTTTTTTGTTGTTATTTTTTGAAATGGGATCTCACTACTATCAATTCTGCCTGGCCTGGAATTTGCTTTGTAGCCCAGGTTGGCCTTCAACTCCCAGTGATCTGCCTTTCTGTGTTTCCTGAGTCCTGAGATTATGGGTGCGTGCACCATGCCCAGCCCTATTGTTGTATTTATTCTGTTCATCTATGTATAGCTCACATGCTCTGATGTGTGTGTGGAGGTCACAGGACACTTGGGGAAATTGTTTCTCTCCTTCTGCCGTGTGGGTCCCCAGGATGGTTAGTAAGCCAGCACCTTTACCTGCTGAGCCGTTTCCCTGGCCCCTATCCGAACGGTTCTTGGTTGCTTTGCTCATCACTTTCAGTTAGTTTCTCTGGTCATCTCACACACGGTGACTGCAAGCTTTCTTCCCCTCCCGCCCGCCCAGACTCTTCTGCTCAACCATATGGAAAGGGATTCAGGGTTTGTTCATCACCACCCCACCCCCTACACACATGCTTTTCTTGGTTGTGCTGCTCTCTTGGCTTTTCTTCTTTCTCCTCATCAATCCTTGTTTGCATATTAGCATAGCTTGGCCACACATCTCCAAATATTGGCTGGCAGCAAGCTTTGCCCAGATCCCCATAGTACCTGACTTATTTGCCTTCATATGGAGGAATAGCAAGTTTGCCATGGCATGTTCAGTGCTAGTGTTTATTGGCCCCTGAAAACAAGTCATCTTTGTAGTCGTTCTCCTTTTCCATTACTAACGTTCAGTAAATACTGATGTGGAAGGACCACTCTTTGGTGCGTTGTAGCAGAGAAGTCACCAAAGAAATAGAAATCAAAGACTATACCTTCGTGCCATTTAATAGAGTAATACTAGTTTATTAATGTCATGAGATCAGCACATTCCATTTATTTGCCTGGAGAAACTGAAAATATTTATTTGTACTTGAAAGAATTTTCAGGGTGCCTGGAAAGTACATGCCAATTTTAATGTGCCTATTGGACATATATAAAATTTCACATAATGCCTGTATCTTTTTATAAAGATTCGGAAACCTCGGCCTCAGAGAGAACGTGCCCAGTGGGACATTGGCATCGCTCATGCAGAGAAAGCATTGAAAATGACTCGAGAAGAAAGAGTAGAACAGTACACATTCATCTATGTTGACAAGCAGCCAGAAGAGGCTTCATCCCAAGCAAAGAAGAATGTTACCTCCAAGACCGAAGTTAAGAAACCCCGAAGACCAAGATCTGTGCTGAACAGTCAGCCAGAACAGACCAATGCTGGGGAGGTGGCCTCCTCACAATCAAGTACTGACATTCGAAGACAAAGCCAGAGGCGGCACACGAGCGTGGAAGAGGAAGAGCCGCCTCCTGTTAAAATAGCCTGGAAAACAGCAGCCGCAAGGAAATCCTTACCCGCTTCCATCACGATGCACAAAGGGAGCCTAGATTTGCAGAAGTGTAACATGTCTCCAGTTGTGAAAATTGAACAAGTGTTTGCTCTTCAAAATGCCACGGGAGATGGGAAGTTTATTGATCAGTTTGTTTATTCCACGAAGGTACCTCTTGTTCTATAGGGGTTCGGGGAATGGTACTAAAAAAAAACCACTTAAGAATGTGATTTAAATGCCCTTTGGATCCACTGCATTTGAAGCAGTCCCGTTTACTCTGGGCAAGAAGTGAGTTCTTCCCATTTCATGTAACACTCACATCTGCAGTAGATTAATCTTGAGCAATGGAGCCAGGATCGAGCTTAGCTCCTGAAAGTCATGGAAAAATCGGGCAGTTTGCCGTTTTTCATTTGTAGAGTTAGTTTTTCTTTGTTGTAAAGTATGATTTTTATTAAAAATTTTCTTTTATCTGAATTGTTATAAAAAAACAAAACTACTGGAATAATTGTGCCTGCTCATCTGTTTGGTTGTTCCGGCAGTAGCTTTTTAGTTTAGTTTAGTTTTGTTTTAATTTTAACTACACGGTTCATTTAACTTAATGTGACTAAACATTTTGATTTGTAGTCAGTACAAAGAGGTTGGTGAACTGTTTCTTTTTTCTCTCATCTAAGTTTTTGCAATTCAGTGTATCCCCTCCCCTCCCCACCTCTCTAGAGTCTTATACAGGCCAGGGGAGCCTTAAACTCTGTGATTGAATATAGCCTGCACCTCTGATTCTCCTGCTTCTGTCTCCCAGTCCTGGGACTGTAGATATGCCCATGCAACTGGGCCATGCGCACTAGACAAGCTCTGTACTAACCACACTGCAGGTCAGCCTCATGTGGCTGCCGTGTTGGAGTGCAGTTCTAGTGAGGATTTCATGCATGTCCTTACATCTGCACATTGTGAGGTCCTCTGACTGGACATAGTGGTCTGCACCTGTCCTTCCAGCACTCAGAAGGCAGAGGCACAAGGCCAGCCTGAGCTACATAGCAAAACCTTGTCTAAAACAATAAAACAGGGCTGGTTATGCCTACCGGCCAGCACCCCTCCTAACCCTGTACCTCTACTTCAGGCTGTCTTTAAATCTAGCTCGAAGCTGCTGAGTAAAGGCCATGTTAAGCTTGACATTGCTGAGCCAGCAATTTTGTTAGATTCCTGTTAGCTTGTGATAGCTCATTGAGTTTTAGAGACATTTCATTACTACGTTGGTCCTATAATGAACTGTGGTGAGGAAAGGGTAATTAATGGTATAGATCAGCTACTAAAACTCTTTATAAGTCTACTCTGGGTTTCCATTTAAGGCAGTTAGTCTTTGGCTTGAAGGTGTCAAAATTTTTTGTGTCATTAGAATATATACATACCTCACGACCCACTCTATAATTTGGGGTTTGTGATTTTGATTTAGTTGTATCTCATGCATGTGTATATTATGGAAGTCTGTGTTTTTTTCTGCATTAACATATACACATTAAAATAGTTGATTACATATAGGGATGTTTCATTCTTAGAAATGTTCAGGGATTCTGCCTGTTAATCTGTCTCTGCTTGTGGGTTTAATTGATTTTAATACAGCTCAGTTCCCAAAAAAAGCTTAAAGAATAGCCTCCACTTGACTTCTCCGGCTTCTTTTTCCTTTGCTTTCTCCTTTACCCTCCTTCTCTCTTTCTTCTTCCTCATTTTCTTTCCTTGCCAGAAGAGAGTGTTGGGATCCTTTGGGGCTGGAGCTGTGGGCATTTGTGAGCCCCAAAATATTGGTGTTGGAGAGCAGCAAGTGTTCTTAACCACTCTCTAGCCTCAGTGTGATTCTTTTGATAGCAACATTTGCATATTGTTTGAATGCAAATTGCCTTTATTCTTAGAACAGTTTTACTTGCTTCTGTATGAAAAAATACCCCCCCACACCCTAACACTATTAAAGGAAATTCAAGATAAAACTGATCTTTGGGGACTGGAGAGATGATGACTCAGTCCTTAAAAATATTTGCTGCTCTTGTAGATCTGGATTTGGTTCCCAGCACCCACATGATAGCTCACACCCATCTGCAATCCCGGTTCCAAGGGTTGCAAGACTGCATGCTGGTCTCTACAGGCAAGCATGCAGTGCACATACATTGGGGCCAAACACTCATAGATGTAAAATGAAAATAAATCTTTAAAAACAAAGTGAACTTTTGAAAAATAAATATAACAGTTAAAATGGTTCGTATTTCATTACATTAAAAATGCCTAAATTAATGTCTAAGTTAATTGCACCTGCTGTCTGCTCCATGTGACCTATTTGATCACATTTTATAAGCATAAATGGCATATTTCTTTATCTAAAAATATTCTCATCTCAAGACACATTGGCCTTTCTACCTTTGTAACATATGACTTCACCAAATGACGGTCCTGTAAAGAAAGGAACTGTTCAGACCAAGGTTACTTTGTTTTTGACAGAGAATGGGGTGATGCAAATTAATTTATTAAGGACATTTAACAACGGAACTTAAGGCAAATAGTTTTCAATTTTCTTTCAAATAATCTCAATGTATATTTTAAAATATATCCTGATGACTTAATAAAACGTTTCTGATACGACTTATCATAATTGACAATACAAGTTTGAGCAAATTATGATTATGTTAAATCATCTTTCTAAGTTCATGACACTATGTGCCTGCTAATCGCTTTGTTTTTTTTTTATTCTGCCTCGTTTTAAAGGGAATTGGTAACAAAACAGAAATAAGTGTCAGGGGGCAAGACAGGCTTATAATCTCTTCACCAAGTCAGAGAAACGAGAAGCCAGCTCAGAACTCGTCATCTCCTGAGGCGACATCAGGTTCTGCAGGTGGGTATGACTGAGGGGCACCTGGATCCATGCTGACGGGTTCCTTTCCTTATGAAGGTAAACCGTGATGAGTGAAAACAGATCGTAATAGCACACGTGCATAGGTATTTCACCGTGAGAATTCTTGCTTCATATGATAACTCTAACTCCAGTCCTAGGAGACTTAACGCCCTATCCTGGCCTCCACAGGCACCAGATACACTCATGGTACACAGGCAGACATGTATGTAGGCAAAATACTCATCCACGTAAAACTAAAAATTTTGATTTTAAAAGCAATCATTTTAGTAGGAAATGATGAATACAATACTGGAGAGTTTTATCCATAGTTCTTTTCCCTACAGAAATTTAAATACTAGGATGGTTCCATAGTTAAGAGTATAGCTGTGCACTCAGGAGGCAGAGGCAGGTGGATCTCCATGAGTTCAAGACCAGCCTGGTCTGCAAAGCGAGTTCCAGGACAGCTAGGGCTGTTACACAGAGAAACCCTGTCTCAAAAAACAGAGACACAGAGAGAGAGAGAGAGAGAGAGAGAGAGAGAGAGAGAGAGAGAGAGAGAGAGAGAGAGAGAGAGAGAGAGAATGAGAATGGATGGCTGTAAATTCTATGATGAGTATGGTAGTTTGTGTGTAATCCCAGCCAAAAGAAACCAGCAACATTCCAGCTCAGAATAAAGAAGTAAATAAGGAGGTAAATAAAGGGTGTGTGTGGCTATGAATTATAAGCATGTCTAGGTCCTTTCTCTTTTCATAGCAGCTTACTCTTCCAGCAGTAGTGGACTTCTCATCCTCACCATGTGCTTCTTTATCCTCTATTGCAAATAAATTTGTTGGTAGATGTGTACAGTGTTAGCTCTGGGACCCAGAACCTAGCTACGCTAATGAGACTTGTTCTCTGGTCAGCAGATACCTGGGACTGAAAACTGAGCAGGGTCATTCTTCCTTAAAAGGGAGACACCTGAAGCAGGGAGTGTGTGGCTGGGCAGGAGGATCTCTGTGAGTTTGAGGCCAGTCTGGTCTACAGAGCGAGTTCCAGGCCTGCCAGGGCTGTACAAAACAAACCAAAAGGAAGGCAACAACAAACAAATGCAGAGGTAGAAGAATTCCTGTGTTTAGTAAGGGTGTGTCTTTGGAAAATTTAAGGCTATGTTTTGATTTAAAATTTTAATTTTATTCATCTGTGTGTGTATGTATGTGTGTGTGTGCACACATGTGCACACATGCTGTGACATGGCATGCATGTGGATCTCAGAGGACTACCTATTCAAATTAGTCTCTAAGGTGGGTCCTGGGGTTCAAGTGCCTGCATTCACTGAGCCATCTTACCAGTCTAAAGCTATTTTTCAAAAAGACTTACAATGTATCTTAGTTTAAGCTGGTTGCCTAGTAGATTTGTGTCATAACAACAGTACTATACGAGTGATACAATGAATGTTATTTCTATAGTAGTGCTTAATCTCAGTTGAAGAAGCTGCCGTGAGCATCACAACTCCAAGGCCAGTGTGGTAACTTAGTGAGACCTTGTGCCAAAATGAAACCCTACAGTGGGGCGGGAGCCAAGTGGTGGTTGCCTAGCACTCAGAAGGCTGAGGCAGGAGGATCCCTGTGGTCAAGGTTAGTTGGGCTATCTATAAATTTCCAGGACAGCCTGGGCTGCAGAGCAAGAACCTGTCTCAACAACTTTTCCCCACCCCTGTAGGGCTTTGTATATGTCAGTGGAAGACTGATTGCCTGGTATACAAACTGACCTAAGTTTAGTACCTAACTGAAAAGGAAAGTTTTAATAAGCTTGGGCATTTAGAATCTTATCTTAGAAATAAGAGCTTATTTTATTTTGCTCTTTAAAAAAATTTGATTTCTAAGAAATGATTTTTATAATATATATACAAATATATTTTAAAAAACTCTGTTCTGGCATACATTGGCCATTTTGCATACTCCTGTGACCCAGATGAGTAGATGATTTTTTCTCTCATACTGACCAGTTCTTAGACACTTGCTAAGCGACTTTTTATTTGTGAGACAAGGTCTTATTGTATGGCTCTGACTGGTCTGGAACTCACTGTCTAGGCTGGCCCTGAACTCACATGTCTCCTGCTTCTGCCTCCTTAGAAACTATGTGTCACCTGAACATTTATTTGATCACTTCTCACACTGTCAGACTGTTCAGGTTTAAACTTACCTGCTTCTGGTTTCTTGGAGGTAGAGTATTGCTATGAAGCACAAGCTGGCCCTGGGTTCACTAACCCTTGCTCCCACCTCCCAACTGCTGTCCCAGCCAGCGTCAGCGCCCATGCCTTTGGGCTCAGGATAGACTCCAGAAGGCTCCAAGACTTGGGTTTTTTGAGGACAGGAGGTTGACTTTGGATTCCAGATCTTCTGGCCTACCCACCATGTGACCCTGTCTCCAGTTTCTGGTTAACAATCTGCACATTGGGGTTGCTCCTACTCCCTCCTGTGATTGAGTTATTTTCTAGAGTGGCTCACAGAGCTCAGGTAAACACTCAGTGGAGCTTACCACTTTGTCCTTAAAGATGCCACAGAGGCTACAGATGTACAGACAGATGAAGAGACTCCCTGACAACAGATACAGAGGGCTGTAGTGTCTCTGCCCTCCCAGGCACCTCCAGTGTTCTCATCTGAAAGTTCTAGTGCCATACTTCAGAGGGTTTCGGGAGGCTTCATCACATGTTGTTAATTTAGGCTCCAGCCTGTCTTCCCTTTTGGTCAGGAATTCGGGCTTGGAACTAAAAACTTAGTGTGGCTTTGACCTTGTAGTGACTAGCCTCTGCCTAGCAGCCCAGGAGCTGTCTCACTAGCGTAAAAGACTGATCCATGCCATCTACTTTGCAGCTGTGTGCCGAGAACTAGGTCAAAGACCAAACAGGACAAATATGCGTTCATACGACTCAGAGAATTAGAAAGGATTTAGGAATGAAAGGCAGAGACCAAATATATACTTGTGCTTTTTAAAAAGTGACATTTATTTATTTTTGTGTGTGGTGTGTGTGTGTCACTGTGAATGTGCACAGAGGTCAGGGGAACCTGCAGAAGTGGGTTCTGTCTTTCCACAGTGTGGGTCCCAGGACTGAGCTCAGTGGTGGTGCAAGTGCCTTTACCCATTGAGTCACCTCACTGACCCGGTGGTGTAGTTGTTTGTTTTTACTCTTTGTTCTTTGTTGGGGGCTGCCACCCAGCTCCCAAATAATCACATGGAGGCTTAGTCTTTCTTAGAATGCCTAGCCTTAGCTTCTTTCTAGCCAGCCTTTCTTAAATTATCTTTCTCTGTTCTATATACCTTTCTTTACTTCTTACTCTGTGGCTTGCTGTGTAGCTAGGTGACTGTCCCCTGATGTCCTACTCTCTTTTTTTTTTTCTGGTTTTTCGAGACAGGGTTTCTATGTGTAGCTTTGGAGCCTATCCTGGCACTTGCTCTGTAGACCAGGCTGGCCTCGAACTCACAGAGCTCTGCCTGCTTCTGCCTCCCGAGTGCTGAGATTAAAGGCGTGCGCCACCAGCGCCCAACCTCCTCTCCTTTTTAATCGCTCCCCAATCTCCTCTTCCCAGATTTCCCCTCCTATTTATTCTCTCCACCTGCCAGCCCCACCTAGCCTTTCTCCTGCCTTGCTATTGGCCGCTCAGTTCTTTATTAGACCAGTCAGGTGTTTTAGACAGGCAAAGTAACACAGCTCCACGGAAATAAACAAATGCAACACAAAAGAATGCAACACACCCTTGCATTATTAAACAAATATTCCACAGCATAAGCGAATGTAACATCTTAAAATACTATTGCACAACACAGTGTACTTCTTAGTGTATTGTAATATTATAATGATCACATTGTCTTCTGGAAGAGTCAGAGTCTGGAAAGCAGAAATAGAGATCTTGAATCCAGGCAAATCTGTGATAGAGGGTACAGAGGGCTATTTTTGAGAGTTTGAATCTTAAGTAAAATCTGAATTATTACAAAATCTTTATTGCAACCACCATTCAAAAAAGACTTGGTGGTGCCGGGCGGTGGTGGCGCACGCCTTTAATCCCAGCACTCGGGAGGCAGAGGCAGGCGGATCTCTGTGAGTTCGAGGCTGGGCTGGACCGACAGCCTCCAAAACAATACAGAGAAACCCTGTCTCATAAAAACCAAAAAAAAAAAAAAAGACTTGGTGGCATAAACCTGTAATCCCAGCACTCTGAAGGTAGAGGCAGGAGGATCTCTGTGTGTTCCAGGACAGCCTGGTCTACAGAGTCAGTTTCAGAACAGCTAGAGCTGTTGCATAGAGAAACCCTGTTGAGGGGATACTTGGGCTAGCTCTCTAAAAACAGGTTGGAAGAATGCAGGATAGGGCGAGATCTTTCCAGAGGGCACTAGGCACAAGTTGAATGAGGCACAGTAAGCAGAGTATCTTTATCCAGTATCAAATTGGGAAAGGAAGCTGAATTAAAGAACAGAGGGAGTAGCCAGGTCTGCTGCTCGCCTCATGTCGGACACCCTCTAGTGAAGTTGAAGGTGAGCAAGTGACAAGTGACTTAGACTTTGCATTGATTGGCCATGATGTAATATTTGCTTTCTTTTTTTTTTTTTTTTTTTCTTTTTTTTTGGTTTTTCGAGACAGGGTTTCTCTGTAGCTTTGGAGGCTGTCCTGGAACTCACTTTGTAGACCAGGCTGGCCTCGAACTCACAGAGATCCGCCAGCCTCTGCCTCCCGAGTGCTGGTATTAAAGGCGTGCGCCACCAACGCCCGGCCAATATTTGCTTTCATTTGACTATGCAAAAAACATGAAACCCTTTGGCCTCAGCTGTTCAAATAGGTGTATCAGTTTTTATTGTAGCATTGTTAATCTGTCTTACTTTAAGTGAGATATCTAGATCTTTACTTATACACCTAAAGTCTCCTAAGAAGGGAGAAAATAAGTTCTTCATTTCATACTGGAAGCTTTCTTTTTTTTCTGTTTTTTCGACAGTCCTTGGCTGTCCTGGAACTAGTTCTGTAGACCTGGCTGGCCTCCAACTCAAGAGATCCTCCTTCCTCTGCCTCCCAAGTGCTGGGATTAAAGGCGTGTGCCACCAATGCCCGGCTTTACTGGACACTTCTTAAGTGTCAGTTTTTATTAATGGGTCCTGTTTTTCTTCCCTTCAACTACTGAACATGTCTATTCATTATAAAATTCAAGGTCTGCTGTGAGCTTTCACCTTTGTTTTCTTTTTAAAGTAGAATGTTCTCATTCTTTATACTTAGAAAAAGGCAATCAGGGTTCTTCCTTAGAAACACGGAGGTTAGGTGCTAAGTTTTGACTCGAACCTATCTTGAGGATGGGCGATACAATTTTGATTTTGGTTTCAGTTTAGTTGCAGTTATGACTGGTAATATTCGTTTGTCTTTCTAATGATCATCTCACTTTTTTTTGTAAAAATAACTTGTAGTAGTCCAAAGGTCAGAAGAGAGGCTTGTTTCCTCTTAGAAGACATTGTATCATCTTAGCTGAGCTTTTTCTCTTTTTTAACTTAAATACCTCAACTGGGTGCCATTGACATGTTTCTGTAGTTTGAAGAATGATATTTACATTCATACTAGGTTACTACATTACTTTCCAAATCCACCCCGTCCTTAGAAAATAAGTATAAAAATTGTTAGTGGTTTTAAATGTGTTTGTTTTTTATGTAGCTTTCAGAATAATCTTAAGAAGTCATGTTTTGTCACCCTCTGTAAGACAGTAATTAGGTCAGGGTTGGGGATGTAGTTTAGTTGTTAGAGTGTCTACCTAGCATGCACCAAGCCCTGGGTTCAAACCCCAGTACTACATAAACTGGCATGTTGGTTCATGTTCATCTTTTGAGAGATGCAAGCAGGGGGATCAGAAACTCACGACATTTCGAGGATAGTCCGTCTACATGAGAACCTATCTCAAGAGACAAAACAAAGCAAGCTATATCTGGTCAGCACATCATAGGATGATGTGAAAGTTCTGTGACTGTAGTTCAGATTGTTTGCCAGCCCCACATGTGACCCTAGAAGCAACTGGGTTTTGTTTGCTTGCTTGCTGTTGCTTCCAGGCTGTTTTCCTTTTGTTTTTCTGGGTAGTACTTGGGTGTTGATGATTGCACTGAAGCCTGGGACCTCTGAAATCCTCAGCTGGTCTATGAGGACAGCCTCTCCTAGTAAAATTTTCTTATCAGTTTAAAGAGAAAAGATTAAAGGATAGTTCCAGAACTTTGATTGACTTCTGTGACTAGATTGTGACTTTGGTGCAGATTAATTGTAGTTCTGCAGTACTCTGATGCCACACTGTGGAGTTAGCTCTGCAACTAAAGTTCTTGTCAGCGAGCGAGGAGCCAGGAGTGCAGATTCCTTGGACACACAGATGAGTGTGGTAGCCTGCCTATAATTCCAGCCTTGGAAGGTGGCTATGGAGACTCTCCATCAGTGATGCCTGGGTTTGACTGATTCCTGATAGTGCCTTCAACCTGTATGTGCACAAACTTGCACACACACCTGTACACATATGTGCCTATGTGAACATGCATGCACACAGGTATATCCCATTCATATATACATGAAAAGAAAAATGGCTGGTGAGATACTCAGTGGGTACCTGACAACCTGAGTTTGATTATCAGGGCCCACATGGTGGAAGGAGAGAACACATTCCCACAAGTTGTCTTCTGATCCCCATCCTGGCACTGTGGCATGTGTGCCTGTACACACACACACATACACAGGTACACAAGATACATAAAATGTGGTTTTTTTGTTTTTTTTTTTTTTAAAAAATAACTATAGTATTACCAAACTACTGACTCTACCAAAAACAAAGTAGTGAGATTGTTCTTTGTTCTGGATTTGACCTAAGGCAAAGGGAAGCATTTCCGTGTAACCCAGAGCAGTGAGCTGCAGAGTCTTGAAGGTTATCTGCCTTGCTGCATGGGAGAGGCTTCTATCTGATTGTAAAGGAGTACACCACTGGAGGTCAGCAGATGTTGTGGGGGAGTCGGTTCTTTTTTCCTGCCATGTGGGCTCTGGGTTGGAACTCAGACTGTGAGCTTGGTGTTAGGCACCTTTTCCTGCTGAGCCATCCCACTGGCTCAGACTTGAGTCTCACAAGGAAGGACATTTTAGTCAGTTGTACTTAAGACCTGACAAATAGTCGCAGTGAAGGTGTTGCTGTTTGTGTCACAGAGGTACTCATTCCTGGTCTTCTTCCAAGTTGCCGTGTCAGTTTTTATTTTCCACATGGGGTCCACATAAGTTTTTATCAGTTTATTTTTAAGCAGTTGTACCCTGGTTTGTGTGGCACAGCAGATTTTATTCAGGACTTCATGCACATTAAGCAAGCACTCCACCAACTGAGTAGCCATTTCCGAGTTACAGCAGTGTCTCTGTGTGATAGTCAAGGTAGTGGTTGTGTTTGGTCACATGTTTGTGTCCATCTCTTTTCCTCTAGCTTGGTTGGTGTAGCAGTAATAATAACTTACACAAGTGTACCCAGTGCTGTTGCTGTTTATATATAAAATTTGTTCAACTCACAGAAGGTGCAAAATGTGTACCAGCGATTGAATTTTGAACCCATGTAGGGTGTGTCTGTGTGTATGTGTGTGTGTGTATGTGAGAGAGAGAGAGAGAGAGAGAGAGAGAGAGAGAGAGAGAGAGAGAGAGAGAGAGAGAGAGAGAGAGAGAGAACACTCAGGTGCATATGCATGTATGTAGAGGCTAGGGGGTGTACTTCTCAATTGCTTTTCACCCTATCTTTTGATATGGGGTCTCTAGCTGGCTGGCAGCAAGCCTTGGAGACCCTTCTCTGACTCCCCAGCAGCAGGGTTACAGGTGTGTGCTGCCAAGCCCCTTGTTTCTGTTGCAAGTAGTTGCTGGGGATCTGACCCCAGTCTCCCTGTGTGTATAGGATAGCAAAGCCCTTTGTGCTGATCCTTTCAGTCCCCAGAGTCACATTTCTTAAGTGTGTTTATCGGCCTTCAGGAGGCAACTGTGCCGCTGCTGTTTTGGTCTGACTTTAAAACTAAACTAAAACATCTCCCTTACTTGTGTAACTAGGATCTTGGGGGGAGGGAGTTTTGAGGCAGGGTTTCTCTGTGGCTTTAGAGGCTGTCCTGGAACTAGCTCTTACAAGAGACCATGCTGGTCTGGAACTCAAAGAGATCCACCTGCCTCTGCTTCCCGAGTGCTGGGATTAAAGGTGTGCGCCACCACCACCCAGCGTAACTAGGATCTTTTGTAGAGCCCATTCTCAGTTTATTTGAGCTGTTAAATAATTTTGTGTTCCCAAGTGTTTAAAGGCTTTTTAATGACTTTTAATTATAACTCTGTCAGTAATAGATAAAAAAGTCAGGAATCTGGTCAGCCTTAACCAGATGAGTCAAGCAATCTTAATGAGTTTTTCTTTGTTTGTGCTTAAATCATCTCATAGGCCCAGCAGAAAAGAAGCAGCATAGAAGATCAGTCAGGACTCGATCTGAATCAGAGAAATCCACCGAGGTTGTGCCAAAGAAGAAGATCAAAAAGGAGCAGGTTGGCTTCCTACACGTAGAGAGTTAGAGCGTTTCTGTAATGTGGTGGCTTGTCTCTTGTCACCAAAGATAGATTCTCCCCACCTTGGCCTCCGTCCTGAACTATCCTTCCATCTGTCCTGCTGGGTTGCAGTGGCGACCTGTGGTGGTGCTTCAGGCATCCTCACAGAATACAGGTTTGGGAGACGGGAAGCCATTCATTTTGAAATTTCTGTTATAAGCACAATGAGTTCATGTTTTCATGAGTTTTACTTGGAACCATCGTGGAGTTCCCTTTTTAAAAGTTTGATTTTTGGTTTTAGCTGCTGGTATATATTGTTTTTATTTTTTGAACAAATCAAATTAATTTAATTTATATTCTTATATTTAAGAAGCAGGTAATCATAGGTGATCTGGTTTTTCTGTTGGTATCACAAATCTTTTGAAATGTTATTTTTCCAGTGAAATGGCACTCACCTGAAATCAGACTGTTAGATAAACAATATTCAAGGAAAAGTGTGTGGGGAGGGTTACATTTTGATTGAATGTGGTCAACTGGTGTAATCAATGTAGTAATATACATGTTAAATTACCTTTTCAAGTAACTCTTAGACATGATTCTCCTATAAATTATAAACTCAGATTTTTTTTTATTTTTAAAAAGCGAATGAATATCCATTTTTAGATAAGCACTTTGCCAATGAGCTATGTCCCCAGAATATTCTTTTCTTTCTTCATGTTTTGAGATGGTCTCACTATATTTCCCTGGCTGGCCTGGAACTCCATGTGTGGATCAGGTTGGCCAGGTACTCACAGAGATCCGCCTGCCTCAGCCTCCCCAGTGCTGGGATTAAAGGTGTCTGACACCACAACCAGCTTTAGAATAGTTATTTTTTATAGTCCAACCACCTAGTATTAAAATAAATCCAGAATTAGTTCCAGTAAGTTTAATGTTTTAGAGCCATTTATCATGGAAGAGTACTTTTTTTATTTAAAATCTTCACAGTTTTAAATTTCCAAATTTAAAAGCTAACTTTGTGGGTGCTCTATGGTATCACAAGCATATAAAACATTTTTTGAGAATATTTAGCTAAAATTTCAGTAATACTTGTCATTTACCATATAATTTCCATATCTAGACTATTCCAAAAAATTCCAAGTCTGATAAACCTATAGTGTTTGTTACCAAAATGAAGTTGTGACTTTGCCACCTGGTTCCCAAATTCAGTCTGTGACCAGTCAGTTTAAAATTTATAAACAGAATGAGTAAAAATAATGGGACAAATTGTTACTGCCACTGTGTTATATATATATAGTTAGTAGTAGAATAATACCAGTGATTGTTTAGAAGATTTTATATTTGTACAACTAATTGTATCGTACACAAAGCATTCCTGTTGTATGTTTTTTTACCTGTTGTAAAAAAAATTAAAAAAATTTTTAAAAAGCTTAGAACAATCCTTAAATATTTACAAATTGTGTTTCAACATGCATATTTCACACCTTAAAGAAACATAAAATTCAATCATAGCCTAAACAGGAACCTCTCCAAACAGCATCTTTTCCCTGTTCCAATGGTTCAGTCTTCCAGTACCACGTGTTTTACATATACATTGGCAGAATAACTTCTGATCTCGCTCTCCTGATGTAGGATCAAGACCCTGTTCATAAGACACTCAAGAAAGTGCTATTGCAGTGTCCCAGACTTACTAAGTTTGTTCTAGCAGCACAAGTATTGAGCTTCCAGCAGTGTGGAGCCATGTAGCACTCTGTACAGAGAGGGTCCCGGTTCCCAGCAACTTAGCTGTGAGTGCAGGCGCGGAAGGGTCTTAAAGTGGCGTGAGTTACATTAACCTGAGTATCATAGTAAGTAAAAATTTATCCTAATGTCTTTGGGGCGGGAGGGGTCCATAGCAACATGGGGCTGGTCAAAGAAACCGCTCCTCTCCTGCCTCCCAGACACTGAGAAAAATACTCTTGTTCTCGTCATGCACCAAGGGAGCGGTGGGAAGTCTTTGCCAAAGAGCATGTGGCTGTGTGTTGTCACTTGGCACTCAGCACAGGCAGCTAGGATTTAACCCTCCCTAACTTTGAGACAGAGAGCTTGACCCTGAAGACGGGGTTGAATTCAGATTCTCGGTAACATTGGTCACTCGTCACTACTTAGCTTGATGAAAATGTTATTTTTCCCTCTATTTTTTAAAGGTGAGAAAAACCTTCCTGTTAATGCTTCGTTTTTCTGTCCAAACAGGTTGAAACAGCTCCTCAGGCTGCCCTGAAGACTGGATTACAGAAAGGTGAGTTAGTACTATGCTGCTTGACATTTCCTTGATTAAACCAGTTTTTAAGAATAACTTACTTGTACCTCATGTATTTTTGTCTGTCTCTGTAAATCATTGTTCTTCGGTGTGAAATGTCACCCCCCTGGTGGAGTGTGTGTGTGTGTGTGTGTGTGTGTGTGTGTGTGTGTGTGTATGAGAGAGAGAGAGAGAGAAAGAGAGAGAGAGAGAGAGAGAGAGAGAGAGAGAGAGAGAGAGAGAGAGAGAGAGAGAGAGAGAGAGACAGACACTGACTTTTAGAGTTGGTCCTTCTCTCTTCCTCCACATGAAAAGTCTCTCTTGTTTTGGTAAATTGAAGAATACCATGTAGACTCGATATTGCTTCCAACTTTTCTCCGTTAAGATTTTGGGATTTCACTGGCTTATAAACTAGGGATGTGACGAATCCACTTTTTTGGTATTCGACTGAATACCGAATAGTAGCTATTAATGTTGTTTATCAAAAAATGGACTATGGCAAATCAGACAGGACAGCTTGATTGGGAAAAGTGTTTCCACGCTTACTTTTTACAGTGCTGTACAATCCTTTTGTAAATTGACCCATAGCATAATTATGGCCACTATTAGATGACCATATGTGAATCTATTTGAGAGATGCACAAAGTTTAAGAGCCCTTAAACTTATATATGCGTTTTCTGTGTGCAATTTGAGTATAGTGCAAACTCCATAGCATGACTCATGCGATTTTGGTGAGCTCAAACTGTGTTTAATACCTGTAGTTTACTCTGGGCAAATTGCATTATTTTAAAATGAATAAAATAAAACACCAGCCTCTCTGCATTCTCGGGGAGAAGTCTGCAGCGATGGTCTCCGTGGAGATCCTCAGCAGAACTGAACGCCTCTCGGAGGGAACACTGCTTGGCGGAGCTCCAAGAAAAGACATCGCGATCGATCGCTGCGAGATTAGGAGGCCTGATTGCGTTGTGTTTCCACCATTCCACAGGGTCGGCGGACCGAGGAGTGCAGGGCTCTGTCAGATTCAGTGACAGCTCCGTCTCCGCAGCGAATGAGGAAACTGTGGACTGAGATTCCTGTACAATTTCATCCCAGAAACTCCAGAGTTGTAGTCTCCGTGCAAGATTTCTTTGTCGGCGGCTCGATAAAGTTTCTTTTGTTTTGATTTTGATTTTGCCAATCATTATTGGCATTCTCTGGCCTGGTTTCTTCTTCAAGACTCTGAACAATTGCTTTAACATTCAGATGATTTCTCTCTTTTTTATTTTTATTTTTTTGTCTGAGCTGGATGGGTACAGCTTAAATCATGGGTCCAGCCTAAAAACTACCATTAACTTAACTTGATCAATTCCAACATGGACTGTTTCATTTTTGTTTTTAAATAAAGCATCATTAATACACATCTGCAGGGTTTTGCCAAACGGCCCTAACTGTATACATTGCAATCATTAAAAGCTCTTTTTTTTTTTTTTTTTAATGTTAGTGCCGTTATCATGGAGAACAGCACGATGGCTGTCTTCAGCAGTCTGTCATTTTTCTAGCATTTTCAGAAACTCATCGGAATTGGCGGTACCTGTGTTTCCCTTCGAAAGCCTCTCAGTACAGCACTCCTGTTCCTCTGTTAAACCTCCTTGTTAATTCAGTGATCTTTTAGGCCCAAGGAAATCTTTTGTGGTGGTGTTCTGGTTCCACACACCAGCAATGAAAGAGATAGATTTGTGTATTGTGTTTTTTAATCAGCGTTAACATGGGCAGGCACCCTCACTTGTAGTCAGGAAGCATTCAGTGCAAACTTGTAGGATGGGATGTGATAACCAGGTTCCAGTAACCTGAGCAGTCTCCCGAGGCCCACATCTTCCACCACAGAATGAGGCTGTACACCAAGCTCTGCTCCCACCCAGCCTGCTGCGGATCTTCATGGCCTCAGGAGAGTTCTTTCTCCATGGTCTCTTCTGGACTGCACTTCCACCATAGCTTGCTGGGCTGACCTAGAAGTGTTTGTTGTATGGAAAGTTTGGGGGGACATCTAAAACACAAACTGTGGGTGGAAATATTAAGCGTCTCCTTGGTTCCTTGGTATTCACCGTGCCTGACCTGCACACTTCACCGTGGCTGTCTCCGCATAGCCTACTGCATTAGCCCAAGAGATTGTTGCTTTGTAACTTTTTGCACTATTGTTTTGGCTGGATTTGTATTACACGCAGTTTTAAAAAAAAAAAACTTCCACACTATTCTCTGCCTTTTTTTTTTCAAATATATATTTATTCCTTCCCTCACGAAGTCCAGAGGCCTCTCGTGAGTCCTTCGTGATCTGCACTTGAACACTGATTGTCCATTACAGCCCTCGGTTACTGTGCCTCCCACATGGCATGACATGTAGATGGACGTGTGTAGATGTGCTGCAGCACTTGCTAATGGTCACAATAAATGCCACTTTACCAAGAAAGAGCAATTATGAACATCCAAAATTTATTTGGGGGATAATCATCAACTGAATTGCAAAATTGGGGGGTTGAAATGGCACTATCCGTGTACGAATCGAATACAAATCAAAGATTTGTCACATCCCTAATAAAACAAGATGGAGATGTCTCTGCAACCATATCTGTAAACTGCACTGTGTTGGGTTTCATGTCTTCCCCTTATAAAATTGAATGGTTCTCTGAATCAATTGGCTGTCCTTCAGTTTTGATAGAATTGATGTCTAGATTGGAACTTGGGCTCTGTTGGTGAACATAGCAGAACTAAATTTAACGTTTTCTAGAGCAGTTGTAAATGAACCACCTCTACCAGGAAAGCCAGAAGCTTCTGAAGGTTTGACTGGCAACTTAAGTGGTACAGTGAGCTGTGAATTCCCCCAACACACTTAACATGAGTTTGGGGAAAGAAAATACTCTCCTACAAAAAAGGAAAGCAGTGACCCTAAATGTGATCTGAGGATTAATTTCAGTGTGTTGTGTTAAGGTGCCAGCGAGATTTCAGATTCCTGTAAGCCTCTAAAGAAAAGGAGTCGCGCCTCAACCGATGTAGACACGGCTAATTCCGCATACCGAGACACATCTGACTCCGATTCTCGAGGACTGAGTGATCTGCAGGTAAGTTTGTGCAGGGGTCGGGTCAGACTGCTCTTGCCAGCCACAGTAGTTTGCTTCCGTGGGAGACATCAGGGAGACGTAAACACTCATGGGAGGGTGTAGGGCTGAATTGACTGTGATCTCTGACGCTTGGTTACCACAATAATTCAGTTTACCTGTCTGGGTAGGTTCATGCCCCTTCTTCATCACTCCATATGCAACTCTCCAAAAATGGAAGAGAATGGCCTTCCCCAAGGGAAGGTCTTGGTCAAGGCTGTATGAGTAGCTTCACTCTCCTGCTTGAACCTCCAGACAAGCTTTCAGGGTCCATTGTAGGATAATGTAGGGTAGTCAGGCCTTGAAAACTACACCTACCAGAGAGGTGCTCTATATGGTAGTGGTCAGCCTTGTTTTTTTTTTTTTTTAAAAAAAAAAAAAGGATGGCCAGGCAGTGGTGAGACACACACTTTCAGTCCCAGCATTGGGGAGGCAGAGGCAGGCGGATCTCTGTGAGCTCAAGACAGTCTGGTCTACAGGAACTAATTCCATGACAGGCCCCAAAGCTACACAGAGAAACCCTGTCTCCAAAACAAAACAAAACAAAACAAAACAGATGAAGGGCCAGGTGTGGTGGTGCATGCCTTTCATCCCATGCTCAGAAGGGAGAGTGCTCGATTTGAGTTACAGGCCAGCCTATTCACAGAGCGAGTTCTAGGACAGTAGAGCTACATTGTGAGACCCTGGCTAATAATAATAATAACAGCAAAAACCAAAACTTCTAGAGGAAAAAATATGTTTTGGAGACAGGGCCTCATTATATAACCTGGGACGGCTTGGAACTTTCCATGTGGAGCAGGCTGGCCTGGGAATCACAGATGCCTCCCTGCCCCAGCCTCCCCAGGCCTGAGGTTAAAGGCGTAGCTTGGCTAGAAAAACAATTCCTTTGGTTATTTGTAACTTATTTTGTAGATTTCTTACATAATAGAACCAGAGGGGTTTTGTCATTGTTGCTTTTTAAATATTAGCTGCAGTTTCTCCCAAATGACAGACACATAGCATCCCCAGATTTGAAGAAGGAAGGAGGGAAGGAAGGGAAATGAAGAAAAGAGAAGGCAGGCAGGCGGGGAGGCAGGCTGTTCGAGATCGATTTGAGCTGGTTTCCCTAGGCTTTGCATTGTGTCTACAGGAATTGTCTCTCTCTGTCATCTGCTGTTTTCCATAGGTTGGCTATGGGAGAGAAGTGGACAGCCCCTCAGCTGCGGCAGATGCAGATGCTTCTGACTCACAGTCAGTGGACTCGAGTTTGTCTCGGAGAGGCGTTGGCTCGAGTAAGAAGGACACTGTGTGTCAGGTAGGCAGGTGGCTGTTCTGTTTTTATTATTACATCTCTTTAAAGTTGTAGGTTCTAAGGATATCTGTGGTGCTCCCTGTCCTTAATTGGAATATGTCATTTCAAATGCAAGTGTCAGTCTTAGTGAGTTTTTATTGTTTGTCTGGTGTCTGAAGAAGTCAGAAGAGGGAACTGGAATTACAGATGAGTGTGTGAGCTCTATGTAGGTGCTGGGAACCAAACCTAGGGCTTCACAGAGAAGCCCTGTCTCAGAAAAACTCTTTTAGACCTTCTAACTCAGAATATTAGGAGACAAACCCAGTGGCCTGTACTTGAGCAAGTGCCCCGGTCAATTCTGGTGCTCCAGTTTGAAAGTTGCTGCTCTCTGCTCTTACAGATCTGTGAAACCGCTGGCGATTGTCTAGTGTCTTGTGAAGGGGAGTGCTGCAGACACTTTCACTGGGAGTGCCTGGGCCTGACCGCGGTCCCTGAGGGAAGGTTCATCTGTGAGGAGTGTGAAACCGGTGAGCTGTGCCCCAGAGCTGGCTAGGGAGGATGTGCTGCCCTGATGTCCACGGCTAAGCCAGCTCTCCTCCCCGCCTGCCCATAGGTGTCTCAGAGTTAAGACGCTATACAGAATTAAACTGCCAAGGTCAAAAGAGCAGTCCAGATTTCCTCTCACAATGTACCAGTGGCCAAAAAAAACCCAAAAACAAAAAACGATGATTTTGTTTTGTGTAGGTGTATGTGGATCATGCTGCCTTGCAGCTGAGTCTAATATTTGTGTGTGTGTACATGCTTAATACATAGGTTTAAAGTCCTGTCATAGATTTCAACAAGCATTGATCAAACTCTAACTATGGTTATAGTGCATATTTAAATATAATGTAGTAAATATAAATTATGGTTATAGTAAAACTATAAATATGATTACATGTTTAGTGGAAAAATAATGCTATTAATTTTTTTAAAAAAACAGAGTCTCTCTATGTAGCCCTGACTGTCCTAGAACTTATTATGTAGACCAGGCTAGCCTTAAACTCACAGAAATCCATCTGCCTTCCACGTGCTGGGATTAAAGGCATGTGCCACCACTGCTAGGCTGTGTTCTTACATTTTAAGAAATTTATTTTGTGTGTATGGGTGTTTTGTCTGCAGGTGTGTTTGTGAGTATGCCTGGTGCCCAGTGAGGCTGAAGAGGGCGTTGAGGCCCTGGAACTGGAATTGTAGATAGAGTTGTGAGCTTCCAAGTGGGTGCTGAGAATCAGACTCAGGTCCTCAGAAAAAGCAGCCAGTGCCTGTGACCACTGAGCCATCTCTCCAGCCCGGTGTTTCTTTCTGTATGCTAAACTCTGAAGTGTAATAGCAGAATTTCTCCCAAGAGCAGCTCTTTTGTGTCTGTAGCTACTTCTGTATAAAAGGAGCACTTAGCTTATGTGGAATCACACACCTGTAATCTGAGCTCTAAGGAGACTGAAGCAAGAGGATGGCAATTTTGAGGCTGGTCTGAGGTACATAAAAAAGTCCCTATCTCAAAAAAACCGAGTGCTGGGATGGAACTTGTTGTCAGGAGTAATTGTCTGCACGCTCAAGGCCCTGGACTTCACCCTGGCGTTCTGAGTGCTTAAATGAATGCAGTGGGACGTGTCTAACCTGCTTTTCATCAATTTCTTAGGGCAGCACCCGTGCTTTTCATGCAAAGCGTCTGGTGAGGGTGTGAAGCGTTGTTCTGTCAATGTTTGTGGGAAGTTTTACCATGAAGCCTGTGTCCGAAAGTTCCCCACCGCCATCTTTGAGTCAAAAGGGTTCCGCTGTCCCCAGCACTGCTGCTCTTCCTGCTCCATGGAGAAGGACATCCACAAAGCAAGTAAAGGTAACCAGCGCCCCAGACGGGACAGCATGCAAAGTACATATCTTCGTCGCAGCATCCAGCAGTCTCCCTGTTCATCTCCAAGTCTACGGGCTGAGCCCCAGCGGCTGACTTGTTAGGCACTTCAGACTACACTAAAGAACTCCCTAAGTGTAGACATAGTGTTTCATTCCTTTGGATATGATGTGATTATCAGGCTTGCATTTAGGGACTGGAAAGTACAGGGATAACAGGCAGCCTAGTAAAGAGCATTTTGCACTGACCGTGACAGTGTCGAGTGGCAGGGGAGCCTACTCACAGAGTACCATAGCCGGCATGCTGTAGACTGCTCTTAACCTGTCTTCACACAGGACGGATGGTGAGGTGCTTCAGGTGTCCAGTGGCCTATCACTTTGGAGATGCGTGTGTTGCTGCTGGAAGCGTCTCTGTGTCCTCCCACATTCTCATCTGTAGTAACCATTCCAAGCGGAGTAGTCATTCTGCTGCTGTAAACGTAGGCTTTTGTTTCGTTTGTGCCAGAGGTGAGTGTCAACCCGTTTTATTTTTGTTCTGATTTCATTGGCATATTTCTCCATTTAAATGTGTTTCTGCATTGGAGAGAACTCCAGCTGTCACATAGTAATACGTCCTAGGAGTGCTGAGTCCATCCTCTTATTACTGAAAGAGAACATTCTAAGCAGACATCCAAATCCTGAGAAAACTAATAATTCCATAAGCTAACTCTGTTTTAAAAAACACCTTAAACTGGGTGTGATGGCACGCACCTTTTTTTTTTTTTTTTTTTTTTTTTTTTTGGTTTTTCCTCGAGACAAGTTTTCTCTGTGGCTTTGGAGGCTGTCCTGTAAATAGCTCTTGTAGATCAGGCTGGCCTCGAACTCAGAGATCCGCCTGCCTCTGCCTCCCGAGTGCTGGGCACGCACCTTTTAATCCCAGCAATGGAGAGACAGAGGCAGGAGGATCTCTGGGTGTTTAGGCAAGGCTGGTCAGTATAGCAAGTTCTAGGCCAGCTAAAGCTATATATATAGAGAGAGACCTTGTCTCAAAAAGGAAAACAAAAAAGCAAACTTAGAATTGCAAGTAAGTTCTTGGTTAGTTTTTCTGTTTGATACTTTGACTGATGGAAAGAATGTTCTCATCCTCAGTTTTCTCCTTAAGGCAGGTCCTTCCTGAATAGTCATGTCAGCTGTGGGATGTTACCTGGAAAGCAAGGCTAGCACAGTTTCCAGTGGAGGTCTGTTTTGATCTGTCACTGAGGGCCTGATGAGGTACAGCCAAGGCAACACGTGTGATGGTTTAGTTGAGCAGCCGTGCAGGGTTCCCCCGAATGAGACTAATAAACTGAAAGCAGTGTGGGGCGGTATCAACAAACTTAAGAAGTCATGGTGATTCTTACTTTTCTATTGCGGTGACAAAACACCATGACCACAGCAGTTTATCAAAGAAAGCTTCGAATTGGGAGCTTCCAGTTGAAGAGGATGAGTCTGTGACCATCACGGTGGGGAGCATCAGTGGGGAGCGTGGCAGCAGGCAGGCATGGTGCTGGAGCAGTAGCTGAGAGCTCACGTGTTGAGAACAGCCACGAGGTAGGGAGTGAGCAACTGGAATGGCCTGGGCGTTTGAAACCTCAAAGCCCACCCCTTAGTGACACACCTAATCCTTCCCAAACAGATCTACCAGCTAAAGACCAAGCGTTCAAACGTGATCCTATGAAGGTCACTTTCATTTTCAAATGTCACATTCCACTCCTTGAAACCCTAGGCTTATGGACACATCTCTATTCAAAATGTATTTAGTTTAATTTCAGAAGTGCCCATACTCTTCAGTCGCAAGAGTCAGGTGGATCTCTGTGAGGTCAAGGCCAGCATGTTCTACAAAATGAGTTCCAGGACAGCCAGGGCTGTTAAATAGAGAAATCCTGTCTCGACAAACTCCCCCAAAAAAGCAAATTATTTACTTAAACATATATTGGTACAAATATGCATTACAATTCCAAAAGGGGGAAAATAGCATAATGAGAAAATATGGACCAAAGCAATACCAAAACCCAGCGGGGCAAACTCCAGATTCTGCATCTCCATGTCTGATGTATGTACTTAAACATATATTGGTACAAATATGCATTACAATTCCAAAAGGGGGAAAATAGCATAATGAGAAAATATGGACCAAAGCAATACCAAAACCCAGCGGGGCAAACTCCAGATTCTGCATCTCCATGTCTGACGTCAAAGGTCTCTTCAGATGCCCTGCTCCTTCTGGCTTTGTTGACCACAGTGCGCTTCACACCGCTCTCTCTTGGATTGCTTCAACGCCCTCTTTACAGTTCTCTTTGGCAGACATCCCAGGGCTCTGGCATCTCCAACATTTTGGGATCTCCTCTGCAATGCTGGCTTCATTTCCCCAGCTCTGCACAGTTGGCCTCTCAGAGCCTCTAGGCAGGTACTCCTGTGCCACTCACCTGGCCTCAGCATCTTTCCTTAATTGTGGAGGAAGACTCCACAACCCCTCTGCTGGTGTATCCTTCTGGCCTCTAAGCCAGAGTCAAGTAGGGATGCTACCATAGTCTGCTACTCTGCTTTGAATGGGCCTGGCCCCCTTCTTGAATTACATTTGCATAAACCCTGATTTGTTGACCTCTCCTTGTTGAGTAAGCTTTCTTTGCTTTAGAAGCAAAAGATTGTTTAGGCATTTCTTTTTTACGACATGGACTCTTAACTGAGTGGGGTCGTGCCATTTCTCATCTCTTTGAGCCCAAGACTTAGCTCTAACATGAAATTTTCTCATGTTCTTTTTCTCTCCAAATTATACATTTCGTATTTCTTTTTTTCCCTGTTTTTTTTCATTGTAGATCTGCATAAGAGTGATCACTAATAACCACATGACACAGTCAATACTAGGTTGTCTTGAAATTCCTGCCAACAACGTTAATCCAAAACTCTTGAATTTAACTGCTGGCAGAGTCTAAAGACAAGGCCAAAAACCAGCCACTTTTTTTTTTTTTTTTTTTTTTTTGCCAGAATATCACAGGAATAGTCTCTAAGCCACATGCTTAATACTCTTCCCCTCAGGAACATCTTGAGCTGAAACCTTCATAGTCCACATGGTTTCTACCCCTGCTATCTTCCAAACTCCTGCTAGCGAGGCCCGTTAAGTCCCACTTATTGCATTCAACCTTGCTTCCTCCACGTTTCTCCAAAACCCAGCATGATCAAGCTTGCCACAGCAATATGCTACTCCCTGTTACCAAATTCCACCTTAGTTATTACTCTATTGCTATGAAGCACTATGACCAAGGTAGCTTGTAAGAGAAAGCATTTAGTGGGGGCTTGCTTGCAGTTTCAGATGGTCCCCCGTCATGTCAGGGAGCATGGCAGCAGCCAGGTGTGGTGCTGGCGTGGTGTTGGAATGCTTACATGTGAGTCAATTATCATGAGGCAGAAAGAAGACAAACTGGGAGTGGCAGCGGCTCTTGAAACCCCAGAGCCCACCCCAGTGACACCTTCTGCAACAAGGCCACACCTCCAAGCCTTTCTCAAACAATCCCACCAACTGGGCACCAAACATGTGGGCCTGTGGGGACCGTTTTTATCCAAAGCACACGTTACATATTCATCACTTGTGATGCATACTGTCCATCTTTTGTTCGTTGTTTTGAGACAGGGTTTCTTCTGGGTAGCCTTGGCTATCCCGGAGCTCACTCTGTAGATCATGCTGGGATTAAAAGTGTATGCTACTATCACCCAGCTCACACTGTCCATCTTTATCCTAACTGTATTATAATTAAATTCTTTTTTTCCTTTTTGGGTAGTTAGTAATCATTATAATTGTCTTTTTGTTTAATAAAAGTGCCATTTTTGTTTTTAATAAAATTTTCATTGTTTTTTGCATTTCCTTCTATGTAATATTTAAAGGAACTATTAGCTCTATCAAGTCTATTAGGTCATTTTTAAGGGTTCCTTTCTGTTTCCTGTTTTCTGTTTTAAGATGAGCTCGGTCTGGAGGCTAATCTTAAACTTGTGAACTCAAGTGACCCTTCTGCCTCAGCTACCCAAGTAGCTGGGACTGTAGGTATTTTATTTATTATGCCAATTTGTAAGAATGAAAGATTTTAGGTGGTTTTGCTTCTATATCTCTCATTTTAAAAAATGTGAGGAGATAGGCAGTTAATAATGAAATAAACATCTGTATTAGCATCTTTTACAGCGCCTTCTACAGCCAACTAGTATTTCCTTACCCTGAGGCTTTCTGCCCACCTCAGTCTCCTAAGCATATATTCTATTGCCATTAGAGCAGGAAACACTGATGTTTTGTTTTGGTTTGCTGGTTTGCTTGTGGTCTGGGGATTAAACCCAGGGACTCATGCTAGACCAGTTCCCTACCACCCATCCTTACCCCAGCCTGAAGCTAGACTCTTCACAGTTCCCTGCTTTGAAGCCTGTAGGAGTTCAACCAAGATACTCATTGCCACCTTGTTAATAGTGACAGAAAGGATTCAGATAGGCAAATAAAAAATAAAAAATTGCCACATCTTCTGTTCTGAATAGAGTGGCGATCAGAAAGGACTGTTTGTGTGTACCCATATGTATGTTTGTGAACCATGTGTGTGCAGTGCCCATAAGGCCGTAAGAGGTCATCAGATACCCTGGGACTGGAATTGAAAGTGGCTGTAAGCTGCCACGGGGAGCTGGGAATCAGACATGGGTCCTCTGCAAGAAAAGCCCATGCTCTTGGTTTTGGAGCCTTCTCTTCAATCCCAAACCATTGAGTTATGAATTGATGTGTAGCGGTGGAGACTTGAGCAACAGCGATGGTGAGGAACCTTGTTGCTTTGCCATCCCCGTCTACTCTGGCCCTTCCAGACCCTTCCTAATTGTATACAAATGTCACTTTAGAACTAGTGTGATGGCTTACTTTGGAGTATCTTCTAAGTCCAATTCAGTCAGTATTAACCAATATTTTTTGTGCTCTGTTTCATTTAATAATGGAACGCTTTGTTTTATTTTTTGTTTTCTGAGACAGAGTCTCACTATGTAGCTCTGACTGTCCTAGAACTCACTATGTAGACCAGGCTGGCCTCTTATCTCCCAAGTTCTGGAATTAAAGGCATGTGTCATTACAGCAGGCTATTTTTTTAATTGATTGCTTTTTAAAACTATTTTCAATTTAGGACAAGTAGAAAATGTAATACTTACAAAGACCCTTGCTACTTTGTGAGATTAAACTGATGACCATTAACTAAAAGCTTGAAGATAAAATACATGGGACAAAGCTCCATGATTCAGAATCAGAAACTGTGTTTATATCTGTTTACACTTTGTTTAAAAGCCCATGAATTGAATACCCGCATGTTTAGCTGTATAGTAAGTAACTTTGTGTAATAATAAGAAAATTTCATTTCTTCTCACAGCATTTTGTAAAATTTTACTCTAAACATATCAGATATTTGAGATTTAAATCAAAGTCTTTAAAGTACAAATAGTCAAGCCAGGTGAGGTGGTGCACTCCTTTAATTCCAGCACTCAGGAAACAGAGGCAGGTGGATCTCTGTGAGTTCTAGGCCAACCTGGCCTGCACACTGAGTTACAGGACAAATACCAAAGCTACATGATGAGACCCACTCTCAAAAAAGCCAAAACTAAAAAAAAAGTACAAATATATAATATTCTAAACTTTAGAGACCTATTTTTTAAGGAGGCTATAGTAGATTCATATGCCAAACAAGACACATTATTATGTTTTAGGATTAGAAAGAGGAGCTTATTTTCTATCTTTGTAGCCTTAGTAAGCATTTTTCCATCCTCATAAAGTATTTTTTCTTAGCTCTTAGTAACTGGATGTTTGAGTCATTGAGCTGGGCCATTGAGATGGCTCAGTGGGTAAAGGCTTTTGGGCCTGATATTTGATCCTGGGGTTGCGCTGATAGGAGAGATGACCCCTGCAAATTGTCCTCTGGCCTGTACATACACGCATGCACACACTGTACTCACGCATGTACACACTGTACTTAACACACATGCACACACTGCACTTACACACAAGCACACACTGTACTTACACATGTACACACTACTCACATGCATGCACACTGTACTCACATGCATGTACACACTGTACTCACACGCATGCACACACTGCACTTACATGCATGTACACACTGTGCTCACACGCATGTACACACTGTGCTCACACACATGTACACACTGTACTCACACACATGTACACACTACTCACACGCATGCCACACTGTACTTACGTATGCACAAACTGTACTCACACACATGTACACACTGTACTTAACACACATGCACACACTGTACTCACACATATGCACACACTGTACTTACACACATGTACACACTACTCACGCATGTACACTGTACTCACACGCATGCACACACTGTACTCACATGCATGCATACACTGTGTTTACATGCATGTACACACTGTACTCACTCATGCACACACTGCTCACGCATGCACACTGTACTCACACGCATGCACACACTGTACTCACATGCACACACTACTTACACATGTACACACTGTACTCACATGCACGTACACACTGTACACATGCATGTACACATGTCTGCAAGCACACACAAATAAACTAGCTAACTGAAAGCAAGTCATGAAGCTAATTCTTAAGGATTGAAAGGTCTAGAACTATTTTTAGAGGTCTTACACACATCCCCAGCCAACTCAAAACGCCATAGGAAAACTGAGACATCTTTCAGTGCACTTTATAGTATTTACATTTTTTGTGCATCTTCACTACTATGTTAAATAAAAATTACTTAACATTCTTTGCCTTTGTTTGTAATAGAGCTGGTAAGTTAGGGTCTTCTCTATTTTAATAGCAACAATAGCAGTTTATTTTGCATATGTAAATGACACTTTGATAGACACAGTTTGAACCGATTGCCACAGTTGCCTTAGGAGACATTTCCGGTTTTGTGTGGGTCAGAACACTCAGCCTAGGCTGAGTGATTTACTTGACGCTCAGTTGGTGAGTGGAGAGATTCTACTTAACCTTCCTCGTTTTAACAGTCTCCTTTCTCTTCTTTCTTTCTTTCTTTTTTTAATAGCACCTCTTTGCACTAAATGAATAAAAAAGTTATTGACATTACATATTTTTTTACAAAATTACTGTTTTAGTAGCAGTGTCAAGTTCCATTCTTTTACTTAGTGCGGACATTTCTTGAGCCCATCTCAGTGGAGGGCAACATAAATCAAGATTACACCACAGGAAAGAGTGAGCAGTGACCCTTCCCAAACAGACTTGGTCTCAAAATGGTCCCTAAGTGACACTGTTCTGAGTATACTATAGTGTCCTAGGTCATGATAAGATAATAACCAACAGAGTAATTACCATTAGAACAACAGTTCCCTGCATAGAAAATGGCGTATAGCTGCATTATAAATTTAATTGGAGGTCTTGGGAGTCGGTGTGTTACAGTGAATCTTGTTTATAGGTAGATCAGAGTAACTTTTTATAACTGTTTAAGGTGGTAATCGCTTTCTGTGCTGGCAAAAAGTGAACAAATAAAATAAAATCTAAGATTGTTTGCACTCCTTTAGCAAAGTCCAGGGAAGTAGGGCTCCATTTTCACACGCTCCCATCTCTCACTGTAGGCTCGGGCGCATGATAGGGGCTGATTTTTTCCCTCATGGAATCATGGGTAGTTTCATCGCAGCTCATCTCTTTCTGTTTGTTTTATATAGGGCTGATAGTTCAGGACCATTCAGACCCCATGTTCAGTTCCTATGCCTATAAATCTCACTACCTACTGAACGAATCAAACCGTGCTGAGTTGATGAAATTACCTATGATTCCTTCTTCGTCAGCTTCCAAAAAGAAATGTGAGAAAGGTAATAACTAAAATAGTTTCTTTCTGGTTTTTATTTTTGCATTTTCCTTTTTCTCTCTTTCTCTCTTTAAATGAAGGGGGGGAATGTATGCCTGTCAAGCTCTGCCTGATGGTTTTGGTAGATTCTGCCATGGTGGTTGTGACTGTGTTTTCATATAGCTACGAAATTTAGCAAAAAGGGCTTAAAATTATTCTGTCATCACAATTTTTTACTTTTCTCCCTGAGTCAATTTTCACACATTCCAAAGGTTATTAAAATCTGAAGACTAGAATTCTACTTAGTATAAAAGACATTTAAGAAACTATTTCTCATTTGCTTGACCTAGAACTGTCATTCTATCCATGTTATATTAGGATAGTCATAATATAGTTTGTCAATACCTATAAGCAACTAACAAGAGAGGCTATTTAGAAAAGAAAACCAAGGTAACGGGTACTGGAAAAGATTGTTTCTGGAACTTATTCTGTTTTTTATTTCTTCAATATTTAGTTAAGATGCCATGAAAGCAAGAGCCCTCCCTTTCCATAGGAGGGAAGCTGGTGTTGAGAGCATACCCCAAATGCTAGATGTTGAAAGGTAGCCCAGCCAAATTACCAATGGGGAGTTTAGTTTATCCATAAAGAACCATGAGCTAAATGTATGTTCACATTCTTCAATCACTGTCATTCGTGCAAGGAAACTTTATTTGTGCTTAGCTTGCTGTAGCCTGCTTGTGAGAGAGGGAAAGTGACTGACTTCATGCTTATTTGGGGGTTCCATCTCAGAGCAATCATCTGAATTTGGAAGGTAGGATACGGCTTTTGCTTAATGTATTTTCATTATGATCTGGGGTCTAAGTTCAGAACTGATAAAGAAAAATTCATCATTCCTACCCAATATACCGTGTTTGTGTGTTAAGCATAGGTGTTTATTAGTGTTTGTCATTTGTGTTGCCTGTTTGATATATCCTTGCTCCATTGCTGGCCCAAGTGGCAATAATTGATCCTGAACGAGGCGATCAGAGCCTACTAGGTGTATCGAGAGGATTGGCCTATGGCTCGCTTCCTGCTGAGGTCACATTGCATTGCCTTACAGTGATGTTTATGCTTCCCAAGGAGGTGGGCCTTATTCCTTCACAAAGTAGTAGTAGTCTGTCAGTACATTTATAAAATGAGTTTAACTCAGTTGTTGTTTTGTTTCCAGCATTCAGTATTAACCTGACATCTATTGAAATGGTTTTGAGCCCTCTACTTAGCTTGAACGATGTATTTCCTCTCGTATCTGGAAAGCAGGTCTTTTTTTTTGTGTGTGGTTGTTTTGTTTTATTTTTATTTTTTTGTATAGCAACAAGGTAGACAGACCATTCATATTTTTATTTTTTTCTATATTCTTATATATTTTAGACATTTCTATCATGGTAGTTTTCACTGATTCTGGCTCTGTATTTCCTCTTAAATAAGACTGAAAATGTAGGACCACTTACATTGACACTGAACATGGCCAGCCCGACTTCCACAGTGGTGCTGATAATCACATGTCTCTAAGGCTGTCTGCAAGACAGGTCTTCCTCCTGATTGTTCTTTTTAATGGACTTAAAACATTCAAGCAACTAATCTCAAGACTGGAAAGTTGAACCGATTAATCCCCATTGATGCCTGCAGTCAAAGGGGAAGCACCGCTGACTGAAGTGTAGCTTGGCAGAGGAAATACAGTTCTTGGTTCATCACTGGTTGTATGTAGGTTTGCCTTTTGTTTTAAAGTTCCAGTTAGAGGTGTGAAAGTGCAGGAAGACAGGATCTCTGGAACACTATAAAAGGCTGGAGCATGTAGTCTGATGAAGTTATGTAGAAGGCTTTGCATCTCTGCAGCTTGTAGGTTATAGAGCTGGCTTGTCGATAGGAATGTCTCTCTCTTCAGTGGTTCACCTTTTCTGTTGCTTGTTGATATTCATACTAGAAATACCTAGTCACCCCCCCCATGTGTATTTGTTTGCATTCAAAGTGTTATTCTATTTGTCACACCTGTTTTGGAATCAACCTGGGAACATCTTAGTCTAAAAAGAGAGGGCTTAGGAGGAACCTGAAGTGATGCGTTTGCATATAGTACTTCATTCTCATTGTGAATTACTTAGTTTTGTGCTGTAAAGCAGCAGTTCTCAAACTTAAGTCAGAAATCTAGATATCCAAAGAAAAATTTCAAGTGTTTTTAGAAAATTAAGATAATTACACATTTATGCAATATAGAATTACATGAGGTTTATTGGCTATGACTTTGAACTATCCAACATGATAATACTATAATACTTGCTTTGCTTTTGGATCATAGCCCCCAACAGTTACGTATTTCTTTGGTCAATACAAATAGGAGAGCTGGGCATGATGGTGTATGCCTATAATCCCAGCACTTGGGAGACAGGCAAGAGGATCACCAGTGGGAAGTGTGAACTACAGAATGAGGCTATCTCCAAATAAAGGTGGAGGAAATCATTAATATTGAAATGCAAGTTTATTTTTGGTTGGCATGATTTTGAAAATCTGGGTCATATTTAGGAAAAAGGGAATCCTTGGTGATGGAACATTTTCAAACCACTGCTGTGTAGCCTGCCTGAGTACCTGCCTTCACTGAGAAGGTATTGGTGCTGTAAGGACCAGTTTAAGAATCTGTATTCCATTTTTGTATTTTAAGAAGTACTGATCAACTTAATGATTATTTTCATGCTTGGCTGATTTTATTATAAAGAGGTTTAGTTCATTGTGGCAGTGGATTAAAATACAGGCATGATTATTTCTTTCTTTGCTTGGAAGAACAAAAGAAAGCCATTTGTTTGAAAATGTACTTTCAAATCTACTTGGGTTAAAGAGTTTCTGTATCTTTTGTGATGTTTTAGCTAGCTGACACCTGCTTCCTCAGGTGCTCATGTTCTAAAGGGGCACAGCAGTGTTTTTGGTCCTACTCAAAAGCTCCGTGTTTCAAGTCACTGGAGTCTTAAAAATGGGCTGTTTCATTTGTTTCCTATTTTAATCCACCACTGTATCAATCCCTTTGTTTTTCCCATTCAAAAAAGATATAATGTACTTAAAAGGTAACTGTCCTGTCCTTCTTTCTCAGCCGCTCAGCCTGTTTGTCTGTTTCTAGGTGGCAAACTGCTGTGCTGTGAATCATGCCCCGCGTCCTTCCACCCGGAGTGCCTGAGCATAGACATGCCCGAAGGCCGCTGGAGCTGCCGCGACTGTAGCACGGGCAAGAAGCTGCGCTATAGACAGATTGTTTGGGCCAAACTGGGAAACTACAGGCAAGTTTTCCAAGGACAAATAGGAAGTAAGACTGTTCTGAGCCGACTTGAAATCTGCATGTAGTGAATTAGCACACAGGCAGAGACAGGCTAGGCTCCCCGAACAAAAGGGGTAAAGAACATGGGGTTTGGATATGGTTTTTTTAGGGGATTGGAAGGGTTATGTTCTTAGGTTCTGAGAATTATTTTATACTCATGAATTATGTGCTACTAAATTTTGGAATGAAAGGAATTACATGGAGAGTGGAGATTATGTTTTCTTTGTATCTTAGATCTCTCTTTTTAACTTATTTTTCTAAGTCTTATTTATTTGATTTGTGTGTATGGAAGCTTTATCGACCTGTATGTCTACATACTGTGTGTGTGCTTGCCTGTGGAAGCCAGCAGAGTGTCAGATTGCCCAGGACTGAGTTACAGACAGTTGTGAGCTACCATGTGAGTGCTGGAGATGGCACACGGGTCTTCTGGAAGAGCAGTAAGTGCTCATAATCACTGAGCCAACTCGTAGTCTCCAGTCTAATAAGATCAAGAGTTATAGTATAGCCTTGTCGCCATAGGTCCATTTGATTGATCAAGAGTTTATAGCCTTGTCCTGATAGATCCATTTGATTTTTTTTTTCTAAAATACTTTTCAATACAGGGTTTTTCTGTGTAACAGCCCTGTCTGTCCTGAAACTTGCTTTGTAGCCCGGGCTGGCATATTACTCACAGAGACCCGCCTGCCTCTGCCTCCTGAGTGCTGGGGTTAAATGTGTGCAGGCCGATTGTGCTCAAGTAGTCTTAAACTATGTGTAAAAGCCATATAAAGAGTGAGATTGGAGGCAGAGGCAGGCGGATCTCTGTGAGTTCGAGGCCGGGCTGGACCGGCAGCCTCCAAAACAAAACAGAAACCCTGTCTCGTGAAACCAAAAAAAAAAAAAAAAAAAGAGTGAGATTATGCCAGCACTCGGGAGGCAGAGGCAGGCGGATCTCTGTGAGTTCGAGACCAGCCTGGTCTACAGAGCGAGTTCCAGGACAACCTCCAAAACAATACAGAGAAACCCTGTCTCAAAAAACCAAAAAAAAAAAAAAAAAAAAAAAAAGAGTGAGATTACTCCAGTAAGATCCATTTGTACTTATTTATTAAATGGGGGCACACGAGTCACAGTACAACCATAGAGGTCAAAAACAGCTTTCAGGAATCTGTCTCTCCTTTTTACCATATGTGTTCCCAAGATAAACTCAGGAGGTCAGTGTTGGCAGCAGCACCCACCTGCTGAGCCACCTGGACAACCCAAGCCTTAGCTCTTAAAGGAACAAGAGCAGAGGCTGCAGAGATAGAGCACTTGCTGCTGCTCTTTAGAAGATCTGAGTTTGGGTTCCTCACACGCTTATCAGGTGGCTTACAACATCCCGTAACCTGGACTCCAAGCGTTCAGACATTCTCTTCTGGCCTCACACATGTGTACAAACATAAAAATAAAAACATAAGCCAGATGATGATGAAGTACACCTTCAATCCCAACACCCAGGAGGCAGAGGCAGGTGGATCTCTGAGTTCGAGGGCAAGGTCTGGTCTATAGAGTGAGTTCCAGGACAGCTAGGGCTACACAGAGAAACCCTGTCTCAAAAACAACAACAAATTGTGTGTGTGGTTAGCATTTTTAAAAAATAGTCTCCTTTAAGGTTTTGATGATTATTTAGTTATTATTTTATATGTGTGGATGTTTTCCCTGCCCCATAATGTGTTCTTACTATTTGGGGAAGTGTACATCTAATATTAATAGTGTCCATGACAAGATCATAAGTGAGGGGACCAGCGTGCCCCCCCACGCCCCCTCCTCCATTTTAGCAGCCATGACAGTCTACAGAAAAGACTCAACAAGTGCTTGCCTGACCTTGCCCCTCCTCCCAGTCACTAGGAGGTCAGATACCCACGTGACAAGGAACCAATCAGAACTTAGCTGATGTGCTTTATGGCACTTTATGGTAAAAGTGGCATAATGGTGCTGTGCAGAGCATAGCAACCACCCCTGGAGGGCCTATAGGTCATAACAACCAGTTGACTAATCAACACAGGACAGGTCGCCCCAGCCCAAAAGTGTACCAATCCTGAGACTGTTGTGTGCCCCTAGGCATTCCCCTTATGCTGCCCAATAAGTTCCCCACCTCGAGGTTTCTCCAGGTCTTTCTCATGCTGTCCACTGTGATGAATGGATGAAGTGCCCAAGTTAAAGACAGTTAACTCATTAAACAATAAAAGACTTTGTTTTTGCATCGGAATCGGTCTCTTGGTGATTTTGGCGTTCAGAATTTGGGCACAACAATAAGGGGAGGCATTTTTTCTACCTCCACCCTGTACTTATTAAACCGAATTGATTCTAAAATGCTAACTGACATAAAACTTTGTAGACAAATAATAAAAATCCAAAGACAGTTGAAGGTCAGCAAAGCAAAGTGGCCACCCACTAGAGAGTTTTCATTTCTATCAATGATCAGACTGAAGGGGCATCCTGTCCTCAGCCTGCCCTGAGCTCCTGTCTCCTCCAGCCTTATCTTCCTCTCTCTGCCCAGCCATATCACTTCTGTCTCCACCTCCCTAGTGCTGGGATTAAAGGTGTGAGCTCTTTTAGACGGATTCACTCCCATGTAGCCCAGGGTGACCTTGAACTCACAGAGGTCCTTCTGCCTCTGTCTTTGAGTGCTGGGGTTAAAAGTGTGTGCCACCACTGCCTGCCTCTTTGGCTGTGACCAGCTTTGCACTCTGATCTTCAGGCACGCTTTATTAGATCATAAACACAATATCATTACACAAGCTGATTCATGAGGTCAAGAGGCATTTCCTGCCTGACTGGAGTCCGGAAATGCTGATTTGCATGCCATGTTTACTCTTTACTATGGCAGTGGTTATTCTCAGAGTGATGCCTTTTACTGCTAGGGACAGCTTTTACTTTTGATAGATAATCTTTCTACCTGGGAAGATATTAAGTCACGCTTGGGAAAGTGAATTCTCTACAGTTAAATGTGCCGGGACCATATTAGTTAACTTCCCAGTTCCAGAGCTAGAAATGTGTCCAACATCTTTTTTTATTAAACATTATAACTGATACATTTGTGATACATACTTTATACGTTTTAAATGCTAATCTCTTAAGGAAAGAAACCAAACAAAGCAGATAGGGCCTGCTTTGTTTCACCTGTGTTCGTGTTTTGTTAATTTATTAATAGTTTTGTTTTGTGGGTGGTGGTTCTTAGAGACAGGGTCTCTGGGTGGTGGCGCACGCCTTTAATCCTAGCATTGGGAGCAGAGGCAGGCTGGTCTCTGTGAGTTTGAGGCCAGCCTGGTCTACGAAGACTTCCAGAACAACCAGAGCTGTTGTTACACAGAGAAACCCTGTCTCAAAAAACGAAAACAAAAGTATTGTGTTTTTAGAATCTGAATCTGATGAACCCCTTCCTCTCTGTCCACTCTGAAGAAGAGAGCAATTTTTCACTTTCTCACTTTTGTTTTCAGATGGTGGCCTGCAGAGATCTGCAGCCCCAGGTCCGTGCCACACAACATCCAGGGCCTTAAGCACGACTTGGGGGACTTCCCTGTGTTCTTCTTTGGTTCTCATGACTACTACTGGGTACACCAAGGCAGAGTGTTCCCCTATGTGGAGGGAGACAAAAACTTTGCTGAGGGACAGACTAGCATTAACAAAACCTTCAAAAAAGGTAAGCTGGCCCACGCTTACAGTGACTCAAACCACCACCCCAGTGCATGCTCCTTCAAATCCCCTTGTTTGCACACGAAGTTTCTGCCACTATTCTCCAGGCATTATGATTTTGCATTCATAAACTTACCCTGACGTCAGACCTGGATTTGAGATGCATAAACCCTGGGATGCTGTGCTGTGTTTGAAGTGTCTTTTAACCAGGTGACACTCCTTTGCCAAGCAGTAGAAAAGGCTTCCCAGGAAGAGCTTGGGGCCTTCACAACATGATGTAGTCTGCCTTTCTCAGTAGGGTAGACTTCATTTAAATCTAGGACAGGGTTACTTAGAGGCCTTTGTCATTGATGTAGGACTTCTGCTCTGAGGAACACGCAGAGTATAGTATTTGATGTGTTGTCCCCTGAATCATTATTACGTCTATAGTGATGGTGACTGGTGATTTCCAGGATATCATTTTAAAAAGTAAACCTTGGGCCAGATGCAGAGCATCTCTAAGATGGCGGAATTTAGCTTCCTGCCCTGCGGTGTATGTTTGCACTTTGATAATGGCCTGCTTGCCCTTCTTGTCAGCACTGGAAGAAGCTGCAAAGCGTTTCCAGGAGTTGAAAGCGCAGCGAGAAAGTAAAGAGGCTCTGGAGATAGAGAAGACTTCAAGAAAACCCCCTCCCTACAAACACATCAAGGTGAGCACGCCCATCCCTGGTGTCAAAGCCCCTGGGACCTGCAGATATGTTCCCCATGGGTCAGCGCCTCCTTGTTAGACGAGCAGTTTCTGAGGCTGCCTCAGCGGGAGTCCTGCCTGTGGGCCTGAGGGGGGACCCTGCCTAGGGTGCTGATAAGTGGGTCTTTGGCAAGCTGTTCCATACCCAGGAGCCACAGCTTATGTGAAATTTTGTTCTGTTTCTACCACATTATTCTGCAGTCAAATGATGATGTAGATCTTTAGTCCCTCTCTTCCAGACACTTCACAGATAGCTTATTTTCTGTTAATTTCAGGTATTCAATTTCTGTCAGCCTGTGGCAAGAGCAATAATCAAATGAGAATTAACATCAAAGTGAACACTTTGTCTAGTATATAGACATAGTTGTTATTCCTTGTTTGTGCAGGACACCTTAAGATGCAGAACTTCCCTCAGGGTCGTGTTACATGCTTAACGGTGTAGTTCCAGTTGCTCACAGGCCACCCACCTTCTCGCGGTTCTGTCTCCTAGGCTAACAAAGTGATAGGAAAGGTCCCGATCCAGGTGGCCGACCTGTCGGAGATTCCTCGCTGCAACTGTAAGCCTGCTGATGAAAACCCTTGCGGCTTGGAGTCGCAGTGTCTGAACAGAATGTCGCAGTACGAGTGTCACCCGCAGGTGTGCCCTGCTGGGGACCGATGTCAGAACCAGTGTTTTACCAAGAGGCTCTACCCCGATGCAGAGATCATCAAAACGGAACGGAAAGGCTGGGGCCTCAGAACCAAAAGAAGCATTAAGAAGGTAATCTGGTGGAGACACAGCCCAGAGCAGGGAGGGCCTGGTCTACAAGAGCAAGTTCCAGGACAGCCTTCAAAGCCACAGAGAAACCCTGTCTCGAAGAACCACAAAAAAATAAAAAAAAAGAAAGAGAGAAAGAAAGAAAAGAAAAACGAGAATCTCTAGTAAACCCTGCTATTGAAATAGTGGGTCTCAGATGTTAGAGGCATGGGGTCTCCTGAGGCTCTTGTCAGGGAACCAGATGTGGGGGAGGGTAGCCCAGAGGCACGTGGATGTCTGTGAGTTCAAGGCCAACCTGATCTGCAGAGTGAGATCCAAGACAGCCAGGGCTACAGTGTGAAGCCCTGACTCAGGAAAAGAAACTAACCGGGGCCTGGTCCTCAGCAGTTAAAAGCACTTGTTGCTTTTGCAGAGGTCCTGAAGTGCGGCTGCCACATCCGTAACTCCAGTTCTAGGGGATCTGATGCCCTCTTCTGACCTCTAGGCACCAGGCACATGTGATACACATACACGCAGGCAGGCAAAGCACTCTTGCACATACAATGAGAATAAATGTAAGAAGTGTTAAAGAGTACTTCCTGCTCTCACAGCAGACCCAAGGGGTGGAGTCAAGCTGTGAGCCTGGACAAGACGGATGAACAGAGTGATAGGTGGCACGGGTGAGATCGGGAGCCAAGGGCTAGGTCTCAGTTAGTACCTCAGACCAAAACTACTGGGATGTTTAGTAGGGTGGCTTGATTGATATGGCATATTAGTTTTCTGTTACTGCAAGAAAGTATTACCACAAAGCTAGCAACTTAAAACTGGGTGTGGTCCCTTACACTTGTTTCCATCACTTGAGAGGCTAAAGCAGGACTCTCTCCAAGAATGTGATGCTGGCCTGGGCTGTATAAACTTGTGAATTCTGGCCTAACCCTTAACAGTAAGACCCTGTCTCAGAAACAAAACAAGTTAGCAACTTAAGTGATGGGAGACATGGCTCAGCAGTAAGAGCATTTGCTGCTGTTACACACGATCCGGGTTCAATTCTCAGCACCCAGCATCCACATGGCTGCTCACAACCATCTGTAACTCTAGTCTAGAACGTGTGCTCATGCGTGTAGAAGTCCCGTGACAATCTGGGTGTTGTTTCTAAGCCGTTTTCATGTCTTTGACATGTCTTAGCAGCTTGGGGAGGAAACGTCTTATTTTAGCTTACAGTTGTAGCTCATCATGAAAGCAGTCAGGGCAAGAACTCAAGGCAGGAACCGAAGCAGAGGCCAGGAAGAAGGAAGGAAGGAAGGAAGGAAGGAAGGAAGGAAGGAAGGAAGGAAGGAAGGAAGGAAGGAAGGAACGCCACCCCCGGCGCTTATGCTGCTCCCCGTGGCTCAGTCAGCTCTCCTCCCTGTCTTTGTTTTTTTGTTGTTTTTAAAGCTGACTGTCCTGAACTACTATGTAGTCTAGGCTGCCTCTACCTCCCAAGTGAATGGTGTGTGCCACCACAGCCTGGCCAGCCTGCTTTCTTAGACCATCCAGGTCCACGCCCATGGTGGGCAGCTCTCAGTGAGCTGGGCACTCCCCGATCAGTCACTAACCAGGAGAATACCCTGGTGACATGATGGACACATTTTCTCGTTTGGGTTCCACTTGTCAGATAACTCAGCTCCTGTCAAGTTGACAAAAGGCCAACTAGGTGAGACTTGCTGTTTGAGACAGGGTTTCTCATTGACCTAGAACTTCTCCAGCGATTTGTCTGGTCCTTACCTCCCATCACTCACTAGGATTTCAGGCATCTGCCATCATGCTTGACCTTTTAGTTTTGGGGATCTGAGATCGTGTCTTCACATCTGAGAGGGGGACACTATCAACTGGGCCAGCTCACAGCTCTGGTTTTTGTTTTTTACTTTTTTGTTTGTTTTTTTGAAGACTGGTTTCTCTGTGTAGCTCTGGTTGTCATGGAACTCTCTGTAGACCAGGCTGGTCTCAAACTCACAGAGATTTGCCTGCCTCTGCCTCCAGCCACCATGGCCCGGGTGTTTTTTACATTTTTAATGGCTTGTCTGAGATAACTGGGAGAGGCGGATTCACATACACTTGCACACCGTGGTCCTTGGTGAGAGTGGAACATCTCTCAGTACATCATGTGGGTTCATGGTGTCAGACTCAGGTTACACACTAAGCCATTTTTGACCCCTAGCCCTAGGGTTTTGTTGTTAAGGCAAGATCTCATGTGTCCCAGACTGGACTAGAAATCAACATGTCCTATCTGTACTTTCCACGTGCTAGGATTATAGCACATGCTGTCACATGGAGTTTATGCGCTGTTGGGGATTGAACCCATGACCTTGTACAAAGTATGCAAGGGCTCTACTAATTGCATTACATTCCCAGCCCTTGGCCTTCTTTTTTCTTTTTTGAGACGATGTACATACACTTCACACTGTGGTGCTTGATGAAAGCAGTGTAGGAGCACTAGCTACTCTTTTCTTTTCAGTTCATACATATGCTGTTAAAAATGCTATTCAGCCGGGCGGTGGTGGCGCACGCCTTTGATCCCAGCACTTGGGAGCCAGAGGCAGGTGGATCTCTTTGAATTCGAGGCCAGCCTGGTCAACAGAGTGAGTTCCAGGACAGCCTCCAAAACAATACAAAGAGGGCTGGAGAGATGGCTCAGAGGTTAAGAGCACTGCTTGCTCTTCCAGGGGTCCTGAGTTCAATGCCCAGCAACCACATGGTGGCTCACAACCATCTATAGTGAGATCTGGTGCCCTCTTCTGGTGAGTTGACATATGTGTAGGCAGAACACTGTACATAATAAATAAATCTTAAAAAAATACATAGAAACCCTGTCTCGAAAAACAAACAAAAAATGCATTACAGTATAGTGCATGGATTTTACAGTTCCGTATTAAATGCCTCTCTGCAGGGTGAATTTGTAAATGAATATGTTGGTGAATTAATTGATGAAGAAGAATGCAGACTTCGAATCAAGCGAGCGCACGAGAACAGTGTAACTAATTTTTATATGTTAACTGTTACCAAGGTAAAATTGCTTTTATTTTTTGGTGAGAAAAAGGGACTTTATGTTTTGTTCATAGTATTATGTTGAACCTAGTTTCTCTTCATTTCATTTTCTCTAAGTATAATATATGATTTTCAGTACTCAGTGGTGTAATTCTCTCAGGAGTACAGAAGGAACCCTCATAGGTATGAGACTCTGGCAGGAGTCTAGCCAGAGATAGAGAGACCGCGTCTAGGCTTCAGTTGTTGGGTCCTAGTTCCAGATCTGAGTCAGTGAGAGACCTGGTTTCTTTATCACTGTCAGAGGAATCAACTCTGATTCTGAGTAATAAAATACCTTGAAATTTTTAGTTAGCCAAAAATTCAGAAAGTTTCTGTGTATTTATTAAGCTTTTAAAAAGGAAATGACAGCAGAGCTGGAGAAATGACTTAGTGGTTGAGAGCATTTGTTGTTCTCGAAGACAACCTGGGTTCAGTTCCCCACACCCACATGCTGGCTCCCAGCCGTCTAATGTCAGTTCCAGGGGATCTGGGGCTCTCCTCTTATCTCCAAAGACACCAGGCACACATTGTGACACACACATATCCATGCAGGCAGTGTACTCATACACGGAAAATAATGAAAGTTGTCATAAGAAAAATGGCAGTAAACTACTAATTTAAATAAAACTTTAGCCAGGATTGTGGCACATATCTATACTCCCAGCATTTGGGAAGGTAAGGCATGAGGATCAGAAATTTAAGTTAGAGACTACCCTGGGCATTGCAGCTGTGACCTCAGTTACTGTAGCAGTCCACAGGGGAAGGGAAGCCCCGGTCAAGGTACAGTTCATCTGTTTAGTGTGCTGTCACACTTTAAGGACCAAGACTAGTACCCGTGTTCCCTGTGTTCTGATTGAGGTCATGGCTCCATGGTAAAGCATGCACTGAACACATGTGAGGCTGTGGGTTTGAGCCTCATCCCAAGCAAAACAACAAGAATAGTAAAAGAGATGGCTGGGCATGGTGGCGAAGGCCTTTAATCCCAGCACTTTTGAGGCAGAGGCAGGTTGATCTCTGTGAGTTCAAGGACAGCCTGGTCTACATAGTAAGTTCCACACTAGCCAGAAATGCATTGTAAGACCCTGTCTCAAAAAAGAAAAAAAACGTTTATTTTGAAAGTATTCTAACTACATGTAGTTATGTCATTATTTGAAAATTTTTACACTTTCATTTGTTTCGTGAGCATAACTTCGGTTGCCATTTCATGCTGTAGTCTGCCTCTGAATTCCAGTCTCACTGAGTTCAGGTCAGTCAGCGTGACATTCTAGAGCTTCAGGCTTGGAGCTTATCCACGTTGTTAAGAGTCGAAACTGAGGGGGCAACTGTCTAGTGTTTTCAAGTGAAAACAAAGTAGGTAGCGACTGGAAAGTATGCCCCTCGTGAGAGCAGAGACACGGTGCCTCTCCACATCCTCCTTGGGGGAGTCCCAGCCCCCTTCCCACCTGCATCTGTCCCCCAGTTTCACTTCTTGCTTAGAGCGGGGAAAGAAAAACTGAGAACAAAGTAACTGAGTAGTTGGCTATGCGAATGGTGTAGCCCTTATCAAAAACACCTGGACATGTGGCCTAGACTATCACCATCACACCATTCTACGCAGTGTCTAGGTAGAAGCTTTAAAAATCTAAGACCATCAAACGGTAACTACACAGAGGGTGACTGTTGTGTCTTCAGAACTGCCCATTGCCACACGCCAGCTGTGGCAATGATGTGTGTTTCTAAATGGGCTTGCATTAGTTTATGTCAAAAGTATCCCACCCCCCTTATTTTCTCCCCTTTCTGAAGGACCGAATAATTGATGCTGGACCAAAAGGAAATTATTCTCGTTTCATGAACCACAGCTGTAATCCAAACTGTGAGACACAGAAGTGGACAGTAAACGGAGATGTTCGAGTTGGGCTGTTTGCTATTTGCGATATCCCTGCAGGTAAAGGGCGACTTGCTGTCCTGGCTCCCTCTGTGGGAGACATCTGGTCTGTCAGGGAGGACATTATCCTTTAAGTCTTGGCACCCGAGTGTTGATTCAGATAAGATAACATGCTCTATTTGTAACTTGGTATTATTTGCCAGTGCAGTCAAGGTGCATCCAAAGAGAGAACTTACCAGTAGGCCTGGTGGTGGTGTGTGTGTGTGTGTGTGTGTGTGTGTGTGTGTGTGTGTGTGTGTGTGTGTGTACACCAGTGTGTGTGTTACTACTTTCAGTGTAGATACATGACTTTCCCAAAATACTTCTATCTATATGATGTCTTAACACACATACCAAATGTAATCAACTAGCTTATGGGCTGTGGTGGCACACTCCTTTAATCCCAGCACTCGGGAGGCAGAGGCATTCGGGTCTCTGTGAGTTTGGCACCAGCCTGGTCTATAGAGCGAGTTCCATGGCTACTGAGAAACCCTATCTGGAAAAAACAAAAGAAAAGTAACCAGTTTGTGGTGACTGGAGAGATGGCAGCTGTTAGTCCTTCTTTTGCAGGGGGCCTGAGCTCAATTCCCAGCATCTGTGTAGGGTGGCTCACAACCGCTTGAACTCCAACTACAGGGGGTCAGATAGGCCTCTGGCTTCCGTAGGCACCACCCGCATTCACACATACACATAATTAAAAATAATGCAAGTCAATCTTTTTATAAAGAGTAATTTGCTTGTGTCAGCATCAGCTGGTTTCTTTTTCTTTCTTTGGTTTTTCACTCTGAAAGACCACTCTGTCTCAGAGTTGACAGGGAACTTTCATTCTCCTTCCCTTCTTAGCTTCTCATCGAAACCTGCATTGTCTCCTAAGGCTTAGGGAATTGGTAAGAGCAATTCAGTCCTGAGGACAAACTGAAGCTCTTTCTAGACTCTGGGTTGGTCACACCTGACTGAGAGTGTTAAAGGGCTTCAGTTTGGGTCCCTGGAGCTTTCACGTGGGTCATGAACTTGAGTCATGAGTTTGAGTTGTGAACTTGAATTTGTTCATAGTGGAAAGCATTCCTAACACTGTCACAATGCCCTGTCATGTTGTTCATTTAGAAACTGGAGTGCATTGGTGGTGCACACCTTTGATCCCAGCACTCAAGAGGCAGAGGCTGAAGGATCTCTGTGAGTTCAAGGCCAGCCTGGTCTACAAAGTGAGTTCTAGGACAGTTATGGCAACATAGAGAGACCCTGTCTTGAAAAACAGAACAAAACAAAACAGAAAAAGAAACCAGAGTTCAGCTTTAAAGGAAGCCTAGGCTAGAAGCCCTTCTTCTTGATGGTAGATCACATGTTCGGGTCTTAACCGCTTCTATAAAAGGGTGTGTCGTCTGCTTAGAGCATTTAGCGTTGCCGTACTCGTTGGCAGGGATGTCAGCCACGTCTCCACTTTCCTATCATTGGTTTTTGGTGAGATGGGATGTAGAAGGAGGAAGTCTTTAAACTTGTCTTCTTTTTGGTGTGTCTACATGATGTGTGCGTACGTACGTGCTCATGAGACAGATAGTGACTTCTGGAATTAGGCTCTGCTCTCCCACCATGGGGTCTGAATCAAACTCACGGTGCCAGGCTTGCGTGGCGAGCACCCTCACCTGAGCTGTCTTACAAGTCTTTGTGTTAGAACCATGTGTCGGCGTACCCGTGTCTGGAGTATCTCTTCCTCGTGCGTCACTGTGAATAATTATTTCTCTTGTGTTTTAGGGATGGAGTTAACATTTAACTATAACTTGGACTGTCTGGGCAACGGCCCAACAGTGTGCCACTGTGGGTCAGACAACTGCAGCGGCTTTCTAGGAGTGCGGCCAAAGGTCAGTTGTACAGAGTGCCCCAGCCAAGGGCGGGGAGGGTGCGTGCTGAAGGAGCCTCTTGACTCTGTAGGCCACTGCAGCGTTACAGAACCCTGCCACTCTGTGGGGTCTGTTGATGACTCTCCGTGGTGGAGGGATCTCATGGAGTCAGCGCAGGCTGGCATCGAACTGTTGTTGAGGATGACCTTGAGTTCCTGATTCTTCTGCCCTCACCTCCCAGATTGTTGGGGCCACAGGGTTCCACTACTGTACTTTTGATGAAGCTTGTTTTAGTAAGGTCTGGTTTTTCTGAAATGTTCTAAAGCTCACTGGATTATATACTTTTAAAATGGTGAATGTCGCTGGGCGTTGGTGGCGCACGCCTTTAATCCCAGCACTCGGGAGGCAGAGTCAGGCGGATCTCTGTGAGTTCGAGACCAGCCTGGACTACCAAGCGAGTTCCAGGACAGCCTCCAAAGCCACAGAGAAACCCTGTCTCAAAAAACCAAAAAAAAAAAAAAAAAAAAAATGGTGAATGTCACTAGGTGTGGTGACTCAAGCATGTAGTCCTAGCACTTGGGAGGCAGGGGTAGGAGAATTGCTGTTAATTCCAGACCAGCCCAAAAGGGAAAATAAAAATAGAAACAAACAAACAAAAACCTTACATAAATACAAGGTGTTTGTTGTAGCATGTAAGTTACAGGTCACTGGGGGAAAGGCAGGCTGCCTGGAGTCTGAATAGTAATGAAGTAAAGCAGCTTGCAGCTAACCACCATTACAATTAAAACAAAGAACAGCTCAGCAGTTGGACATTGTCTTTGAACACAACCTAGCAATCACTGACCAGTCAATGCGCCGCCATCATGCCTAGGGAAGATGGTCACCTTGGACGTGTAGCTGTTTGGTTGCAAGCATCTCACTTCTGCTGGAATGGTGGCTCAGTAGGTAAGAAAGACACTCATTCTCCAGAGGGCCCACATGCAGTTCCCAGTGTCTGCATCAGACCCTCCCAGCCCTCTGGTAACTCCAGCTCTGGGGATTTGGTGCCTCCTGTGTCCGTGCACACCTGTGCTCATGTGTGCATACTTACATGCAAACACTCACACCTACACATTAAAGAAAGATCATTGAACTTTGCGATGATTATCTAAAATGCTTCAGTGCAGGAGCAGACAATGTGGGCTCCAAGCAGATCCGCATGGTCCTCCGAGGGACAGCTATGGTGCCAATGGACAAGGACATCCTGAGGAAAAGCCATTGGGGGATTCTGGAAAAGAGCTCAGCTCTGGAGAAACACTTGTGTCTGGGGGTGGGGTGGGGGACGGTTTGTGTTCACCAAGGAGGATCTCACTGAGGTCAGGGACTCACCAGCTGCTGCCCGTGTTGATGCTGTAGCCCCATGTGAGGTCACTGTGCAGCCCAGAACACTCGGTTCTAGAAGACCACTTTCTTCGAAGCCTTAGATGCCACCTCTGAAGTCTGCAGGGGTGATTTCACCACTGAAACTCTGAGCAATGTGCAGCGAGGAAGCCTGGAGACCAATGGGAGCCAGCAATACCACGCTGCTGACGCTGGGCAGCTTCCCCTTTCCACGCTGGGCAGCCAGCAGGTGTTTGACCCGGGCAAACATCAGAAGTCCAGAACCGAAGTGCATGACATCACAGAGGAAACTACCAGCAGCGTCACCAGTGTCTGTCTGTGGAATGGGCATCTAACTGTCGCCTCAGCACCATGTTCTGTCATCAGACTGGTCCTGGCTTAGTGTGTGGCGACTTTCCACTTGCTGAAGTATCAAGGCCTTGTTAGTGGCCGCTCCTGCTCCCACTGAGGCCCCATTCAAGACTGGAGTCGGAGAAGGATATGGAGTTTGGCTTCTTGACTGATTTCTCCAAAGCACCTTCTACCTCAGCCAAGTTAATCTGAGAAACATGGGAATGAAGGCCTGCCTCCCTTTCCCTCTCTTTTTAAAGCCGCCTGGTTAAAAAAAAAAAAAATGAAGGAAATGGGGGCTGGAGAGATGGCTCACTGGTTAAGAGCAGTGGCTGTTCTTCCAGAGGACCCAGGTTCAATTCCTAGCACTCACATGGCAGCTCACAACTGTCCGTAACTCCGGTTCCAGGGGATCCGACACCCTCACAGACATACGTGCAGACAAAACACCAGTGTACATAAAATAAAAATAAGTCATTAAAAAAAACAATCAAGGAAATGACAAACAGGATTGTAGTTTTCGCCTGATCCACTGTTTCCTAGCAGTGCACTCAATAGCCTTCTTCAGAGGAGCCATGACAGTGACAACCCTGGCTTTATCACACGCTGCTGTGAGATAAGCCCTTCTGGCGTTTGAGGGACACACCGAGACACAGTTAAGGCCGAGGTGTGCACCTGACACTGTGTAAAGCCTCATGGTTCTCTGATTTTGAAACTGTGCTGTCTGTCTTCCCAGTCTGCAAGTGTGGCCGCAGCTGACGAGAAGACAAAAAATGCCAAGTTAAAGAGAAAACGGAAACTCAGAACAGAGCCAAAGCAGATCCACGAGGACTACTGTTTCCAGTGTGGAGATGGGGGAGAGCTGGTCATGTGTGACAAAAAAGACTGTCCCAAAGCGTACCACCTCCTATGCCTTAACCTGACTCAGCCACCATGTGGTAAGCTGGACCTTCAAGCCATTCTCTGCTTCAGGGTTTGCCATTTATGTGTAACTTAGGATGCACTCTGCTCTCTTTCATAGAACTGTGAAATAAGAAACATTTCACAGAGCATACAAAATTACTCTGGTCAGAACCCACATGTGGTAGCAAGGACAGGTGTCTTACTTATGATTCCTAGAGGTGGGTAGTTGGCACCTAGGACATTGGGCTTGGGCCAGTAGCTCATGTCTGTATGAAATAACACGACTACGTGGTTGTTTGACTGGAGTCTGGAGCTGGATTTGGTTAGAATTAGTCTCTCAGCAAAGAAGGTAGGGTATGAGTCAGGTGCAGGGGGCACATCCTTTATTTATCCCAGCACTTGGGAGGCATAAGCAGGTTGGTCCCTGGGAGTTTGAGGCCAGTCTGGGCTCTATAGACAAGCATTGTTTCAAAAGGAAAGAAAAGGCCGGGCATGGTGGCATTTACCTCTAATCGTAGCAGGTAGGCCAGGCCAGCCAGGCTACAGAGTGAGACCCTATCTCCAGGAGCAGGGGAGGACACTTGGCTTTTTTCCTGGGTAATGAAGAACCAGGCTAACAGGCGCTCTCCTTCTCTGACCCTGCCTTAGGAAAGTGGGAGTGTCCGTGGCATCAGTGTGCTGAGTGTGACCGAGCAGCCATTTCCTTCTGTGAGTTCTGCCCACGCTCATTTTGTAAAGATCATGAAAAGGGGGCTCTTGTGCCCTCTGCACTAGAAGGTCGTCTCTGCTGCTCTGACCACAACCCAGAATCTCCCGTGTCACCAGAGTTTTGGAGCAAGATCAAATGTAAATGGGAATCACAAGATCATGGAGAAGAAATCAAAGACTGAATGGTGGTGATTTCCTCCCCTGCTGTTCTAAACAGAAGAAGCAGTCAGATGATGCATTTAAAACCAAGCGATGCTAGTGTGTTTGCCTTCGGACTGCCTTACAAAAGGAAGATGAGAACCAGTTCACATGGGCTAAGCAGGGGGGTCTGCTCTCTCTAATTATTATTGCTTTGGGGATAATTTTGTGGACAGTGACATTCCCTTGGGGTTGCCTTTTATTGTGCTTCAGTGTCTTTGCAACTAGCGAAAGAGGTGTCCTTGTTTGAGAGAGAGAGAGAGAGAGAGAGAGAGAGAGAGAGAGAGAGAGAGAGAGAGAGAGAGAGAGAGTTCTGTCAATAAGATCAAGCCTAAGATGCAATCCTTGGTTGTATAAAGCAAAATTAGCCATTCCTTTATTTATTTTCATTTTTAGGAATTGTGAGAAGTTTAGTTTTAACAATCTAACCTCTGTGTGAGAGTGTCTATGTCTGTGTGTGTGTGTGTGTGTGTGTGTGTGTGTGTGTGTATCTTTATATACCTCTTTACTGAGCCGTGGCTAGGCTAACTTTCCTACTCGCCATGCCTTCTCTAGTCTCAGACAAGGCTCTCAGCAAGTATTCAGTCTGGCCTTGAGAGCTTTTACCTCTGAGGTCTTAAACTAGGTGAGCGATGCGGAAACTACCTGGAAATGTGGGGGGGGGGGGCGGGGAATGTCCAGTAGGGAAACGGGAATGAAATGCACTCACTGATTCGGGATGTCATCCATTTACAGATTTTCTGCTGAGTGCATTTGTGGGGATGTGGCTACATAGGAGGGTGCTCACTCCTGTCACCCTGACACATTATCAAGAAGCACAGACCACAAGCTGGGTCATACATGCACCGTTTCCTGACCACCTAGGGTAGACTCCAGCCTTATTTGGACTTTAAGGGCATTTGATTTTCTGTCTTTCCTTCTGCCACTCATGTTCCCTCTGCCAGATGGTCACTATTTCCTGGTAGAGCTATATAATTGAACCTGATTTCTATTTTATATTTTTTTCAGTTGATTTCCTAACTTGGGGGTGGTAAAAGTAGACAGAGACATCCCCAAGTTATATGTGAACAGTTTTTCTTAGTATTATACAATGCTTAAAATTGCCCCTATTGAGTAAGGGAAGAACACTCACAGGGTATGTAAGGGCTGTCTGTGGAGACGCACTTCATTTTAGAAAGCACTTGAGAACACTCGCTTCCAAGAAAGTTGGTGTTTGAAAACATGGCTGTGATGTTTAAATAGAACAGATTCGAGCATTGCAACGTGTCTGTCCACAGAGTACACCTGCATCTAGCACTTAGGAATGTATCTATCCCAGTATTACATGGATGAGATCATGTGAGACTGTAACATCAGACTCAGTAGAAGCCTAGTGTCACTGTGAAACGTGAACTTTCTTAGTGAAGTCTAACTGCTTGCCGGCAGGCAGTGCACAGTCGGGCCATCCTCCTCAAGAACCTAGCGCTTCTCTAACGCGGGTAGAAGATGCTCTCCGACACCCTGGAGTTCTATCGTGTGTTTGTTCCTTTTTCAATTTTTTATGAATCAATTCAGACCTCTTTCTCTGGGTGAAAGAGCAATTTTGTGCCTCTTTTTTTAATATATATATAAATGTGCAATTTCTAGACGACAGACACTACAGTTTCCCTCTCTAAGCTCCTAAACTGCCCCCTCCTGGATGTAGCACTTCTAGTGATCCTGTGGTTAAACAAGCTCCCACGAGGAGGAAGACAGGGTGTTGCAGTGTGCAGTGCTCTCACTCCGACTGATGTGAAGCATAGCCCATGCAAACACTATACTTGCTCTTTAGCAATTATCAAGTTTGATGTCCTTTAAAAAACAATGTAAGTATATCTGGGTTCTATTATACTAAAATATTATTTTATACAGATATGATAAACATTTTCTAAACTCACTGATAAAGGGTTTCCTTTGATATTCCAAATGTAACTCTTGTGAGAACAGTGTCCAATATGAAATTGTATCGTATTTCCTTTTTGACTTTAGGCTTTTTTAGTATTGGATAACTTTTATATAGTAAGCCCCAAGGTGCATCATGTATTTATAAATACCTTAGGTTGTTTATCGCTACTCAGCTTCTTTGGTGTGGCTGTTTGTTTTTCTATCTCTAAAAGAGCTCTGCAAAGACTTCTCAGATCTCTCTTGATGACTAATAGGATTGTTCTGCTGTTTCAGAAGCCAAGGTGTGGGTCAGAAAGCTCAGCATAGCCCAGACGTTTCCAGTACTCCAAACTTGGCTCTGCCAATGCAAGGGCTTCTTCCTGGGCTCTCGTGGCCTAGGTCTGCCTTAGAGTTGAGGGTGAAAAAGCAGAAGGCTCATTGACTGTGTAAGTATGCATACATATACCAGGCTCTCCCTGTCCTACGTAAGAGTATATCCAGAAGGCACCATGCTTACTCATATCTGAAACTGGTATTTTTTAGCTTTTAAATCTGTATGTGGTATGAAGTATTTGGGGCTGGTTTTGTTCACTCCAGAAATGACAGCACTTGGAGCAGCACAGGCCAAAGGTGTAGTTTTCACCTCATTCTGAGTCTTTGGAGGAAGATGAGAAACTAGATTAATAAGAGCTGGAGATGGTGTCATGAAGCTGTCACAGGCCCTGTGCCTGTGCTTGGAGGCCACCCTGGGCTGCCACAGTAGCTGCATGTGCCTGGCTGAGGAGGAAAGGACAGTGCTCTCCCGGCCAGTGTGCGGAAGCAGCCATTCACCTCTTTAATCTCCTGGCCGTTGCAGATCAGAGTGGATTGAATTTCCTCTTTACCTTTGCACTGCAAGCCTACTTCATTTCCATTCACAAAGACTATCTTCCCTAAGCTGTAGAATAGACTGAGTTTGGGAACCATGGGAACGTGGAGGTTTCTGTGTGTTGTATAGATAACAAATAATATATATACATATATATATATACATATATAAGTGAGGTAGCATACTTGAAACTAAAAAGGTAATTGTGGAAGGGACTGCAGCTAGCTGCTGCCCCTTCTGCCCGCCACAGTATTTGCAAGCGTGTCTGTAAGTGATGTGGAACCACGAGACACTGGGTGTCTGTGTCTTGTGAGACACTCAGATGGGTGGGGCTGCTGGAGAACTCTCACGAAGTAGTTTCCTTTTAGAGTTCTTTCTTATGTGATAGGTTCTGTTAGACCTGCAGATTGAAGACATACTGTCATCTATTCAGAATGTAGACCTGGTTCCCCAGGACCTGCTGCTTATCTGTCCTTTTATTTTAAACACAACACTCCTGCAGCATTCATTCTCCGCAAAGCTGAGGTACTTCCAGCCCCGCATCATGTCCTAATGGGAGAGGAAAACAAATTGCCCCTGAGTCTCCCAGCTTGGGTAACTTGTAGTTTCTGTGTTTCTCGAGAGGACAAGCACATCGGGAAGCTGCTTTACTGCTAGACTTGGATTCTTTCTCACATGCCTGTTACGTCTGACCACTCTGCTAAGCTGCTGTAGACAGCACAGGACGTGATCAGATAGACAGGCCCTTCATGAAGGACCAGCCAGCCTGGGTCTCTGGTTATTTGTAAACAAAAGTAAACCTTGGTCCATTTTCAGTTGGACTCAAGGAGTAAATGTAGACATCTTTGCAATGGTTAGCAAATACTGAGAAGCTGGACGTTTGTAGGTACTGAAGCATCAGACAGCTTGACCTGGGGTAGGGTACTGGGGATCTTGAAAGTAATAGAGCAAGGAAGGCGGTGGCCAGTGCTCGCCACAGGCACAATGCTGTCCCTGCAACACTGAGACCTCCGCCTCATTGAATGCGGGTTCTTCAAGTGCTTGAGACACCCCAGATTCTCATTACAGTTCCCTACGTGGCAGCCCTGCTTTGTGTTCTGTCAAGTTCTTCCAGTGGAGCGTAGCAGTCTTAGGTTTGTTGGTACCTTTGGGGAAGATACCTGCAGGAGATATCGACTGCATTTTTAGAAATAATTTCCTATGGTTTTGTTTTGTCTTTTTTGTTTGTTTGCTTCATCCCAAGTATCTCTTTTTCCCTTTTAATATATGCCTGGGTGGGTGTAGGAGTGTGTGCGGAGGGAGGGGGGGTGTTTGCATTTATGTTACACTCCGGAAATGCTATGTGTAATCCTGTTTCAAAAACCCATTTCTGCTGCCAGGCATGGTTGCGCATGCCCTTAATCCCAGCACTCCAGAAGCAGAGGCAGGAGTACATCTGTGAGTTCAAGGCCTACATAATGAGTTTCAGGACATCTAGAGCTATGCAGAAACCCTGTCTCAAAAGGCACATAAAAGAAAAGAAAATTATGTTGTTTGGCTTTTGTCAAGCCGTTGCCAAAATGGCGAATGTGAGCACTTGTACCTGTGTGGGAGGTGGGGAGAAAAGTATTGCTTGTCCTTTAGTAGGCTCTGAAAGTCATGAATGTGGAAGTTAAAGGGGGACTAGAAGTTGCCAGAGTCAGTATTGAGTCCTTGGTTTTCCTGTGGCTTCACTAGTCTGCTAAGGGATGAGAGGCACTCTCAGCCTCCACTGTCTTTTTCCTCACCTGCTGACAGAGCCTTGTGTGTGCAGATGGCTTTCTAGCATTTGCCGGTTTGCCTGGATAGGGGTTCTTGTCAATTAAAAGGAACGAGGAAATTTTACATTTGCTTTTGTTGTCAATTATGTACCCTATGGTAACTGTACTGCCAATTATAACCAAGATGCTAACTGATTACAACTGACTAAAAAAGATCTTTTTATATACAAAAATTTGTGTATATTTTGAATTGATATGACAAATTCATGTGTGCCCATTTGAATATTACACAATAAACGAATACCTGCAGATTCTGTCTTCATTCTTTGTGTTCTTTGAATAATGTTCTTTACAGATTGTTTACATCTGTGTTTACCTGTAATGGACTTTGTAGTTCCTGTGAAGTATTACTTTGCTTAAACCACTTGAGTCCTTAATATTCAAAGTGTCAACCTTCACTGGTCAGTCTTTTTAGTTTCTGTGACTTGACCAGAAGCTCCTAACACTAAGGGATTAGTGCTAATTTTCCCCGGGGATATTCTTCGAGGGCATTACTGTATAATGACTTTGAAATATAGCTTAAGGATTTTGTTGATTGACAAATGTTTTATTGGAAAAATGAGCCTATCCATCTTGGTCAACCTGTATAAAGAGAACTTACTGTTAACTGGTCGTAGTGTAGGATTGCCTGTAATAATTAAGCTTCTAACTGACATGTGCTGGTGGGACAGTTTTTTGTACATTGTATTTACCGAAAAGTTTGCCTTTTTAATTTTACAGATACTTTAGAATTCAGATGTCTTTTCTGCTTCTGTAAGAATGTGGAAACGTTTTTAATGGCATTCCATTGGTTTCAGGTCTTGCTTGAGGTTGACTTTAATAAATTGTCCTATATGTTCTAATTAAGTATATGGGCTTGTTCTTTGCCTGTAATTTCATGTCCAGTTTACTGGGAAATAATACACACACACACACACAAAAAAAATCCACCCAACTTCAGCCAGGTTTTTCCCCTTAAAATGCTGCTAAGAAATGGTTTCTTTAAGGTGAGCTTTCTGTTTTGTTTTTGTAGAGGAAGGGTCCTTGGAGGATGGCGTTCCTTTCAGTGCTCTATAAGGTGATCCGGGTACCAGGTGGTTGAAGGGCACTTTCAGTCCAGTGTTTTGAGACCCAAAGGTGGCCTGCTGGTTAGTCAATGGTCAGGTCACGCCGGTCAACCAGAGGACAGTGCCAGGAGGTACTCAAAGCAAATGAGTCCTGAATGGCCTATTTCCCCGAAGCTCCTGGACTGCTGCAGCAGCTCCGGGAGGTCGGAGGCCCTGCGGGTGGTGTCTCCTCGGAGCTCGCCAGGTGGCGCTGAGCCCCGGGCTGAACCACGGCGCGGGCAGAGCCAGCCACGTCAGCACCTGGTGGCGGAGCCGAGCTGCGGGATGGGGACGGCGGCCTTGGGAGCGGAGCTGAGCGTTCGGGTCCTGCTCTTTGTGGCCTTCCTGTAAGGATTTGTCAGAACACTCCCGGGCGTCCCTGGGTGCTCGCTCTTGAGAGGCCTCTCCGGGCGGCAGGTCCTTCCGCCCAAGGAGCCTGTCAATCTCCGCCCTTTTCCCCCTCAGGGTGACCGAGCTGCTCCCTCCCTTCCAGCGACGGATCCAGCCGGAGGAGCTGTGGCTCTACCGGAACCCGTACGTGGAGGCCGAATACTTCCCCACCGTCCCCATGTTTGTGCGTGAGCTGCCCTCCCCGCGCCCGCGGGGCCTCCTCCCTGCCTTGTGCTCTTGGTGCCCGAGTTGAGTCCTTGAGATGCAGGTCGAGAGCATGGCGTCTGGGTGGGGGAGCGAGGCAGCTGGTGGCTTTACCTGCCATGTGTTCTCGTTCAGGTCATTGCATTTCTCACTCCACTGTCCCTGATCCTCCTAGCCAAGTTTCTGAGGAAAGCTGACGCCAACGACAGCAAGCAAGCCTGCCTGGGTAAGAAGCCCTTCTGGTTTCTCTGCTAGTGCTGGCAAGGAGTTGTGGGGTGCAGCCACTGGAGCCTGGTGTGGACCGCTAGGGTACGCCCTCTAGCCCCGCTTGTACCGGCAGAAAACAGTGGTCCTGTAGACTGTTAGCACCGGCACTGCACGGAGGTGCACCCGAATCCCCTGGCCTCTCTGTGTCCTGGGGCTATTTACAGAAGCTTTTCGGGTACCCGGGCCACAGCTGCTATGGGAGCTTTTCAGGTTCATAGGGCACAGCTGCTTTTGTGCCTGGCTCTGGTTGGCTTCAACATCGGAGCAGGGAGAGCTCTTCAATGTGGCTGCGGCTTCTCTTCCCCAAGCAGACACCAACAGTTCCTTTCCTTTCTCCAGCTGCGAGCCTCGCCCTAGCTCTGAATGGTGTCTTCACCAACACAGTGAAACTGATAGTGGGCAGGTGAGAAACTGACCAACCCTCCCTCAGCCACCTCGTCTCAACGCTTTTTCCTTTATTCTCACACCAACCTTTCTTTTCTCACCTAGAACTCTCTCCCCTGCCCTCTGCCTGCCCTAAATGTGCCACCTGGTCTGTGTCCTGTCCTGTGCTCCCATCACAGCCTCCAGCCTACTGAAGGCTGCGGTGTTAGCTGCTCTTGTGCCTTTCCCGTAAACACTGGCCACGTTAGCATTCAGGCATCTGTGCTGGCCTGCCCTTGGGGTTCTGACAGGACACGCCCGCAGCTGCAGCACTAAGAGCAGCACCTGTGCACATTCACTATGTTCCCTTTTAAAAGGGCCCCGCCCACCTCCCATCCTTCTTTCTCTTCCAGTCCCTCTCTTTATCCCCCCTTCCTCTCTCCTGCTTTATCCCCCTTCCTATCTCCCTGTCTCTGGAGGCTGGTCTCCCCCCTCCCCTTTCCCTTTTTATGATCCCTTCCCTAATAAAAACCCCTGTTTGAATCCTGTTGCATGGTGTCTTTCTCTTAGATTATAACACATGTGACTATAGCTCTTTTCTCAGTGTAAGGACTATCCTAATCCAGTTACGTTATCGTAGTTAAGTTATTGACATCTACAACTGAAATGCTTTCTGTTGGAGTAAATTGTACGTGATGCTCACGCTACTTATTCTTCCAGGCCACGTCCAGATTTCTTCTACCGGTGCTTCCCTGATGGGCTGGCCCACTCTGACCTGACCTGCACAGGGGATGAGGGCGTGGTAAATGAGGGCCGGAAGAGCTTCCCCAGCGGACACTCCTCCTGTATGACCCTCAGATGAGCCACTGCAATACTTACTTTTGTTTCGTGTATATGCGTGTTTTGCTTGTGTCTGAGCTCGTGCATGCATGCTATAGAGGCCTGAAGGCGGTGTTAGATCCTCTGGAAGTGGAGTTACAGTACCACGTGAATGCTGGGAACCGAACCTAGGTCCTCAAAAGCAGCCAAGTGCCCTTAATTGCTGCCGAGACAGCTCTCCAGCCCCAATATGTACTTATAAAAAGTATTACATTTAACGTACAGAGCCTTGCTGGAATGAGCCTTCTCTTACCAGTCATAAGACATCTTTATTCAGGCCAGACAGTGGTGCACACCTTTAATCCCATTACTTGGGAGGCAAAGGCAGGTGGATCTCTGAGTTTGAGGCCAGCCTGGTCTATAGAGCGAGTTTTTTGGATTCCTACTTATTAACTTGTATTCCAGAAACTATTCTTAAAATACTAACTCAAGAGGGGGTAAAGCCCGCCCTTGCTCCCCAGCCTGTCTGGATGTGAGTGACTGGGTTTCCATGGAAACACACAACTCAGAGGTCTTCCCTGTTCTAGTTGCATTCGCTGGTCTGGCCTTTGCCTCCTTCTACCTGGCAGGGAAGTTACACTGCTTCACGCCACGAGGCCGGGGGGAATCCTGGAGGCTCTGTGCGTTCTTATCGCCTCTACTCCTCGCAGCTGTAATTGCACTGTCCCGCACGTGTGACTACAAGCACCACTGGCAAGGTAAGCGGTTATGGATGCCCGGGAGTTCCTGCTCCACCTCTTTTAACCCGAGAAACTGGCACAGAGCAGTGGCTTCCTAAGTGTCTGCCGAATGACTGAGCAAATGAGCCAGTGTGGACAGCCTGGGTCCTGTGCTGTGTCACAGAGTCGGAAGTTAACTTGGGCCAATGAGCTGGCTCAGAGTGAGGTAAAGATACTTGTTGCACAAGCCTAGCAACCTATGCTTGATCCCTGGAGCACATTCAAAGGTGGGAGGAAGGATGGGATTCTGGAATGATCCTTTTACCTCCATACATGTCAGGTTCTCCTTTCTAGTCCAAGCCTCTCCTTGAACAAACTATCCTTCTGCCTCAGTCTCCCAAGTGTTAGAATCATGATCTTGGGCCACAATTCTTGAAATAATGAAGAGCAGTCAATGATTGGAATCACATGAACATTTGTTGTCCTCCTGTGTTTAAAAATTCTAACTCCCCGGGCTTGGAGGCAGAGGCAGGGGGATCTCTGTGAGTTGGAGGTCAGCCTGGTCTACAGAGTTCCAGGACAGCCTGAGTGGTTACACAGAGAAACTCTGTCTCTGAAAGAAAAAATATTAGAACTCAGTCCATGCTGATTTAACACAGGGTGTGTTCTGATCTGGTGTTTAGTAATCCTGTAACTGTATATAAAATTTAGACACTTCTAAGAACTATATCATGGGCCAAGGGCTTTCTTAGCCTCTACACGCAGAGTAACCTGGAGGCCTATCTCTCTCTTCAGATGTACTAGTTGGGTCCATGATTGGAATCACATTTGCCTACGTCTGCTACAGGCAGTACTACCCTCCTCTGACTGATGTAGAATGCCACAAACCATTTCAGGACAAGCACAGACTCCCCTCTTCACAGAGGAAGCCCAATGAGTCTCACCACTTGGATATTTAGCTGAACCTACCTCAGTGGAGAACAAGCAAGTCAATCCTCTTAACTGGACACCGTGCACAAGCCAAGAGTCTCTTCCAAGGTAAAAGTGAGGACATGGCCACACTGGATTCCTGCCTCCACAGGGCTGTGCACTTTGCCCCGCTTCCAAGGCTAGACTCGCAGGAATCCCTGCCTGGAGCCTGCTCTGGCAAGGGGCTCTTCCGGGAGTTCTCTCAACAGGTTAATGCTTCTGGGTTATAAGACTGGTGTTCCAGGATCGAGGGTCTTTACGTTTCTGTAAATGTCACTCCCCTCAAGGAGACTTTCATGAGGCCATTTTATCCTGAAGACTTTATTACCAAACTTAATCTGTCCCTACAAACAAGGGCAGTGCCAGCTAAACTTGTTTACTGTATGTGGTCACATTCCATTAAGCCTTAAATAATGAAACTAACAACTCTGGCCAATCTTTTTACTTCATCAGGAAAGAAAAATTACAGATTATCTGGAAGACAAATGTATCTCTTTCTGCCTTGTGTTCACAAATATATGGAACAATTATAGGCTATCATGAGAACTTATACAGAGGACCACCTAATAGCTACTTTGTTGTACTTTAAATAAAATTTTGTCTTATGTATATCTTCCTATCACATACTCTTTGTTTGTTTTTCTAAACAGGGTTTCTCTTTGTAGCCCTGGCTGTCCTGGAACTTGCTCTGTAGATGAGGCTGGCCTCAAACTCAGAGATTTGCCTTCCTCTGCTTTCCAAGTGCTGGGATTAAAAGGCGTGCACCAATGAGACCAGGTGTAACGGGTCATGCTCTTAAATATATTTTTCAGTGCATTTTTTTTCCCCTCTGTAAGTCAGTGAAATAGAATTTTTGTACTTTAAGAACCATTTGGGAGCCGGGCGTTGGTGGCGCACTCCTTTAATCCCAGGACTTGGGAGGCAGAGGCAGGCGGATCTCTGTGAGTTCGAGGCCAGCCTGGTCTACAGAGCTAGTTCCAGGACAGCCTCCAAAGCCACAGAGAAACCCTGTCTCAAAAAACCAAAAAAAAAAAAAAAAAAAAAGAACCATTTGGGGTCTAGGAGATCAACACTGAATTTTCATCTGCTTTATGTGGTATATGTTGTACAAGCTAATTGTAGATACTAATACGCTCTGTTTTCTGTATTTACAGACACACTTATAACTGCCATTCTTTAAATTCTAAGCTATTATGTCTCCATGACAATGAAAACATTAGTCAAGAGAAAATAACTTACATATTAGTTATTTGCCTAAAATTTTTGAGTTTAGCATAAGAAAAGATAAAATGGCTACTATACTGATTTTTTTCTTGATGACAAATAAGGCCACATGAAAGTAAGTAACTGGTCAATAGTTTTATTTCAGCATTTACTAAAGTCTTAAATATAATTACATATAAAACAAACATTTCAAAAGTGCAAAATATCAGAAAGGTAATCGGTGCTATTCATTTCCCTTGAAACGGACTCACTAACTGCAGCCAGGAATCTGGACAAAATTGCTGTTATGCTAGAGTTGAAAAAACAGCCTCAATCAAGAGATTGCACGTGATTCAAATGGTGCAGGGCGAATACCGTACAGCTACACACAGCGCCTCACTGCCTACTCATTGTGTGAGAAACCCCGCAGGCAGATGGTGGGGGTCAGGCTCTTTCTTACTGTATGCCTGGACTGCCACAGCACGGGGCTCTATCCGCTCTCCAGGGCCAAGCCGCCCCCATCTTTGGTTACAAGAACTCACTCTTGGTTGTACTTTGGTTTACTCTTAAGTCATAACAATTCTATGAACAAGAGTAAACAAATTTGAAGACAGCAACTTGACAAAATCCCTTTAGTATTTAATTAGTCTACTTAATTCTCAATAATTCCTACTCAAGAGACATTGTTTAAAAAAAAGTATTCCATACACCTGGCATTTCTCAGTAGCTTGCTTTTCCAGCATTATCCATAAGCGAGAAAGGGAAAGCCAGGCTTGAGTGTGTCCTGTGCTTGCCTCCGTAACCTCCAGGACACAGTGACTAACCTCTTCTCTCTTCTGGACAAAAGGAGTACAGACCGCTGCTAAGGGATGGTTTCAGTGAATATTAAATGTAGAACTCCTGGATACCATGATAGGTTTACAGAAAGAAAAACAAAGACAAAAATCAAAACACCCTGCCACTCTCTAAGAGGCCCGTGGGAACCTGAGGAGTTGGTCTGAGGAGCATAAAGGACTATCATGGAGAAGGAAGATGACAGCACATGCTGACGGGAAAGCCTAAAGCCGAGCAGATCCCTGGGAGAAACGCACACAACCACTCGTATTCCTCGAGATAACTACCTTAATTTTGCCAGATTCAGCTAAGAGCGCACACAGTTGCTCCTCAGACCCGGAAATAGGGTTTTCTTTCCGAATATATCTTTCCCTGGCTAACCTGCATGCTCAACTAAGTAAACATTTTGACCTTGGACACCCTGGAAGGCAATGTTTACATAGAGATACTTCCTTTACTCAACCGGAAGTAGCAGGAGACTTAAGTTTGTGCTACTAAAAGACCTCATTTACAACATGAACAGTTGCGAATGGCCATATAATTGACCAAATCTTACAACTTCACCTTCAAATGTATTATCAAATACCTTATTCAGATCTAACCCCCAGTTTGGAATATGGTATAAAGGGCATTCAATCTTCACATTTACAGAAGCTGAAGCAGTTGTAAAAACAACACAGTACCAGTGATTCCTATAATAAACCTAGCTGACAGTGTTCAGAGCAAGCTATATTTTTAGTAAGCTATAGTCATAGCTCCATACAATACACACAGGAAAGAAACGCTGGCTTAAAAAAATAGCTATGTCCATATCCATTTATGCTTAGCCTTCCAGTGCAGAGAACACAAAAGACTGGACCCCTAAGTACCTCTAAATCTTAATACACACCCAAACTGGTCCGCCTTCTAAAGAAATGAGTAAACCTCTCTATAATTTGTCTAAGCCCCCCTAAACAGACTGTATTCTTTTCCATGTAATTAATAAGGAAGCACTGCTGTTAAAACATTAAAAGATGTAAACATCTTAGCTACAAAAACTAGCGAGTGTCCTTACGAAGCAATGATCTTGCTTTTGCTTTTCACTCATTATCTTCTAACGATTCTGTGGAGTAAGCAGCAGGCAACATGCAGGACAGGGCGTGGCTGGGAAGAGAGCTGCAGCAACAGGCCTGTGGGTTCTCAGGAGAGGGTCCCTCAGTGTCCATCTACAGGGGAAAGTGGGAGAAGAGTCACCAGGCCATTCAAGCTGAGGGTAGCCAGCACCACAGAGAATGGTGCTGTCTAACAGACTTTCCAGGTTCCTATCTGGAAGGCTGAGCATGCTGTATCTCAGGATCCCAAGCACAAGGTAAAATAGTCACTAATCCCTAAGTGGGTGACTGGATACTTCCTATGAGTTTTAACCAGTCCTCGAAGTGAGTATTACCCTAGATCACATACAGATCTGTATAAAAGCTTGAGGCCTCACGATTCCTTTCTATCATGCTCACATGTAAACACTACACTGCATTGAAAACTTACATTAAGCAGCCACAGACGGGCCATTTTTACTGTAAAGGCTGATCAAGGAAGATACCCTGGGTTTGGTAGATCTCTTTGAGAACCAGCAATACTGTATCTTCGGATTCCCTGTGTAGGAAAAAAAATTGAGAAGAGATGGGACAATCTGGTGCCATATGCTTTTCATTTATCTATATAAATACCATAGATTGGTTTGGTTTTTCAAGACAGAGTTTCTCTGTGAAATAGCCCTGGATGTCCTGGAACTCACTCTGTAGACCATTTTGGCCTCAAACTCAGAGATCCCCTGCCTCTGCCTCCTGAGTGCTGGGATTAAAGACGTGCACCAACATCGCCCTACTATTTGAGATGCACGGTTAGGAAGGGGATCTGGAAGCAGGAAAAGGTTAGGTCCTACACTTCCCTCCATGGTGTCTGTTTCAGTTCCATCTCCAGACTCCTGCCCTGAGTTCCTAACCTGACTTCCTTCAAAGGAAGTGTGACCTAAGAGTTGTAAACTGAAATAAACCTGGACCTCTTCAAGTTGCTTCTGTTCATGAGTTTTACTACAGCAAAAGAAACCCTAAATCCATTCTATGTAAGACTAAATTTGAAATGAATCCAGATTTACATGTAAAAACGAGAATATAAACCAGGCAAGGTGGTGCACATTTTTAATCCCAGCACTCAGGAGGCAGAGACAGGTGGATCTCTCTGAATTCTAGGCGAGCACAGCCTGGTCTAAAGACTGAGCTCCACAATAGGCTCCAAAGCTACAGAGAAACCCTGTCTCGAAAAACCAAAAGAAAAAAGGCAAAAGTATAAAATACCAGAATGGACTATGTACTTCAGGGATGGGGACAAGACACTAGCAAAGCATGCTGACCCATGCCTCGGACCCCAGCACTGGGAGGCACAGGGTGGTGCCAGGAAGGAAGTGCTTTTTAAAAACCTATTTCCTTTGAATTTCAACCCACTCAGAGTTTAATCCACATTAGGAGGGCCGTTCTTTTTGGTCTAGCTTTTTGGTTTTGAGACAGGGTCTCATGTAGCTCAGGTTGCCCTCAAATTAAAAACATAGTAGCTTACGGCCTTGAGCTCCTGGCCCTCCCCCCTCCGTCTCTCAGGTCCTGGGATACAGGCATGCACCAACATTTCCAGCTCTAAAGACAGTTTTTAAATGAGCTTAATGTTCTAATAAGCAAACAAGCAGGGTCAGTGAGATGGCTCAGCTGTAAACGTGCATGCCACCAAGACTGATGACCTGAGCAAGAGAAGTGACATAATTAAATGGTTTGTGTGTCGTTCATCCATCTGTCTGTACTGTCCCGTCCCATCCCTGTGTCGTCTCCGCCGAGCCCCGCCCACCACAGGGTTTCTCTGTGTAGCCTGGCTGTCCTGTACCTTGCTCTGCAGACCAAGTCTGGCTTTGAACTCACACAGATCCATCTGCCTCTCTGACCTGAATGCTTTGGAACTAAACACATGTACCACCACTGCCCAATAATTGAATTTAAACAGAACACATTTAAGAGCATTATTTTAGCTCCTTACAATGACTGAATTTGTTGAGTTTTAGTTATTTTATTTCCCACATAGGGTGACAGTGAGTATGCCAGATAATTTCCATAGAGAAATTCCTCAGAACATTAAAAACAAAACCAAGCTCATAACACTCCTCCTGCCCTGGTCTCTAGCATACTGGGATTACAGGTGAGCATCTTTTCAAAACACTTTTCTGTGCCCACTCTTATTTTTCTAGCTTTATTTCTGTCTCGTGGGTGATGAAAATTGTTATACAAATTATCACCAATACTCTGATCTATATTCTACCTGGCAATTAATTATATTTAATAATATAATTGTGCCTTAGCTATTGTAAATGTTTTTAGATGGGTTTTTTTCCCTTGGGGGGATGGGGAGGAAGATTTCAGTGGGGAGCTCAGGCTGCCTCCACTCAAATCCAGACTTAGTGTCACGGATGCTGGGGTTACAGGCATGAGCAATTCCACTCGTCTAAAAGATGCATCTTAAAGGCCAGAGCTACCTGGGTGAGGATGGGTGCCAGTACTTCTGAGACCAGACACAACTCTGTCGGAGCTGAAGGAAGACTAGATAAAGATACAACACAAAAAGCATTTAACACTTACCAATAGCATAGATGGCTTTGTAAAGCAAATAAGTATTCATTGAAACTCTCAATGGGCTTCTCCTGTAACACATAGTCAATGCGCTGGCCACCATTCAGCATGCCCACATTGATTGGTAGGTCTTCTTTAACTTCCACAGGCGTCTCTTCTGTGTTAACTTCTGGGTGAGAAGAGTCAGAAGAACCTAAGCACAGGCCTAGGGACAACGACTCAGTGGAGTTGGCTAAGCGCTTGCCCTCCAAGAATGACGAAGAAAGTTCCAATCACCAACACCAGACACCCACATAAAAAGCTGGCCAACGTAGCACACTCCTGTAATCCCAACACTAGGGAGGCAGAGACAGGAGGATCCCTGGGGCTTGCTAGGTTCAGTGAGAGACCCTGCCTAAATAAACTCAGGTAGAGAAAGACAGAAGACACTCTGGCCTCCACATGTATGTATGTACACACACACACACACACACACACACACACACACACACACACACACACACACACACACACACACACACACACACGAGATTCAGCACTCCCTCAGATCCCATGTTTACCCTATGATGAGCTATTCTGCTCAGAGAGCTCTCTCCTGTGTTCTTCCTCTCAATTCCTTTAAAGCTCAAGCCATACTAATTTTGTTCAATTTCTTCTTTTGAACAATACATCTCATCACCTGTACACCTGTAAGTCATGTGTCTTGAATTTTATAAACTAAGGTAGTTCTCAGCAATAGAAAGAAAACGGATACAAAGACACACAAACTCATCTTATAAAGCTAGCTACTGGGGCTGAAGAAATGGTTCAGCAATTGCTGCTCCTGCAAATAAATGACTCAGGTCTAATTCCCAGCATCTGTATCAGGTAGGTTACAACCCCCCCCCCAATAATACCAATACCAGAGGATCCAGTGACTCTGGCCCCTGAAGGCATCAGGCATACATTTGGTGCACATTTTTACACACTCAAGCATGCACACAATCATAAGAGAAAAAATGTCTTAAAAAAAAAAACAAACACAGGGCTGGAGGGTTGGCTGGGCCATTAAGTGCACTTGCTGATCTTCCAGAGGATCCAATGCCCTCTTCTGGACTCCAATGGCAGCTATACACACATGCCATACATTCACACAAGCACACACACAATTGTTTTTAAAGTACGTACTCACAGAATAGGCTTGTGGCCTTGGCTGTCCTAAAACTCATTCCATAGACCAAGCTAGCAATAAACTCACAGAGATTAACTGCTTCTACCTCTCGAGTTCTGGGATTAAAGATATGTCACGAAGCCCAGTACAGAGTAGGCATTTAATATCATTCCCAAATCCAAAGTGAGAAATGTTTTCAAGAGTAGTTAATGGTTTCTCTTGACATTTTACTCATGTAGTATTTCCCTATAATTTTTAGCTATTAAAATGATAGGAGCCAGTTGTGGTTACATATGCTGGTAGGATCTGCTGAAAGAGGCAGAGGCAGAAGGATCACGAGTTCAAGGCCAGCCTCCAGAGCCACAGAGAAACCCTGTCTCAACACTCCCTTCCCCCAAGAAGAGATGACAGGAAAGTTAGCATAGTTCAAGGACACCTATGACTCATAGAATGGATTCTACATAATTAAAGGGGAAAGAAAGAAAAGGCGGCTCTGGGAAAAACACAGCATGGCACTCCTCCTCAGGTAATCTCTAGACAGTGTCACTCACCACTGGACTTCTCTGAACTTGATTCAGGTTCTGCCTCGGTTTCTTCTGCTGTCTCTGAAGCTTGTAAGGCAGGGTATGGAGCTCTGGTGAAAGACTTCCAGGCCATCCGCAGCGAACCCAGCAAGTTGTTCTTCAGGTCCATACTCATCCTGGTAAAGCCCTCTCTCAGTTCTGAAACAGCGAATAAAGGATGCTACATGATGTGGGGTTTAAGGCCCAGCAAAGAAAAGAATTGATCCCATTTAGTTTATACTCACAGAATCGAGTTCTAGACACTCACCTAGGTGCATCCGCTTCCTGCCTTTATGATGCGGGATCAGCATTGGCTCAAATTCTATTTCCGGGGCCACCATTGGTTCAATCCTATATGCCACAGGATCAAACTACATAGAAAAAGTAACAGCTAAGTATTTATCCCTAATAAAGAAGACAGTCCGAGGAACTACATACACAGTGTTCTGTCTACATGCTAGAAGAGGGCACCAGATTGAATTGTAGATGGTTGTAAGCCACCATGTGGTTGCTGGGAATTGAACTCAGGACATCTGGAAGAGCAGCCAGTGCTCTTAACCACTGAGCCATCTCTCCAGCCCCGGAACTACATATCTTAGGCAAAAATAATTACATTTATTTTGTAAAAAGGTATAGTTATGGGCTGGAAGATGACTCAGTCAACACAGTGCTTGGCCTGCAGCACAGGGGCCTGAATCTGATTCCTAGAACCTGTATTTAACAAACAAAACAAAAAACTGGATGTAAGGACAAACACTTGTAAATCCCAGCACTGAGGAAGCTGAGACAGACACATCCCTGGGGTTCACTGGCTGGCCAGTCCAGCCTGCTTGGCAAGATGGGCTGTACCTGACAAATGGTACCCAAGGTACTCTGGCCGACACACAAATAGGCAGTTCTTCTAATTACTTCCTTTTCTTTTATTTTGTTTTTGGGTTTTTGTTTTTGTTCTGATTCTTCAATAGGGTTTCTCTGTATATCTCTGGCTGTCCTGGAACTCAACACTGTAGATGAGGCTAACTTCAAACTCAGAGATCTGCCTGCCTCTGTCTCCTGAGTGCAGGGATTAATGGTGGGTGCCACCACCAGCTCCTAATTGCTTCTTCCTAATTAGCACTACCAACTGTCTAGTTAACTAAAGAATAATACAGAAAAAGCAAATCAATATAATACAAAATTATATGCTGTTTGCTAAGAAATCCTAGTATTTAGGTAAAACCATATAGTAGCTATTCAGTGCTTACAGGATGGTAAATATTGAAGAAACCTTTGCACGTGGGAAATTTATAATTAGGATCAATTCTTCTTAATCCTCTGACAGTAAGAAACATTCCAATAGGAGATCCAAAGGCAAAGAATATTTCTGGTTTGTAGTTGAGCCGGGGATATTTCACAGACACCTGGAAGGAGGAAAAAAGGTATTTCTCATTAACAGTGAGTCTTACCTGTTCCTACCGTATGACTAGTAGTAGTTAAAACAAAAACCAAAGAGTATATTTACCTGCCCAATGCCAACATCCAGATAGTCACCATTTTCCTTGGGGCTGTTTACCTCTGAAGCAGATGTGGCTGGTCTATTAACACCCTAAAAAGAATTTTTAAAAAATAGCTATGTGGAGATAGTATCCACTGGAACTAGCTGCTAATGTCAAAGGAAAAGCTTCAAAGTAGAACCAATAATTTTAAGTAGAGTCCTTCAAACTAATAGTTGTCTCACATGAACTGACATCCCATTCGTGCTTTACAATAATGTAAGTGGGGCTGGAGAGGTGGCTCAGTAGTAAGATGACTGCCTGCTCTTCCAGAGGACCCAGGTTCGATTCCCAGCATCCACATGACAACTTAAAGCTGTCTGTAACTCCAGTACCAGAGGGTCCAATGTCCTTCTATCCCCATGGGCACCAGGCATGCAAGTGTACACAGACATACATGCAGGCAAACACATAAAACAAAAACAAATCTTTAAAAATAATTTCTGGGCTTGGTGGAGGACACCTTTAACCTCAGCACTTGGGAGGAGTTAGAGGCAGGCCTATCTTTCTGAGTTTAAGGCCAGCCTGATCTACTGTTGAGTTCTAGGCCAGTTAGTACTACACAGTGAGACCATGTCTCAAAGAAATACAAATAAACAAACAAACAAACAAACAAATAAATAAATAAATAAATAAATAAATAAATAAATGATGGGGGCTATACACACCTATATCAGCAGCACTGAAATCTCAGGCAGGCATGACAGATAACAGTAGAGTATTGTTGCTAAACTCTATAAAGTATGCGCCTCTGTAATCAAGGCAAATCCAGGGTCTCTCTGGGTGTTGAATATAAATACTGAATCAAGACTTGGGTCTTAGCAGATATGGTGGCACACACCTTTAATTCAATTAAAGCCCAGGAGTTTGGGGATAGACTAAATAACCCAGGGAAATCTTGTTTCAACAATACATAAAGCAAAATGAAACTGGATCTGGGCTTGGTGGTGCAGGTCTATAGTCCCAGTTACTTGGGAGGCTTGGGGCAGGAGGATCTCAAGTTCAAACTGAAGTCTCCCTGGCCTACAGAGTGAGTTCAAAACCAGCCAGGGCAACTTATCTGAGACTCTGTTTCAAAATAAAAAGCAAAAGAGTAATAGAGATATTGTTTAGTTTTAAAGTACTTGCCTAGCAAGTGTGAGGTCCTGGATTTAATCCCCAGTATGGAAAATAAACAAAATCATTTGTTTGGATAGCAGAGAATATATCTCACAAAGCATAAGGATTTACGATCACTGTCAAAAAAACTGTCTCACCCCACTAAGCTATATTAGAGACAAACCATTGAATTTTTTCTGGTCCTGAAATGGTTTAGTATCTTCTTTCTTGGTCCTAAGGGAATTCCCATTTCCTGAAGATCTTTTTCTGTACATAAAGCCTAGGCATAGAACACAAAACAGTTTTGCTTTGTTTTTAAATTTTTAGGCAAAATAAAATCAAATGCTGTAGACACTTAAAGGAGTCACTCTTCTTCTTGGTTCTATACTGATCTGGCTCCCAAAGGCATAATGCGCAAGGAACATTGAGAAAGAAAGTTGTATTAATCATAAAATAAACTATAAAGAATAGAAGTATTAGTAAAAACTACACTGTCAATATGATTGTAATAGAATATTATATAAAAAAGAACTAAAACGATGGCCATTTAGATGTCAGTTTCTCAGGATTGTACCCCTCCTGATGGACAGAAGCTGTGAGAACATTTGGCCAACAAAGAAGTCTAACATAATAGATTAACATCAAAACCTCAGTGTAAGTGCTACTCATTTCAGTGGGGAAGGCCTTCCTTTTCTTTTGCATTCTTACACCACTGTGTACTTTTCCTTATCAGTTCTTAATATAACTGTAATTAAATAATGTGTAATTAATGTACCTTCCCTAGACAGCCAACACTGAAGTCAGTGAAGAGGACCATCTCACAAGCACCCAGTTGCCCATGCCTGCTCATAGTAGGCAGTTATTAAGTAACAGCTAAGTGAACAAATGCATTACAAACCAGAAAAAACACAAGACAAATGAGGAAAAGAAAATACCAAGGATACATATATTTACCTGTAACAGAAAATAAGAGTTAGGAAAGTTACTGTGTCACGCCAGGGCTAGCTCTTACCCCACGCTTTCTCTGAGCTTAGCCTGCTTTAGGTTACACGTTATTACATGTGCACATCAACATGGCTCATCTGAACCTTGACCTCTTTATATGATAAAAAGCAGATAAACAATGCTAAGGGTCATCATTAGTGGTGAAATATTTATAAGTAAAAAGCTTCCAAAGGGCATGTTCTTGGTAAACACGATAGAGATAAAAATACTGAAGATGGCTTGGTATAAAATTTAAAGCTGGGCTGGGCATTGGCACATGCCTTTAATCCCAGCACTCAGGAGGCAGAGACCAGGAAGATCTCTGTGAGTTCAAGGTCAGCCTGGTCTACACAGCGAGTTCCAGGACAGTCTCCAAAGTAATACAGGGAAACCCTGTCTGGAAAAATCAAATACATAAAAAAATACATAAAGCCTTCTTACCAGGGCTGCTTTATCAACTTTCTCTTTCTCAAAGACAGGAGAGAACTCAGAGAGCTGCAGTTTCTTCAGATCCTCTTCTAATGTCGGCACATCTCCTTGATCCTCAATAGTTCCTAATGAACCCTAAAAATTGTATCATAAAGCCTATTATTCACAAAATTCACTTAGTTTCCTTTAGTAATACTATTTAATAATTTGAAATTATTATATAAGATATTCACAATAATGAATCTTATCATTAAATACTTTGTTTTTGAGGCAAGGTCTCATTAGGTCTAGGCTGGTCTCTTACTATGTAAGTAAGGCAGACCTCCAATTTTGTTTTTTGAACAGGGTTTCTCTGTGTAGCCCTCCCTGTCCTACAACTCACCATGTAGACCATGCTGGCCATAAACTCAGAGATCCACCTGTCTCTGCCTCCCAGGTGCTGGGATTAAAGGCATGCACCACCATACCAAGCAAAAATGTATTTTTAAATTAATATCAAATATTCTCTATTGTAGAGAGAACCCTTCCCACCAGCCTGGTTCCAGAGCCACATCAGTCCCAAATGAACATACAGGAGGCTTTATTAATTATGAAGCTGTTGGCCGTTTGATTGATTTCTTATTGGCTATCTCTGACATAAGTATTTACTCCATAATTGTTAATCTAAGTATTTCTCTTACGGGAGAAAGGGTCCAGACTTCTTACCCCTATGGCGGCTACATCGTGACTCCCTGTGTTTCTCCTTCCCAGAATCCTGCTCGACTCCTAATCCCACCTATCTTACTTCCCTATTGGCCAACAGTGCTTTATTCAACAATCAATGAGAGACAGATTTACAGAATGGCATCTCCCATCACTCTATCATCATTAGCAAACCTTTACTGAGCTCTTATTAAAGAAACATAATTTAAGAAATAAAACAGGCCAGGGGGTAATGGCACACACATTTAATTCCAGCACTCAGGAGGCAGGAGCAAGTGGATCTCCATGAGTTCAAGGTCAGTCTGGTCTATAGAACTAGTTCTAAGACAGCAGGGGGTAAACAAAGAAACCCTAGCTGGAGGGAGGGAGAGAGAGAGGGAGGGATGGAGGGAGGGAGACAGACAGGGCTAGAGAGAAGGCTCAGTGGTTGCCCTTCCAGAGGACCTGGGTTCAATGCCTAGCAGTCACATGACAGCTCACAACCATCTGCAGCTCCAGTTCCCAGGATCTGATGCCCTCTTCTGGCCGGCGAGGGCCCATGCACAAGTGTGGCACACCGACAAACTTGTAGGCCAAACATTTATACACAAACATTTTAAAATAGGGGTGTGGAAGCTGGAGAGATGACTCAGCAGTTAACACTTGCTCTCTTATAGAGAACCTGGATTTGGTTCCTAGCATACATATGGTTGCTTACAACCATCTGTAACTTCAGTTCCATGGATATGATGCCCTCTTTTGACCTTCAGGGGCAATAGGCACATACATGATGTAGATACATACATACAGGCAAAACAGCTATACAGGGGCTGGAGAGATGGCTCAGTGGTAAAGAACACTTGTCTACCAGAGGACCTGAGTTCAGTTCCTGGCACCCACATGGTGGCTCACAACCATCAGTTCCAGAAGACCTTGCACCTTCTGATGCGCATACAAACATGCAGGCAAAATGTTCATATGTAGATAAAAATATAAAAACCCAGCTATACATATAAAAGATAAATACCTAAAAGATAAAACAGTCTAAGACAGAGCCCAGTCCTAGAAGAACTCATAACCCAAGGGTTCACAGGACACTTAAAAAGAAAAATAGAAGACAGTGTCTATAAAATACACAGATCACTACTACCATGATAAAACATTCATGGGACTTTGGCTGATGGATGATGTCTATAAAATACACAGATCACTATTACCATGATAAAACATTCATGGGACTTTGGCTGATGGATGAATAGGTTTCATCGTCATGTTTCTCCTTGGCTTCCACTTGACTTCACATTGTGGCACACAATCTACAATTAACTCAGTGACTACAACTCTATCCATGCACTAGTAAGTGCATATTTACAAAGAGAAGGAAGACACCATACTTATTTTATAATATGACAGTGATTTCTAGAAGCAAAATACTGTCCTGTTTCTATCACCCAAGAATGACAAGAGATAATTACCAAGCTGTTAAAATAAACGTACATATATCATTATGGCATAAGACTAAACTCAGCTAAACACAAAGGTTAAAAATCCTTAGTACGGAATACTACAAGAGAACCTATCTAAACTTCTAAATTACCTTTTCACTGTCAATATCCCCAAAAGAATCTTTCTGATTTGTTAGGATATCAAACAATATAAGCGAACCTATAAGTAAAATAGAAGAAGGGACAATTTCTAAGACATTGGCTGTCTCTTATACAGAAAAGTTATAAGCCAATTACAAATGTAAGAAAAGCAACAGAGAAACTTTCCAGTGTATCCACCACCCTTCCAACCCCTTCAAAATTCTTCATTAACAGATTACTTGCAGTTCTCCAAATCTGTTACTGATTAAGACACTATATACCACAATGTGATAGTCCTCTCTGGCTACAGGGAATTCATTTGTTACCTAAACTATGACCAGCAATGGATACACCCCCTTTGAAATCAGGGTTCCTCTGCAGAAAAAGTGTATATATTCGGTTCATTTCAGAAGCTACTGTGTCCACGATAGTCTGACAGTAGGTGGGACTATTGTAAAAGAAGACATCCAGAATTGTATCATTAGTGAAGTGTCTGAGGCGATTAATGCTGGGCAGGGTTATCCTCTGCAGATCTCTGAGGGAGAAAAACAAAAGATTATTTTGAGCAGAAAGCCTAAATCCAGACCATTGCTGCTTCTAAATTATTATTTAGCTTATTCTTAAAGCTTAGAGTCAAGCCAGGGCTTGAACAAATGTGTTTAGTGAAACACACAGGTGCTCTTCTGCAGTGGGTAGCAGTCAATTCAGAGATGAGAACAGGTGACTGCTGGGTGCTCAACCCTACTAGGGCACCTACAGCAAGACCTCCAAAGCCTAGGAAACAACAAGAGGGGGCAGAAAAGATGTCTTCTGCACATAAAATGGCTGTTGCACCCCTGAACTCATTGCAGTTATGGTTACATAGGAAATAAAATAATAGCCTGCCCAAGAGCAAGCCAACAAGCATCAGTCATTCCATCAGGCAGCGGTACCTGGGGTAAGTGAGTTAGACACACAGAAAAGACATGAAGGTGGGAAAGGATCTGTTGGGAGACTACAGGGCAGTGGAAGGAAGTGTTCGGAGTAAATATCATCAAGATACATTGAATACAAACATAAAATAGTCGAAGAATAGATAAAAGATTTTTTTAACATCTGTGATGGACAAGGACACAGCTCAGGTCACTTGCCTAGGACCATGCACCAAGCACTGAAAACTAGGTGTGGCATGCCTGCAACCCCAGCACTGCAGAAGTTTAGGCAGGAGGACCAGGATTTCAAGGGTTTTTGAGACAGGGTCTCATGTAGACTAAAGTGACCTTAAGTTGCTATGTGCTAAAGATGACTCTGAACTCTTGGTCCTCCTTCCTCCACTTCCTACATGCTAGGATTATAGGCATTTGCTACCAAATCAGGCCTAAAGAACAGTTACTAGTAATTAAAACTTTGAGAATTTTGTGTATGAATGTAGTATGCACGGCAGTACATTTTGAATGGTATTGATTTAATGAATAAATTGTACATATTTTAAAAAACATATCAGGGTTTCTTAAACTTGTGATTCCTTTTATCCAAAATGTTTAAGTAACCCCAGGTATATAGGTGTAAAAAGTAAATATATATTCAGAGACCTCACTCAAGTATGTAGGCATACAAAATAAGTAAATGTCATAATTCAGAGCCAGGGATGTAGGTATATAAGCATATATCAAACATTCACTGATAGCAAATAATAAAGAATTGTTTTAAAATAATTCTTTGGTAGCATCTAATTTTACCATTTATTAATTCCCTCTGACTACCACATGTACACTATGGTGAATGTGGCTGCATGCAAGCATGTACATACACACAGGGTTTTTTGTTTGTTTGTTTTTCGAGACAGGATTTCTCTGTGGTTTTGGAGGCTGTCCTGGAACTCGCTCTGTAGACGAGGCTGGTCTCAAGCTCACAGAGATCCGCCTGCCTCTGCCTCCCAAGTGCTGGGACTAAAGGCCCGGTCTCTCTGCAGGCCCTGGATGCCCTGAATTCACGATGTGCACCATGCTGCCCTTGCACTTGCTTCAGCCTCCCTTCCAAGCGGAGTGCTGTGACTAAAGGCGTGTGCTACCACATCAGGAACAATTCTTTACTTTAACCAGATATCTAAAGACAGAGGACTGACTATCATTTAATGATACATCTCCAAGAACTTATAAATATATAGTGGTTGCTTCTGCAGCACATATACTAAAATTAGAATAATACAGAGAAGATTAACATGCTCCCTGTGCAAAGATGGCATGTCAACTTAAACATTCAGCACTTTTTACCACAAATTTGATCTGATGTATGTCAAGCATGCCTTTCTACAACAGTAAGTGGGTGAAGACATGCAGGCAAACACCCATATACTAAGACATTAAGAAAATATAAAACTCCACATTGAAGCTGTACATGGCAGAACAGCACATCTATAATGCCAATACTGGGACGCTAAGGAATGAGGATCAAGACTTCAGAGTCAGCACGGGCTATACAGAAGAAAGGCTGTGTTGGGAGGAGGAGTTAATCCTGCATCATCCACAAACAATAGCCCTCAATGCTGCCAGGCTGAGAATGTGGCTTCGTAATAGAATGCCTGTCTGGCATGGGTAAATCCTATGGGCTGATTCTCAAAACTGCAAAACAGAAAGCACACACGAGAGAAAAACCCACTTGTGAGGCCCTTGAGGACATGGCTGCCTTACAGGATTATGAGGAGGTTGGTGGGGATGCTGTTGGGGAGGACAAGAAAGAAAAAGAAGAATACTAAGCTCAAGTATCAAAAAGACCTGCTTTCATGGGAAGCTTGTTTTTGTGTTTGTTTGCTTTGGTGTTTTGAGACAGGGTTCCCCTATGTAATCATGACTGTCCTGGAACTTACTATGTATGTACACTAGGCTGACCTTGAACTAAAGAAATCCATCTACTTCCACTTGCCTCTGTCTCCTGAGTGCTAGGATGTGTCACCAAGACCAGCAGGAAAATTATTCTTTTTCAACACTAAAAGCTGAGGTCTGATCAGTTAATTTGTATGTAGTAGTGTATATACTCAGGTACTGGCCTATTTTTTTTTTTGAGGAGGGCAGGTTTCAAGACAGGGTTTCTCTGTAGCTTTGGAGCCTGTCCTGGAACTCACTCTGTAGACTAGGCTAGCCTCAAATTCAGAGATCGCCCTGCCTCTGTCTCCTGAGTGCTGGAATTAAAGGTGTGTGCCACCACCACCTGACTAAAAATTTTATTTTAATAAATAATCAGCTATAGCAGAGATGTCCTTAAGCATAATGATGATCAGAAAATATTATAATCATAGTTAATAAGGGACTACTCACACATCCACCCCGGTAGAATGCAAAGGACTGTGCCAATTGACAGGAAGAAACTCTACTCTTCCAATCTGCTGGTTTTCTTGGGCTTTCTTAAAATGTGTCCGTAGCAGGTTCAATGAAACATTTCGGAAATCATTAACTAGAAAAGAAAATTAACTTCTGCATCAACAGTAAAGCAATGAATACATAGACTCGGGATGCAACAAAACATGCAGTAGCACCCTTCCTAACAACATTTGCTTAGAACACACACTGACTGGACACAAAGTTAATAGTTTAGGAAAAACTAAGACATTTAATTAGAAGATGTTCATTTAATAAAAGGCTTGGGTTTACCACATAAAACTTTTCACCAAAAGAAAAGATGACATCAATTTTTTTTTAAATCTCATGACTCCATGTCAAGAATCTGGTAGTCATGTTCTTACCCTAACTCTAAGTGCTACTATTTTCCTGTTTGTTTGAATCTTAAGACTCCATGTCAAGAATCTGATAGTCATGCTCTTACCCTAACTCTAAGTGTTGCTGTTTTCCTGTTTGTTTGATTTTTGCACATGCATTTGATAGAAACAGCATCAGCTAGCTGGGCTAGCTCAGTAAGTAGTGGCATTTGCCACCAGGTCTGAAGACTGTATACCCACCACATGGTAGGAAGAGAGCTTACTTCTCCAAGTTGTCCCCTGACCTCTACAAATGTGCTGTGTCATATATGACACACACAAATAAGAAAGTGAAATTTTTAAAAGTTTAAAAATTATTTTGAAAATAAATAGTTGAGGAGCTGGCAGGATGTCTCAGTGGTTAAGAGCACTGTCCACCCCTCCAGAGGACCCAGGTTCACTTCCCAGCACCCACATGGTAGCTCGCAACTGTCTGTAACTCCAGTTCCAGGGAACCCAACATCCTCATCCAGACACACATGCAGGCAAAACACCAATGCACAAAAAATAAACATAAAAAAATAGTCAAGGTTTACTAAAAAAGAAAAGGCAGAAGGGGGTGGTAGCTCACACCTTCAATGCCAGCATTCAGGAGGTAAAGACAGGCAGAACTCTTCAAGTTGAGGCCAGCGGGTCCTCATAATGAATTCCTAGCCAGCCAGGGCTACATATATAAAAGGTTCTTTTTCTTTTTTTCTTCTTTTTGAGACAGGGTTTCTCTATATAGCCTGGGCTATTTTACAACTTGCTCTATAGACTAGACTAGTCTCAAACTCAGATATCTGCCTGCCTCTAACTCCTGAATGCTGGGATTAAAATCGTGCACCACCACTCCCAGCTGGAGAGACTGTTTAAACACACACCCACACCCACACAGATACTCCTGGAATAGAAATAGGCTAGTGTACTGGTAAGACAGCTACTCAAATGTTAAAATTCCTGTTTTTTTTTTTTTTTGGTTTTACAAGACAGGGTTTCTCTGTATTGTTTTGGAGGCTGTCGGTCCACCCCGGCCTCGAACTCACAGAGATCCGCCTGCCTCTGCCTCCCGAGTGCTGGGATTAAAGGCGTGCACCACCATCGCCCGGCTAAAATTCCTGGTTTTTAAAAGCATCCATTAGCCAGTACTATTTTTTTTAAAGGATTATTTTCATCGAGGCATAGTGGTACAAGTCTTTCATTCCAGAACTTGGGAGGCAGAGGCAGACAGGCGGAGCTCTGTGAGTTTGAGGACAGCATTGTCTACGTAGAGTTCCAGGAAACCACAGCTATATAGTGAGACTCTGCCTCAAAACAAAAACAAAACTATTACTTTTATTTTACTCATATGTGTGCTTTGCCTGACTGTATGTCTGGACCACAAGCACACATTGCCTGCAGAGGCCAGGAGTGGACATGAGATCCCCTGGAACTAACTGGTGGTTACAGAGTTTGTGTGCCACCTCATGGGTGCCAGAACCAAGGCTTGATCCCAAGGAAGAGCAGTCAGTGAGTACTCTTAACTGCTGAGCCCCTAATACTTTAGATTAAAAAAATACACTGCTGTCCCACACTCTTATCACGTTAACCTTAACCGTGCAGATCATAATTCTAGTTGATTCAGAACCGTGGCCGAGTAGAAGGGAACCGTCAAGTGGGTTGACTTTGAATACCATCAAGCTTTGACGATGCCACCTTTCAAAATTAAATTATATTCATGACTTACAGCTTGAGGTTTGTCACAGTATGAATCCCAGCAGTAGGTTTCTATTATTTACTTAAACTCCCATCTCTGCTGCTCTCCTGAATTTGGTTATAAATAGGTTGGTTAAATCACAATCCACAGGGATTACAAGCTTGCTCACTCATGGATTACTAGTTAAGAATATTAATCTCTGGAAATTCCTAGCACTTAGGTCTCAGCTGGGAAGCTTCACTCCCTTGTCACCACCTTTAGCTCTACAAATCTTCTTATGTAGCTAAGACAACAGACCAAAGGCAATGCTTGATCCTGGCTTACAGGAGATAATTCTTAAGTGATCTATTTTACATGCTCTGCAGACCTACCACATTGAACAATGCTTCGAAAACGGAGATCGCAAGCTGGTCCAATCCCATGGACTACAAAAACTAAGTGATCTATTTGTAAAGGTTCCCCTAGAAGTAAAATTAAAAAGAAAAATTAGAAATGTTATAAATATAACAAAATATAAAATAAAGGAGATAATTTAAAAGCCACAGAATACTCACATATTTAACTACTTAGTAAAAGTACATTAATTTTCAAATTTTTTTGTGACAGGGTCTCACTATGTAGTTCTGACTGGCCTAACTCACTAAGTCAGACAGGCTAACCTTGAACTCACAGCAATCCACCTATCTGCCTCATGAATGCTAGGGTTATAAATATTCTTAAATAGGTCCTTGAAATATTTTCCAGGTTTTAAAACTATTTTGAAGTAACTATAAGCTATAGAAAAAGAATTCTAAAGAAACTCCGTTCGCTTTTTAAAAACCCAAATTGCTTCGTTGTAGTGTTTCATTTTGACACAGGGTCTGTCTCTAGCTGACCCTGAACCTGATATGGAATTGAGACTGACCTTGAACTGATCCTCCTGCCTCCACCTCTCAATTGCTAGGATTATAGGCATGGACCACCAAATTCCAGTTACAAATCCAACTTTTAAAATAATCACATTAATTTTACTATGCCTTCTTCTTGGGGTGTGTAAACACACATTTATTTTTCTGAACTATTTGGAAGTAAACAGACTTCATCACTAGGTTTCATGCAGCAAATCTCTTTAACCTTTCAAGACATCTTATTTCCTAAGAATGTAGCTCTATACAGCGACAGTACAGTGACCAAATCCAGGGAACAGATACATTCCTCTCATTTAATTATTCCACTCTTACCAATCATCCCAATAATGTCTACCATGTTATTAAAGGCTAAAATGTTAAGTTAATCTCCTCTGAGGAGGGAAAGTTGAGACAGCATCTCTCTACATAGCTGTAACTATCCTGGAACTTACTTTGTATACCAGGCTGCCCTTGAACTCAGAGATCTGCCTCCCTCCACCTCCTGAGTGCTGGGATTAAAGGCATGAGTTATCATGCCCTGAATCCTTGTTAATTTTCTACTTTTGAGACAGAGGTGCTTTAGGAAGTGCAAGCTAGCCTGGCATTTACTAAGAAGCCCACAATGGGTCAAACTCAAGATCCTTTGTCTGGCTTCAAACTCATCTTTTAAGTTACAAATCTAAGACTTTGCTCAAGAAAGAAATAATTTCTTCTGCAAGACAAAAAGCACTATATAATGTAGCTAAATATGTGCCATCAAGTTTCTTATGAAAAAGTTTTCCCTAACTGAAAATCAAGGACAGAAATTACCAACAATAAATCTCTACTTAATCAGGCAGAATCAAATTCATAGAACTGGAACCAAATCAGTTCATCTTACACAGTGACTTCTTGATGAGGAACGACTTTAAATGATCTTTGTGTTATCCCACTATTTAATAGCTGAGGATGGTGGTGCATGCCTGAGATTCCAGCACTTGGAAAATGAACACTGGAGTAGGCCAGACCGAACTGCGTAGTGAGACCCCACATCAATAAAGCCAGGGTTCACTTCAGTACAGAGATTAGCATTGCCCTTTGTAAGGATAATCCACAAATTTGTGAAACATTCTGTATTTCTGAGAAATAAATGGCTCAGAGACCAGAAACCAAAAGAAAAGAAAACCAAAACTGGAGGTGAGGAGGTGGCTTAGTTGGAAGAGTGCAAAAGCATGATTCCAATCTCCAGCACCCACATAAAAATCTGCATATGGCTGCAAATAATTGCAACCTACCACTGGAGAGTGGAGACAATTCCCCAGAGCTCACTGGTCAGTCAGACTAGCCTAAACAGTGGGCGTCTGGCTCAGTGAGAGCCTGTCTCAGGGAATAAGGTGGAGACTGACAGAGAGCACAGCTATTGGTCTCCCCATTCACATGCTTGCACTGAGTGCACACACATACACACACACACACACGCGCGCGCGCGCACGCACGCACGCACACAAGCACACTCACCCCACCCGGATGCACTTCAGTTGGCAGAATGCTTGTCTAGCACACACAAAGTCCTAGGTTTTCTGTTTGTTTGAGACAAAGCCTCACTAGGTAGCACAGGCTGTCCTAGAGCTCACTATGCAGACCAGGCAGTCTCAAACTCACAGATGTCCACTAGCCTCTGCGGGAGCTGTGATTAAAGATGTGCACTGCCACGTCCAGGGAAGCCCTAGGTCTGATCCCCAGCATCACATAAACTAGGCACAGTCAAGGTGCATCTGTACTTTCAGTACAAGAGGGATGATGCAGGAGTATCAAAACTTTACAGTTATCCTTAGCTACCAAATGAGTTTGAGACCAGCCCTACCCTACATGAGACCCTTTGTCAAAAACAAACAACGAAAACCCAAACAACTTAGATTAAGTGATATTAATCTTAATTTGGAATAAGCCTATATAATTACAGACCATTTTTAAGCCTCGAAATGATATAACTTGACAGAATAAAGGACCACAGTTTAAAGAATAAACCAACATATCAGAATATAAGAGAAAATAAATGATTCACATTACCACAATGAATATCAACAGGGATGTTCTCAACTCCTCTTTTTACTGATCTTGGTCGCCCTTGCTCTGTGGAGGTTGAACCCCATTCATCAGACCCTGCAACTGGCTGGTAATGCACCATGAGCTTAAACAGAAAAGACCAGAGCAACAGAGTCTGCATTAACTTGTGGTTTTGAACAACAAAAACACATCTTTCATATAACCAAACCTCAACTGGAGCTTTGAGATACAACTCCTCTATCTAAAATGAGAACTCCGAAAACACACATTGGACTAACAGATATTTCAATAATGAACTATACATGGGCCAGGAGTGGTGGCAGACACTTTTAATTCCAGCACTAGGGAGGCAGAGGCAAACATTTCTGTGAGTTTGAGTCACAGTACGATCTGCATAGTGAGTTCAAGGCCAACCAAGGCTCCATAGTGAGACAACGACTTAAAAAAAAAATCCTATACGTGAAAGACATGCTTACTTAATATATAGATGGTTTTCTTAACCTATAGTGGCATAATGTTCCCGGAGAAAATTATTTAGGGTTGGGGAATTGGCTTAAGCACTCACTGCTATCCAGTGTAGGATGTGAACCCATGTAATGCTGGACACAAGAGCACATGAATCTTAATCCCAGTCTCTTATGCAGAACACAGGATTCTGGGAGGTAGAAATAAGAGACTAGCTAACAATGAAGAGCTCTGTCTCAGGTAGAACAGGACAGACAGACATTCAAATCTGTCTTCTGACTGCAACAACACATTGTTGTATAAGCACACTCACATTCACACATACATCTTACCCAAATCACACACATATCATATACACACACACACACCATACACAAATAGAAGAAAATTCTTACGTAAAAGCTGAATGGAAGGAATAATGACTTAAGCATTAATATCTTTTGTAATAGTGAATCTAACATAAACTATGCCAAAGGTTATCCTGTGTAGCATCCATAGAACCATGTATCAATGGTTTTGCTTAGTAATACATTAACCTTTGATATTAATCTCAGTAACATGCTTTATTTCACTTTACCTTTGGGTTGTGTAATACAATAATTTCTCTGTTTGGAGATTCTAGTTTCTTTTTCCATTCATCCAAAGTTACAGCAAGCATGTATGTTTCCTTAAAATAAAATACATTTTATATTAGACTTTTTTTTTTTGGTTTTTATGAGACAGGGTTTCTCTGTATTGTTTTGGAGGCTGTCGGTCCAGCCTGGCCTCGAACTCACAGAGATTCACCTGCCTCTGCCTCCCAAGTGCTGGGATTAAAGGCGTGCGCCACCACCGCCCGGCTCTTATATTAGACTTTCTAAGAGATTTTTGTTAAACCTGGACTTATTGATGAATTCCAGTAAGAAAATCATTCTCCAACTTATCAAATTCATTTTAAAATTCCTGGTAGTGTAGTGCTAGGGGATTAATCCAGGGCCTTGCATGTATGAGACAAGGGCTCTACCATCGAACTATATTCCCAGCTCATTAACATTCTTTTACAATGACCAAGATGGTCTCCTATACTAGTAATGCCAGCACATGAGAAATACTATGAATCTGAGGTCTGCCTGGGTCTCACGGTGAGTTCCAAGCCAGCCAGAGACACACAGCAAGACCCTGTCTCAAAAAAGATGCAATTTAATTGATAGAGTACTTGACTAGCATGAAGAAAGTTCCATATCCTATCCCCAGCTAAGCATAAAGTCAAGTATAGTGATGCAGTCGCAGAATTCAACGGGGTAGAGGCAGGAGTATCAGAAGCTGAAGCCATCTTCCGCTGCCTGTTAAGTTTGAGGCCAGTCTGGGATATGTGAAACTCTGTCTCGAGAAACAAAACAAAATCAAGTAACAACAGATTAAAGACTAAAATAAATTTATACTACTTTGAATTCTATCACTATTCATAATGACATATACATGTGTCAATAACATTCTATTTCATTTCAAGAAAATCAGTATTATGGGCTGGAGAGATGGGTCAGCAGTCAGGAGCACTGGCCGCTCTTCCAAAGGTCCTGAGTTCAATTCCCAGCAACCATATGGTGGTTCACAACTACCTATAGTGGGATTGATGCCCTCTTCTGACATAAAGTTGTACATGAAGACAGCACTCATATACACTAAAATAAATAAATCTTTAAAAAAAAGAAAACCAATATTATTTCTCAGGGCAATAATAATACAAATTGGGACTAAAGAAAGGCTCACCAGTTAAGAGCACTTGCTGCTCTTGTAGAGGACCTGGGTTCAGTTCCCAGCACCCCCATGGCAGCTCTCAACCGTCTGTAAGTCCAGTTCCAGAGGACTCAGCTCCTTCTGACCACCTTGGGCACTGCACACATATGGTACACTTAAACACAGGCAAAACACTCACTCATTGAAATGAAAAAAAACTTAAAAATGGCTAGGCGTCATGGTGCATGCCTTTATTCCCAGGACTCAGGAGGCAGAGGAAGGCAGGTATCTCTGAGTTTGAGGCCATCTTGGCCTACATAGCAAGCTCTAGAATAGCAAGGACTCAAATAAACAAATAAATAGTCAAAAGATTGGGTTTTTTTGGTCATATTTTAAATGTTAACAATAATTATCATTAGGGAAACATTTACATTTCACTTAAAAGGCATAATACAATATCTATAAAATTTTAAATCTAAAATTAAAACTTTACCCTGACACAAACTTGCAAAGAGATATTACACAAAGTGTGACATAAAAGCAGGCAAACTTTTCCTGGAAGTTACACAAAATATGTTAGAAGAATTAAAAACAAACAAACAAACAAACAAATGACAGAAGAAGAAAAAATGAAAAAAAGATGGTAAGTAAAACAGAAGCAGAGGAATACCTCCAAAACTTGGCTGAAGCTCTCTGAGTAGGGGACATATTTATTGTCTTTGTCTCCCTTGTAAAACCATGTACATCGCCTCACTTCTGATGGCGGCTCATCCCAATACACAGCATAGCGCATTCTTTCCCCTAAATGAACATCGTATCTGCCCCCATCCGTGGGAACAACTCTCTCATTACACTCTTTTCCTATAAGAATTGCAAAAGAAAAATGAAGTACAGTATGTCAAATAACTCTCCCAAAATATAATTGTAAGTTACACTCCAAATAATCATGTGAAATGTAAAGTTTCTACTGAGCTACATATTAAAAGTAAATAGAATATAGTTCCTGTCTTTCTCATGAACTACTTTTCACATGTCAAAACCAATCATATTTTAAAGAAAAAAATACCACCTGAACAGTTTTTCTAATTAATGCCTCTTACACACTGACACTCATACAGATACATACATACATACATACATACTCATAAAGATTTTTCAAGTTTTTGTTTGAGGGATCAAAAGGTAAATTAATGACAAGCATGATGATATACCATAAATAGTACTCACACACATACACACACTAGAATGGCCAAAATCAAAAATTCTGATGACAGCTTATGCTAGAGAGGATATGGAAGAAGGGGAAAGATTTCTCAGAAAATTGGAAACCAATCTACCTCAAGACCCTGCAATACCACTTTTGGGCATATACCCAAAGGATGCACACTCACACCACAAGGACATTTGCTCAACTATGTTCATAGCAGCATTATTCATAACAGCCCGAACCTAGAATCAACCTAGATGCCCCTCAACCAAAGAATGGATAAGGAAAATGTGGTACATTTACACAGTGGTTAAAAAAAAAAATGACATCTTGAAATTAGTAGGCAAATGGACAGAATAGAAAAAGCCATCCTGAGTGAGGTAACCCAGACCCAGAAAGACTAATATAATATGTTCTCACTCATCAGTGGATATTAGACATAAACAAAGGACAGCCAGCCACAACCCAGAGAACCTAGGTGACAAAGAGGGCCCTAAGAAACAGACATGGATTTTCTAGGAAGAGGAGAAATACAAGAACTCTTGAGGAAATGGGGGAGGGGTGGAAGAAATGGGAGTGGGGAAAAACATACAACTCAGTAAAATAAAACTTTAAAAAAATGCCAAAAACAAAACCCCAAATGACATGTTAGTTCATTCTGCAATGTGACACCTTACTCCATACACATACTTTCTAAGTAAAAACTAAAACACAAGCTAGACTACAGAAAATGCTGGATAAATATGCAGAAATTTAGCACAGCTTTAAAAGGATGAAAATGGAAAGCCTCTAAAATTTAACTTTTAATATCAACTGCAGTAAGGGCCATTACTTTTTAGCTCGAGAGAGATGAGAATCTTTGTCACAAGTCACCATTTTCTTCTTACCAGAGCCGTGAGCCTCTTCCAGCTGTTGGGAATCATCTGAGTTGAAAGGAATCCATATCTCCTTGGAATCTATTACCTTACAATAAAACCAATGTGAAGAGACAGGTTCGTACAAACTGCTAACATCCATGTCTATCAGCTCAAAGGAACTGGAGGAGTTTGGTGATGGGGAGGGATCTGACTGAGACAGGTGCTCCTGGTTCGAGTCCACTGATGACATTTCGCTCTAGAGCACAAAATCAAACTATCAGAATTACTTTGCCTCTTTTTTTTTTTTGGTTTTGAGACAGGGTTTCTCTGTGGCTTTGGAGCCTGTCCTAGAACACGCTCTGTAGATCAGGCTGGTCTCGAACTCACAGAGAACAGCCTGCTTCCTGCCTCTGCCTCCCGAGTGCTGAGATTAAAGGAATGCGCAGCCCCCAACACTATTATATACATTAACACTGTAAATGTTCACGAGTTCCCCCCCATGACCATTTTTTGAAAAGTTACATAAACTAAAACAAAAATTATTTGGGGGAAGGAAACAAAATATTCAGCTCCGCCATTCTGTACCGAAGCTCCCAATTCTCCTTAGAAAACTAAAATGGGTGACCAGACAATAAACTCTTTAACAGACCCAGAAATCCCAAGATACACACGGTCAAAACGGACTGCAACAAGACACTCCACCACAATTTTCAACCTAAACGTAGCACCAAAGGCTGAAAATTTACTGCTTCCAAGTTTGGCATATAATCATAACGGGTTGGTTAATTAAGACGCCAGGCTCTCTGACACATCACCATTACGCATTTACATAAATAATTAGAATCCTAAAATACGGAAAACAGAAGCAACCACTTAACCATTTTGGCTGACCCTGCAAGTGTGCCTCCACAGGAGCTGTGGTACATCTAACGCCCTAACAGGAACTCTGCCTGCAGCCAAGTTGTGCACGGAGACTGGGCGCCCAAGTTTCCGGGTGAAAAGTAACAGGTGACCTCAGGAACCCCCTCCACGAAGAACGCGGGTGAGTTTCCCCCGATCCAATACCCCAGTGCCGGGCGGACTGGCGCTGCAGACAGGGAAGCGGAACCCAAAGCTCTGAGTGGGAGACGGATGCGCCGCGGCAGCATCCCTGCACCGGGCACGGTCGGACCGCCGAGCTGAGCTCGCCGGGCCTCCCCGTTATCCGCCTGGGAGAGCCCTCGCTCGGCCTGCCCTCGGCTCCCGGCCTCGCGCCCCGGACAAGCGCAGCCGAGCCGCCCACGGATGCGGCGGGGTCCAGTGGCCACCGGAGCCCGCCCCCGGCCCGCTCCAGCCCAGGCGCCCCCCCGCGGACCTGGACTCGCCTGGCAGCGCCGCCGCTCGCGCTCTCCGCCCTCGCAGAGGGAGCCGGGGCATGTCCCCGCCGCAGCCTACCTCGCGGCCCTGGGCGGGGTGGGGCGGAGCGGGCGGGGCGGAGCCTGCGGCCGCGCCCCAATCCCGCACCGCGGGCTCCACTGCGCTCCCGCCGCGGCGGCGAGTAGCGTGCCTGACAGAGTCTGCTCGGCCGCCGGGTTAGGACCTGAGGCCAGGGAGGACCCGCCGAAGTGTCGCGAGATGTGCGGGGGCTCGCGCGAGATGTAGCTCCTCCGGCGGGCAGGCGCCGGGCGCCGGGCACGCGCGGGGCACGCGCTGGCGGTGTGGGGCGCGGGCGCGGTGGGAGGAGCTGCGGTGAGAAGGCTTCGGGACCCTCCGGAGCGGCTCGGCGCTTCCCCGAGGGGAGTCGGGCATCCCGACCCCCAGTGGGTCCTGTCGACGCCAGGGGCCGGGCTCGGGGGATGGGGCACACGAAGATGAAGGAGGCTGGAGGGCTGCAGGGCGCTGGTATCCCCCGAAGTCTCTCTCTCCCAGCCTCATCACTTTTTCCTCTCTCCCTTCCTCTTCCTCCTCCCTCCCCCCTTTCTCCCCATCTCTCCCTTCCTCTATCCCCTCCTCTGTCTCTCCCTCTCCCCTCTCTCCCTTTCCCTTCTTCCCTTCCTTCCTCCCTCCTCTCCTCTTCCCTCCCCCAATCTAAAACGTGAGGTTGCCAGGAAAGTATCCTTGAGAGGTGAGCTTGACAGAATGTGGAAGATGCAAGCAACCGCAAATGAGGCATTTTTGTCCTGGATGGCGTAACCTGGTGGACGCTGCACATTTCATGTAATCCCGGCACTCTGGAGACTGACGGGGACGAGATGCAGCTTGTTGATGAAGCACCTGGCTGGCAGTGCCACAGGAAGGAAAAGCAAGATGCTTTAGTGTTTGCTGATTTGATTATAATGCAAGGGTTCAAAGCATTTTCAGAAGCCGAGAAGGAACTGAACGTGGACATTTTTATCACGTATTCTCTGCAAATAAACAGCTACACACAAATAGCCACACATTTATTTTTTTATTGTTTTTGGGTGTTTTTTGTTTTTCGAGACAGGGTTTCTCTGTGTATCCCTGGCTGTTGTGGAACTCACTCTGTAGACCAGACTGGCCTCCAAATACTGGGGCTAAAGCTGTGCAAAACCACTATCCGGCTCCACGTTTACTCAACACCCTTTTTGGTGTGTTTTTTGCTTTGCTTTATTTGGGGTTCCAATACTGTCGTGCAGAGACAGATAAATACTTTGTACCCTGTGGCTTCGAGAGCTCTGCTGCAGGTAATCCACTGGCCCGCTGGCAGCACAGAGCTGCAGACAGTGCGGAAACTAAGAGAGATGGGGAGCTAAATTTGGTCTCAGGTCGTTGCTGACCTATGATCTACAAAAGGTAGCGCTGGTGGCTAGTAAGGCGCCTAAAGAGATTTATACCCAATGTTGGAGTAACTGCTACGTGTCAAATTCAATTCCCATTTCTTTCCAGAATAAGCCACATTTCCTTTAATTCGGTGTCTTAAACATTTATTTTGTGTGTGTGTGCAGAACACAGTGCCAATGTGGATCTAAAGGACAACTTGTGGGAGTCAATTCTCCCACCACAGTGCTGTGAATGATCATATCCGTGAGCACTTGGTCCCCAGTTGGCGGAATTGTTTGGGAAGGATTAGGAGCCGTGTCACTGGAGGCAGGCTTTGAGGTTTCAAAACCCAGGCCATTCCCAGTTCGCTCTCTCCTTGTGCTTCTAGGCCAAGATGTACGCTCTCAGGTTGCTCTCCAGCACAATGGCCATTGCTCTAACCTGTGGTGGAACATTATTTTCAGGTGTGTGACTTTTGTTTATCTGCATTTAGCTCGGTGGAGCTGTGATTCTTTCTTTACCTGTTGAGAACACCTGATGCTCTGATAAAGAGCTGAACGGCCACTATTGAGGCAGGAGCAAGGACAGGTGGGACTGGCAGTATAAATAGGGGAAGAGGCAGCAGCAGCAAGAGAACAAGGAGAGGAGGACTTCAGGGACCAGCCACCCAAGGCAGCCACGGAGTGGGACAGTAAAATATAGAGAAGTGAGAAAGGTAAAAGATGGGTTAACTTAAGAAAAGCTGGCTAGAAACAAGCCGATCTAAGGCCGGGCATTCATAACTAAGGATAAGTCTCTGTGTGAATTGCTTGGGTGGTGGCACCCCCAGAGTACAAAAAAGCCAAGAGTAAAAGCATTTTAAACACTAACACTCCGAAACTCTTCTACAGGTTGTCTTGGTCATGGTATCTTCTCACAGGAACAGAAGGGAACAAGGCACACCTTCACGTGGGTTCTGAGGATTGAACTCAGGTTGTCAGGCTTAGAAGGAAGCCATCTCACTGGCCCTCAACCCATTTTGATTTATGAAACTTTCAACTTACAATGCGTTTATAAAGTAAGTCAGGTGCATTTACAAAATGAAAAAAATTTCAAAAGGATACCCTTACAGGGAAGAAATATGACAGATATTATTCTAGCCAGTAATTAAGGTGATCAATATCTATAGTGTCATGTTGGTATCATATATATATATATATGCATGTATGTATATATATTATAATATGTAGCAGAGATAGGTAGATAATGAGACTGGTGAGAAGGGAAGGCCACTTCTGTGCCTTTTCTCCCCAAACAAATAACCCCAGTCTAATTATGAGAAACATACAATTACCAATGGAAGGCCAATCTACAAAATACATGACAGTAGTTCTCAAACTGTCAGGGTCATCAAAATCAAATGAGGCCAGAGAAACTACCACAGCTAAGATACCCTAAAGTACATGGTGGGTAAATAAAATATACTGTATGGGCCCTTGAAGTTAAAATTATCAGTTAAAAACTAAAGATAGCCATTAGACTATCAATAAAGCAATGGAGTTGAGTTCAATGGAATTGGGTGGGATGTATATCGCAACTCTATATTATTGCAGATTTTTCTAAAATGGAAACTACTAAGAGTTTATTAATAAATCCAGCTAGGAAATGGACAAAATGGCCATGAATAATGAGTGGTGCATGACTTCAATCCCAGCACTCAGGAGGCAGGAGGATCACAAAAAGTTTGAGGATAGCCTGGTATACAATAAGTTACAAGCCAGCTGCAGCTGCAGGCCAGACTGGGAAAAGGGTACATGAAATCTCTGTATCACTTAAAATATTGCATTGTTTTTGTTTGAAGACAGGGTTTCTCTGTGCAGCCTGCCTCTGCCTCTTAAGTGCTGGGATCAAAGGCATGCACCACCACTGTCCTCAAAGGCAGTGTGTGTGGGGAGAGTGTGCACTTGAATAGTGTTCTCCATGTACAGAACAGGTATGGGGTTCTATGACCTAGAGTTACAGGAAGCTGGGAACTCCCTGATGTGAGTGCTAAAAGCCAAACTCAGGTTTTAAAGACAAAAGTTACAGGATTACATCAGTAGGTACGGGTTGGTTTCTGATTGGCTGACATTTGGGAACAATTAGGAGAATTTCTCAAAATCATATGTTGGCATGAAATACCTGTGTACCAATTATTCTCGTTGGCCAGCGCTGAGAGAGAACATTCTGTGGTTTCTATGGCTTTGTCTTGTCACTTGCAGGTAGTTTGTTGTACATAGATACCAATAGTTTTCAGAACTAAATTCTGGAGACTACAGGGGAGGTTTTGGTCTCCCCTGGAGTCTCTTTTGTGACCAAACAGTTCCCAGGAACCAAGCATCTAGGAGGCTTGGGGAGGGTGAGTGTCTGGAGTTTTCTTTGTGTTCAGTTTTGGCCCTAGGCTCTGGGAGGCCAGAGGATCTGGAGTTTCCTTGTGTCAGAGGCCCACGTGTCTTTCCTACATGTCATGGCTGCTAAAGCAGGGGCTGAGTGAGGGTCTAGTTCCTTTATTATTAGATTATTAGAAGTGAAGCCTTTGAGCTTAGTTTATCCCTTTCATTCCCTCCTCTTCTTACAACCAGGATTGGGTTACTAGTGGACAGTTTTTTTTTTGTTTTGTTTTTAAAATTTTTTATTTTATTTGCATGTATGTCTGGGTGAGGGTGTCATATCTTGGAGTTACAGACAGTTGTGAGCTGTCATGTGGGTGCTGGGAATTGAACCCAAGTCCTCTGCAAGAGCAGCCAATGCTCTCAACCACTGAGCCATCTCTCCAGTCCTAGTGGACAGTTTTTATTGTCAGCTTGTTTCCTATGGAAGGGAGTTTTCAACCAGGGAAAAGGGGTGACATATTCATTTCTGTGCTACTTCCTGCTGACTTTGGGATGTTGTAGTCAGTGGTCCATGTAGGCTGAAATGCTAGTCAAAAGCAAAGAGGGAATTTAGGCAATGGAGTATTTATCAGAAGCATCTGGTTGGCAGACTCTATTGAAGAAACAGGGAGTGGTTCACATTTCCAGTTTAGAGCTCAAAGTCTTTAGAGCAGCCTGTAGCCAGCAACTGATGCCCAGATACATTTGCCAGAATCAGAAACCTGTTTGAGACATTGTTAAATTGGGAACAGAAGTTAAAACTTACATACTTAATCAGAACTCATAGGCCCACAGTTTTAGTGATCAGGAAGGACAGGAGACTCAAGACCAGGGGGAAAATCCCATCCTCAGGAACAGACAGGTGGGATAACAAAACTGTACTTATCTGGAGTCCCTTTGACCTGTGAGACATGGGTCTAAGCTTTGACTTTTGATCCTCTGAAGCCTATATGAACTTTATTATATAAAAGGACTTAAAAGTTTTAGACATATTAGTATTATCAATCTATACCAAAATCTACATTGTAGAAAAAGCAGATATCAGGTATTTGTAAAACAGCAGGAACAGATTCGTACCTTTGAGTCCTAGCAACAACTACAGGTTTGAGTAGGAAGCTTGTACATTTTTCTTCTGTCCAGTGAGCCAGGTATAGATTGGACAGAGGTGCCTTTGACCTGATGAAAATCCCTTTAAGTATACATTCAGATGGCAACCAAAATAAATATAAAATCCTTGAGTGTGTGACTGAACAGCAAGTAGTCACTGTTCTATCAGCTTATCAGAACTTTATTAAATGAGCTATTAAGCTGGCTATAGTCTAACCACTAATACTATCAGAGATCTGAGAAGGATAAATTTTATACAGCTTTTGAATCTATTAAAAAATGACAGGGTTCAGTCCATATACAGTTAGCCATACCCAAGTCTCCATTAGCAGGCAAAAGTATCAAAAAACAGCATCACTCTTGGCCAGGTCTATAAGGTGAGAGCTTTTTTTTCTCTCTGGAAGAGGGACATGGAAAAGACTGACCTTATTTTGTCTAGGCAAAAGGGGTACAATCAGCTGGGCGTTGGTGGCACACCCTTTAATCCCAGCACTTGGGAGGCAGAGGCAGGTGGATCTCTGTGAGTTGGAGGCCAGCCTGGTCTACAGATCGAGTTCCAGGACAGCCTCAAAAAAAAAAAAAAAAAAGGTACAATCAATTCTCTAATGTCCTGTCGCTTGTCCATGGTCTGGACCAGGTCCTGGCAGCAGGTGTGCATTGGGGCATCCTGCCCCCGGTCAGCGTTGTGTAGACATTGAGGTGTCCCCTCTTTGGAGACTTTGGGTCACTGTCAGGATCTAGGATTCTCTGTCTGATGCTATAAGTTCTTCTAGTCAACATTTTAAATACCATATTCTTTAGATCTCCAGAAGCATTAAGAGTGTTGTCTAGGTAAATCTGGATAGACAACTTTTAGTTATTTGTTTTAAGCTTAACCTTTGAAAACATATACAGGGGACTGAGTAAGGTTTATCCCTGTTATAAAATTTTTCTGTACTTAACATGGCTACAATGACTTTAGTGTAAGATCTGTCTGGAGACTGGATTTAAACTAAGAGGCTGTGGAGGGATGTTTTACTTGTAGGATCTGTCTGGAGACTGGATTTAAACTAAGAGGCTGTGGAGGGATGTTTTACTTAGAGCCCTCCAGCCTGACTGTAACTTGTTTTAACTTAGCAAACAAGACAGGACATTTAAAGTGACAGAGTAACTTAAAACTGTCGGTGACAAGAATGCAGATCTGCTGCAGATGGAACAGGCAGGATTTCTGCGTGAAATGTGTGTCCTACTGGGCCTGGAAAGTCACAGCATTCCACAAACAAGCCATGTGCAGCAGAGCCAGTGAAAGAAGAAAACTGTCAGTGACAGAAATAAAAGGCAAAAAGGTTGGCAGAAGCTGACTAGATTGTCCCTCTGTACAAACACAAAATATCTTTTATGTCCTTAAAACCATTATCACCTGGGTGACTGTTAAATTAACAAAATTTAAATTATTTTTTAGAACAGAACACCCTAATGAACAGAGTAGATTTTATTGCTCCTTAAAAGGGGGAAGGCACAAGCCAGAAATAGGAGTCTCTTGCTCTACCGACTGAGGTGCTCTCCCAGCCCCATATCTCTTTGTCAGTGATTGGCCATGCATGAAGGGCTGCCAAAATGTACTTTTCCCTCATACAAGTTATGTAAAAAATTTAAGCAAACACACACCTATACAAAACTCAACAGTGACATGAACAAATAATTCAAGTAGAAAATGGGCAAAACCCATGAACAGACATTTTATTACTAAGGACATATAGATGGCAACATCACATTAACCCATTAAAACCTGTACCTTGGCCATTCTGCTGGGGGGGGTAAAAGTATAAAGTATACAGACTAGAAGGGAGGGGGCAGCGCTGGCGAACACACTGTCATTGGCTGCCAGTATTCCTGAAAGAAAAAAAATTTAAACATTTTTAGTCACAATCCCAGATTCTCTGCCCTACATCCTTTCAGCCAGGCAGAGATCTGGAGAGGAGGAGGGTGTCTGTCCCAGGTTAGGTTGCATCCCAGTCAGGTCTGTGCTGTCAGTACCGTCAAGACAAGACAGACAGACAGACAAGCATAGCACTTAGACAAAAGAAAGGGGCCCATCTCAAAAACTTTCAAGTTTCAGATTTACAGTCAGGAGGCAAACTCCCCAGTAGCTACTCAGATTCAGATGGTGCATCAATTAGCCGAATTTTTACCCAAATTCAGATTCAGATGGTGGGATCCCCGCCCAGACTAAAAACCAAGAGACTGAGATGTCTCTCAGCTCCTCCAGATCCCGTCTGCCACGGTCTTCTTGATCTGTTTCTTACAGTTTCAGATTGTCTGCCAGCGAACCAAAAACAAACATAAAAATCACAAAAACGTAAAATCATAAACCTGTCACAGAACTCAGGACACAGAACTTGCCAGGTCAGCACAATGGATAACACAGAACTCAGCAGACTGGTTAGAGCCAAAGCAGGCACAGGACCATGACAGACAAAAAAACTGCCAAGCCAGGCGTTGGTGGCGCACACCTTTAATCCCAGCTCCCGGGAGGCAGAGGCAGGCAGATCTCCGCGAGTTCAAGGCCAGCCTGGTCTCCATAGTGAGTTCCAGGACGGCCTCCAAAGCCGCGGGGAAACCCTGTCTTGTAAAACTAAAAAAGAAAAAAAAAACAAAAAACTGCCAAACTGGTCACCCAACCAACTAGAGATAAAACATAAGCCAAAGCTCCTACAGCCAGAAACAGAAAGCAGAACTTGCCTGGATAAAACAGAAACCTGACAAACACAAAACATTTACCTGTCTGGTTGGAGACTTAAACCTTTAGGGGTCTGGGGTCCTGGGGATCGAGGAGGAGCCCCCACATGTTGCGCCCAAGTTGCGAAGATATCCAGAGACCACCAGGGAGACAGACCCATTAAACTATAAAAGCAAGGTTTTAATTGTATTGATTGTTCATCCAACTGTGACAGGGACCCGTCTAGTAAGCTGACGCAGCAGCCTCCAAGGGAGTAAAGGTCCCTGTCTACTGTTATGTTTCAAAGACAAAAGTTAGAGGATTACATCAGTAGGTACGGGTTGGTTTCTGATTGGCTGACATTTGGGAACAATTAGGAGAATTTCTCAAAGTCATATGTTGGCATGAAATACCTGTGTACCAATTATTCTCATTGGCCAGTGCTGAGAGGGAACATTCTGTGGTTTCTATGGCTTTGTCTTGTCACTTGCAGCTGGTTTGTTGTACATAGGTACCAATAGTTTTCAGAACTAAATTCTGGAGACTACAGGGGAGGTTTTGGTCTCCCCTGGAGTCTCTTTTGTGACCAAACAGTTCCCAGGAACCAAGCATCTAGGAGGCTTGGGGAGGGTGAGTGTCTGGAGTTTCTTTGTGTTCAGTTTTGGCCCTAGGCTCTGGGAGGCCAGAGGATCTGGAGTTTCCTTGTGTCAGAGGCCCACAAGTCTTTTCTGTAGCCTATCATGGCTGCTAAAGCAGGGGCTGAGTGAGGGGTCTGGCTCCTTTATTTCTAGATTATTAGAAGTGAAGCCTTTGAGTTTAGTTTACCCCTTTCACTTCACTCTCCCTGGCTTTTGCTACTCCTGTCTGTGTCCTGTTTGTGTCTGCCTGAATATTTTCTTGTGATTATCTTTCCCTATCTCTGTGTGTGTGTGTGTGTGTGTGTGTGTGTGTCTACATGTGTCTAAAACAAAGGGCTTTGTTTTCTCTCATTGAACACAGAAAGCATCACATAGAGATGGAATGAAAGATACTTTGTAGAAATAGAGTAACACAGGATGAAATCACTGGCTCCCAATTGCCCCAAGTAACCTAGATAATAAACACAATATCCAGCACTTATGGTAGATGTTCATTTTATAAAACTACGTTCAACCAATTTGCTATTTTCAGCAAATGATGATCACAACACACATATGATCACAAATGCACTACTGCATGGGCCAGGGGCAAGAAAGAGTACATAAGTTAAAATACAAAAGCTATGCATTTGTTTATATTGTAAAAGCTGATTACATGAGAAACCCAAAGCAAGTAAGGTTGGTTGTTGGATAATTCTCTTAAAGGAAGATTAAGCAAACAGGTTGAGTACACAGTAGATAGCAGTCTTAAGTGAACCCGAGGTTTATGAAATCTGGCTGTGAGCAAAAGTTCCAGCCTTAAAATTTAAGAAATATCTTCCTGATAATGCATTGCCACAGACCTGGGAAAGGGGCTGCTGACAGCCTGTGCCACTGTTGCAATCAAAAACCCTTGGGAGTCAGAATGCTGGGATTAAAGGTGTACACCACCACTGCCGGGCCACAGTTCTTAAAGTAACCATTTCCTACTATTTGTATTCACCTAATAAACTCAGTCTATGTGACAGAACTGACATTTTAAATTATGTAAGTCTATGTAGGCTGCCGGGCATTGGCGGTGCAGCACGCCTTTAATCCCAGCACTAGGGAGGCAGAGGCAGGCGGATCTCTGTGAGTTCGAGGCCATCCTGGTCTACAGAGCCAGTTCCAGGACAGCCTCCAAAAAAAAAAAAAAAAAAAAAACCAACCAAACAAAAAAGATCTATATAAGCTAAGAAAGTTTAAAGGAAAACAACAGGCAAAGGGAATTCTCCTTATGTGTATGGAAGGCTCCAGCCGACTTCCTCAGGAGTCTAAGACTAATGAAATGCTGAACCGATCTAGAGAAAGGACTGAGGTCAAATTAGACCGAGGACAGAAGTACCCAAGTAAGACAGAAGAGTAGTTACGGGGAAAAGTAGCTCAAGAAACCACCACTCCCTGTGGGACAGAGCTCTGGTTCGTATTCACAGAGAAGTGACTGTGCAAATATCCAGAAGGGGAGAAACAGACGAGACATGGAAGGAACAGAAAAAGAACTGTCTCTGTTGTCATCCCCTGAAGGAAAAACAGGAAGGCTGAGGCAGGAAGAGCACGGTCCAAATCTACCCTGGGCTACAGAACAAGTTCAAAGCCAATCTGTACTACATGGTGACTCTCACAAAACAACAGATTAAGAGAAAAGAAAAACATGATTGTGTGTTATTTTAAAAATCATCAATTCGATGTGCTGTGGTGTGCATGACTTTAAACACAGTATTTAGCAGGCACATCTCTCAGAGTGAGTTCCAGGACAGCCAGGATTACACAGAGACCGTCTCAAAAAACAAAACAACAAAATCCGAGGGTTCAATTACCCAGCACTCACATGGCGGCTCCCAACTATGACCGCTTCTGGTCTCCAAGGGCAACAGACACACATGGAACACACATACATGTAGACAAAGCACTCAAACACATAAGATGATAAATCTAATAAAATTTTAAGTGGTTGCCTTTGGAGAACAAGAAAAATAGAGTGGAACCAGGAGAATGCTGTTTTTCATGAATTTGACTCAGAACTTAATTTTTTTAACAGACTTATTTTTAAGGGAGGGGGCATGCTATAGTAATGAACATGGAACTCAGAAGGAAACCAGTGAGTCAAGTCTCCCCCATGTGGACCCTGGGGATTCAGCACAAAACTCACAACTTTTAAAAAGAGATAAAAATATTCCAAGATGAAAAAAGAAAAAAAGCTCTATCTACTATCTACTCTCTCAAGGCTTTTCTTAATGGACAACTTAATCTATACCTTTCAACCTAAAAAAAAAATCTGATTAACTTAAAAGGTTTTTATTTATGACAAGGTAGGTGGCACACGCCTTTAATCCCAGAACTCGGGAGGCAGAGGCAGGTGGATCTCTGTGAGTTCAAGACTACCGTGGTCTACAAGGGCTAGTTCCAGGTCGGCCTCCAAAGCCACAGAGAAACCCTATCTTGAGAAACAAACAACAACAACAACAAAAAGGTTATTATTTATGTCAAATGCTGTTTTCAAACCCCATTCCTTTTATTGGTGGTTGTTTTTGTTTGCACAAACCTCATTCTTTAAAGGCATTTAAAACAAGCACACACTGATGGGTAGAGACGAACAGAACCAGGCACCAGACACCGCACCGGGGCCGGTTGTTTATAGTGGGATGTTTACCTGAACAAAGGTCCTGGAGAGGAAACAGCTGTATTTATCATGCCAGGTGTAGGTAACTTTATTGAAGAATTGACAAAAGTGATCCCCAAAGTAATATAAATTTAGATATCTTAAAAAAGTCTAGATGTAAAATTTCAAAAGAAAAGTGTTTCATTTCAAATCAATTTTAAGTCAAAAGTCAAACGAATTTTACAAATCATAAATACTATTTTCATTCTTAAATTCATTATATTTTCAAAGACAGGTCACCAACATTGCTTTTTTCTTTGATACTGGCCATTTGCAATCAATTAACATAGTTTATATCTTTAAGTTCTGAGTTCGTACCTATCCTGAATATCTTGATATAATTAAAAATATAAATCCAGAATCCAGTTCTTCCTTCCAGAAGAATTCCAGTTATTAAATATAGAAATGAAAGAAATAGAAAAACCACCATTTAAACACCACAGTAGTAAGCCACAAGCAAGATCTGCCAGGTGATAGGAGAGGCAAACTCTAAGCAGAAACAGGACATTTGCATAGTCATACTCAGTAATTACAAAGGAAAGCAGGGTAAGCTTACAGTAGTAAATCCTAGCAGATGCCACCTCAGCAGAGTGCTCAAAGTGAACCACACCGGAAATACATGACAACACCAGCTATCCTTATGATACAGCATCACAGAGGGAGAGACTACTCAGACAGAACAACTAAATGCAAAATGGAATCTGGTACGGTTAAGAGGATGCTAATAAAAAGATTATTAAAATATCTATCATTAGCTTGCTACTTTAGCTAATATTAATAGCATTATAAAAGATCAACTCTTAATTGTGACAAGTGTTTTAGTTAGGAAAGAAGTCAAAACGAGCGGAAGGAAGATGGAGGGTACACAGGAACGCTACTATTTTTACAACTCTTCTGTAAGTTTAAAATCATGTTAACAGTTCAAAAATAACTTAAGATATATACACATCTATGTACATTTGTGCATAACGTGTACAATATGTAAAAATGAAGAATGCAGAAATCGGCATCTTGGGCAGCGTAAGTTAAGCAAAAATGTGTTCTGTATCTGTTAGTATCTCGCTGGCAACCCAGTTTTAAGGTTTCTCCTCTTAAACTTTTAATTGTAATTGTCATGCTTTGATAGAAAACTTTTCTTTGAGGGTGGTTAGGTCTCATTTCTGGCTAGCCTGATACTTACTATGTAGACCAAGATGGTCTCAGAATCAGAGACCCATCCACCTGCCTCTGAATACTGAGGTTACAGCTGCATGCCACCATGTCCAGCTTGAAAACCTTTAACAACATTTCTATGTTAGGCCAAAAGTAAGAGAATCAGGGCTACAGCTGTAGTTCAGTAAGTGCTTGCCCTGCACACACACAGCCCTGAGTCTCGGCACCACATAAACCAGGCACAAACTTGTAACAGAAAGGTGAGGCAGAAGGATCAGATCTTTCAGGTTGTCCTAGGCTACAAAGTTTAAGGCCGACCCGGCATGAAATTCTGTTTAAAAAAATTAAACTTGTAGATATAAAACACACACGTGTGCACACACACATCCTGTAGGTAGGTAGATCGATCGATCGAGATCAAGCATGTGTGTGTCACTATGTAGACCAGGTTGACCTTGAACTCAAGAGATCTACCTGCCTCGGCCTGGATTAAAAGTGTATGCCACCAAACCCAGCTAAATAAAATCTTTTAAAAACCACAGACTCCTGGATAAAATCATCACATCTTGAATCACTTAATCTCTTAGTTTTTTTGAGACAGGATCTCATGTGGCTCAGGGTGGCCTTGAATTCATTATGTAGCCGAGGGTGACCTTGCAATCTTCCTGCCTCCGCCTCCCAAATGCTGAGACAGGTATGAACCACTAGGCCTGGTTTATGCAATACTGGGGATTTAACCCAAGACTTCATGCATGCTGGGCAAACACTCTACTAACTCAGCCACATCCCCCATCTCCACACAATATTTTTGCGACATTTCTACTTACTATATGTTGGCATTGGTTTGGTTCTATGTAAGTAGAAGGGATGGCTATAGGTTTAGTATCACTAACATAAAGGTCTGCTAGTCTAGAAAACAAGTATCACTTTGATATTTTACTAAGAAACCGCTTTTGTTGCAAAAGCAGATACCGTATGCTAGACCTCACTTTAGATTTAAAACATAAATTATTTACCTGTCTCTGTATAATAACAGATATTGATAACCAAGAAAGGCCCCTTTCTTAAACTTGGCTTAACAAATCAACAGTTATTAATAATAAATAACATCTGTCTTATGAAACAGGCAATTCTATGTAATTTATTCTAAGAAATAAAGACCAAATTTAAATTAAGACAATGAATTTCCTACTTTAGCTATGGCTGACTCATTCCCTGAGCATGAATCTCCTTTTCCTTCTATCAACTATAAACTGAGCTCAAATCTGTCCCACAGAAACTATTAAATGGAGAACAATATTATTAAATAATCATATTTGTTGCCTTTTGCAGTCACTCTTTATACTAACTGTGGCATTTAGGTTTTATGTTTCTATCATAAGGCTCTCTATAGAAGCAGCAATAGCCAAAGATATTTTTCCAAAAAAAAAAGCAATTTCAAAAGAGACTCTTTATCCAAATACAACAAAAAAGCAAAGAAGTAAAATGTCCACAAACATTGTCATTCTTATGTTAATGTAATTTCCAAATTCACCTTCCCGACTACTATGAAAAGCAGAAGTGGGAAGATCTCTAACATAACATGCTGCACAAAAGGAGATAAATGACTGACTTAGGGAGCCCACTACCACTAAATATATTCAAGTGGTGAAAGGATATGAATTTGTTCAGAACTGCCCATCTATCTGGCTGCCAGTATTAAACATATTACTACAAAATGTACCAAGAAGTAGAATTATATTACATTTGTGAACTGCAGATAACAAACAAAACAGAGGCCAAGAGCCTAAGCTATAATTTACACATGAAGTATATGCAGTCACAATGCACAAAAATGTGACAGTCTAGATGCTTACAAAACAGACTGCTTGTCTCAGATTATGTTGTGATAACCTGTTACGTAAAGTCTATTTCCCTCCTGCTGATAAGAAGCAGCCTAGAGATGCCCATGGATTTCTTCAGGAGTGGGTCTACTTGGAAATACTGATAATTCCAGTCTCCTTGTTATGTTCAGTCTTCTGAAAATTGCAAAGAGCCCTGTAACATGTTCGTCCATTTCTCTGCCAGCTTTTCAGCTCCTTTTCCTTTCAAATTTTAGGTTAGAAGTTGGAATGTGTTGCTTCTTGTCACAACAGGCATTTCAAAAGATGGTAACCAACCGAATTCAAGAGTTCTTTGGCCAAATTAGTAACAGGCTCACCCTTCATTCCAAATTGTTTCATAATCCCTTTTTCTCTAATTTCTCCAGTATGGCCTGGATCTTACAGACAGCCTCTTTTCTGGCCTGACGGACAGAGTCCTGCCCTCCAGTTTCAACAGAATCTAGTTCTAAAAGTTCCTTTGTCAGCATTTCTTCCAGAAGCCAGTATGCTTTGTCTGTCTTTTTTCCTACAAACTCTTCTACTTCTTGCTCAAGATAATGAACCTTTTCCAGCACATGGATGATTTTTTTAATACTTGGAGGTGTACCTTCATCTGAAGAAAAACACTCTTCAGGGAGATTACTCTGAACGGGATTGCTGGCATGGTCACTGGCGGCATTACCATACAACTGAGGCTCAGCACTGTACTGGACTTGAGAATCCAAAAGGTCTGAATTATCATTGTTCATTGCTCCCGAAGATTCATACTGATGGACACTGCACGGAAAGCTGTGCCGGTTCATGCCTTGCCCCGACTGGTTATAGGAGTACGAGGGATCCTTGGAATGGGAAGACAGAAAGGAGAAAGGAAGGTATTTTAATAGGAGGTGTTGGGGAAGTCCTGTTATTTGCCTGTTATTTGTCAATAAAGTACTGTTGAGCCTATAGGAATCTAGATAGGTGGGGCTAGGAGTCCAGGAGGATTCTGGGAAGAAAAAACACGAGAGTCAACATGTAACCGCCATGGGGGTAGGAGCCCAGAACTATTCTCCGGTAAGAGACATACTTAGATTAACAATTATGGGGTAATTACTTAAAGCAGAGCTAGCCAGTAAGAGACAAGCAAGGCCAACAGCTTCATAATGTGTTTATTTGGGACTGATGCGGATCTGGAACCAGGCGGGCGGGAAGGCTCCTCTCAAGGAAAGCTTCTCTTAACAAGGAGGTCATCAACATCACATATAGTACCACCTTTCCCAAACAGGAAAGAACTTGAAAATGTTCCCACCAATAAAACTGGATCCCACCTTAATCATCCAAAAAGAAAACCATTAAGAAGATAAACAGAGAAGCCCTTTCAAGTAAAAGCCACAGAATTCTTAAATATGATGGTTGGAATCTACCTCAATACAAGTCATCTTTGTGAACACTTCACAATCAATCTTACTACCTCACAATCCAGCCAGTGACTTAATAATTAGTTTTCTTCCTTAGTGAAAGCCTCAGGAACACAACCAAAAGCAGACAGTGTTGGTCTGTGACTTACTTAAACAATGCCACACAGACAGTGTTGTGTCTGTGACTTATTTAAACAACGCCACACAGTGTTGTGTCTGTGACTTACTTAAACAACGCCACACAGACAGTGTTGGTCTGTGACTTAAACAACGCCACACAGACAGTGTTGGTCTGTGACTTACTTAAACAACGCCACACAGACAGTGTTGTGTCTGTGACTTACTTAAACAACGCCACACAGACAGTGTTGGTCTGTGACTTACTTAAACAACGCCACACAGACAGTGTTGTGTCTGTGACTTACTTAAACAACGCCACACAGACAGTGTTGGTCTGTGACTTACTTAAACAACGCCACACAGACAGTGTTGTGTCTGTGACTTAAACAACGCCACACAGACAGTGTTGTGCTACTTCATGCTGTTTTTCATCTTCTGTCCACGTATCACTTGAGGTCGTAAAATACACTCTTTGATTCTATTTAAAATTCAGATAGCATCAAAGTAGAAAAGAGGCATTTTTTCCATCTTTTTAAAAAAGTTTATTGTGCTGGAGAGCTAGTTAGCAGTTAAGAGCACTGGCTGCTCTTCCAGAGGACCCAAAGTTGATTACCAGTAGCTACGAGGCAGCTCATAACTGTCTGTAACTTCAGTTCCAGGGAACCTGGCCTCAAAGAGCACCAGGCACACTCATGGTACATAGACATACATGCAGTCAGTACATCTACACACACACATACACAGAGAGAGAGCGACAGAGAGAGAGACAGAGGAAAGTATAAAAAAGATAACCTTAAAAAAAAATCACCAAAGCCGGGCGGTGGTGGCGCACGCCTTTAATCCCAGCACTCGGGAGGCAGAGGCAGGCGGATCTCTATGAGTTCGAGGCCAGGCTGGACCGACAGCCTCCAAAACAATACAGAGAACCCCCCCCAAAAAAATCACCAAACAATAATGCTTATAAAAAAAAGCAAAAACATAAATTAAGATACACAATGCTATAGTGTAATAATCAATTTTTTTGCAGTTAGTCTCCACCACCACAGGCAAATACAGAGATGTGTCATCTTGTATTCTCTTCATTATCTAGAAGTCAAAAGAACAGCATTTGGAAGGTGTCCTACCTTAGGCTGTTGGGGTGGTGGTGAAGGAGGTTGCTGAGGAGAACTGTTGCCAGGCCAGGGTGAAGCACTTTCTGTCATGTAGAGATTCCCAGGTGGGGCTGAGGGTGCAGCTGAAGGCCAGGGGTAACGGGTCCCCATCCCATAAGCACTAGAAGCCCATGCATCATCTTGTGGTCGTACAGTTGCTCCTGACTGTGGCACAGTACGGTTACCATCTCCATAAGGATAATGGGGCAAGGTCATTGCAGGGTTCTAGATTGGAAAAAACAAATATGCTGGTATGCTAATTGGTCACTGTTTAAAAGACAAAACAAAAATTTTAAAGTAATAAAAATAGCATAGACAGATCCCGACCTTCAAGTAAGTCATTATTCAGTTACCAAAAATTCTCCACACCTGAGAAACCCTGACTCCAAATCACAAAGAACAGAGTTGGTGAAAGATTCAGGAATAAGACCTAAAAGTCACTGGATGAGGCATGTTAGTTTCCAAAAACATTACAGATACATGAATCTATACTCTATAAACACAAAGACAGTAGAATTCTTTTTGAAACAAACAGAAATAAATGTGGTATATTCTTAGCATATTAATATAAGACTAAGAGCACAGGAAAAGATTAAGTTAGGGAAACTTCTGAACAACATCTAAAGATTTACTTTATTACAAAAGTTTTATAGGGGCTGCAGAAATGTGTCAGTAGTTAAGAGCATATATTGCTCTTTTAGAGGACCCTGAGTTCAAGTCCTAACACCACGTCAGGTGGCTCCCAAACCCATCACTCCAGTTCCAGGGGTTCTCATACCTCTGGCGTTTGCGAGTACCTATATTCACACACGTGTACAAACACAATCATACATGCAAACACATATACATTATTAAAAATAATGAAAATAAAAGTGGGGGAGGACAAAATAGGAGCCAGGTATGGTAGCATTTGTCTTTAGTCCCACAACTCAGGAAGCAGAAGCAGACAGGCGACTGTGAGTTTGAGGCCAGCTTGGGTTATATACTGAGACCTGGTCTCAAAAAGAAAGAAAGAAAAGAAAAAAAATTATAATTATGGGCTAGTGAGATGGCTCAGTAAGTAAAGGCACTTGCTTTAAAGACCTGAATTTGAACCCGGGAACCCACAGAAGATAAAATGAGAACACACTTCACAAAGTTGTCCCCTGACCTCCACCATGGATATGGTACATGTGTCATCCCCCCAACTCCCATCAGGCACACAAATAACAAATAAAACTTAGAATTTAAAAGAACTATGATTATGACATTTTTAAGGTATCTTTGGCCAAAATCCTCCATAGAAAAATATCTGACCATCTACAGTGTTTTTTTTTTTTTGAGACAAGGCCACACTATGTAGCCTTGGATAGTCTTGAACTCAATGGGATTAGCTTGCCTCTGCCTCATGAGAATTGGGGTTAAAGGTGTACACACCATGCCTGGCTCTAGTTGTTTTCTTAAGCTGGTACTCACGTAATAAACACCTTTCCACTGTTTACAATTCAGGAAGCAGAACTGTTTCCCTGACAGAAAACTACTTACCTGTGAAGCAGGATATCCTGGAACCTGACCCCTGAGAGGAGGCGCTTCTGTTTGACAGTCCTGCTGGGAATATATCCAACGGGAGACTGGAGTTGGGCTGTTACCAGGTGAACGGTAAGTGCTTGGAACTTCCGTGGAGTAATTGCTTTGGGTATAGCCAGGTACATAATAAGCCCCAGAGTATGAGGCAGTATTTGGTCCAGGGCCAGGAGGGTATGGTGTACCATATGCTCCATTTGTATAAGAATTCAAACTCTGAAAAAAAGGAAAATCAGGGAGGAAGAAAGATGAATGAGTTAAAGGGCTGAAATATGTTGTAGAATATTAATTTAAGATGTGTTACATTTGTTTATGCTGTAGAACATTTGTTTTAATGATGCAAGGATGTGTTGCACTCTTTGATGTTGTACTTATTTAACTCTGTGAAGCTGTGTTACTTTGCCTGCCTAAAACACCTGACTAGTCTACTAAAGAGCTGAATGGCCAATAGGGAGGCAGGACAAAGGATAGGCGGGGCTGGGAGGCAAACAGAATAGGAGAAAAAGAGGGATCTGGAAGCAATAGAGATCAAGGAGCATGAAAAGTAGGGGCCAGGCTTCCAGCCACACAGCCAGTCACAGAATAAGCATGAAACTAAGACTACAGAAGTAAGAAAAGGAAAAGGCCCAGAGGAAAAAGGTAAACCGAATAAATTAACAAAAGCTGACTAGAAATAAGCCAAGCTAAGGCCGGGCATTTATAAGTAATAATAAGCCTGTGTGTTTATCTGGGAGCTGGGCGGTGGGCCCTCAAAGAGCAAAGATCCAAAAGAATAAAGAGTAAGAACACAACCAACTACAGAAATGCACTTAATGTCCAACCTTGAAAATGTTAGCAAGAAAAGATACCGGTAACTGACAAAAGTCTAAGCTATCTCAGCAGTCTCTGAGGCACTCCTTCTCTTCTCTACTGTAAGCACAAGCCATGCACTGAGCTCAGGCTATGAGCTATGCTGCACCAATGAAAGAATATATCGTGATGGCAGATGAAGTGACAAAGTAATGGCCTCCTCAAACATTTCTTAAATATAATTCACAATCACATCCACTAGCAGAGAACTTTTATCCACAGAAGGAGACTCTAGGAAACATGGGGGACAAGCAAGAGAAAAAAAAAAAAAAAAGAAATACCATTACATAATAGAAAGGATAAAGAGAGAAATCAGAGATAGACCTCACTCTGTAATTACTCTCAGCTTCAGTTTCTCTAACAGGAAAATGAAGAGTCTAAACGTACCTTGCAGGATTACAGAGAATATAAGTGAGATAAAAAATAATTGACTTAGCAGGTACAACAGACGGTGATTACATTGCTATATTATGACAAGTTCAAGAAACGAACCTATGTCTGATTCTATAGTCCATATTGGACACTGAAACCACCCTGCTTCCCAGATAACACCAACAACTATAACAGAGAAACTCCTTACTTATTACTAGTGTGGTTGTTGTTTTAAATAGCACTAGGAACTAAACCCAGAGCCTTGTGCATGCCAGACAAGTGTGTTACCAATAATATACATTGTCAGTCCCTTTTCCTGTAGTTTTAAATCACCTACCTAGACGATTGCATTGCTGATATCCAGAATTGTGTTTAATGCTCCAAACAAGATTAAAGCTAAGCCCTAAGCTTAAACGATTACTTTAATGTTTCCATTCTCTCTCCCTCCCTCTCTCCCTGTCTCTCTCTCTCTGTGGATGTGTGTGTGGGTGTGAATGATGGGTGTATGTGTATGATGTGGAGGGGACATGTATGTGCCATAGCATACTTGTGAAGGTCAGAGGATGAACTTGTTTGATACAGGGACTCTTGTTTACGCCAGGCTAGGGATTACAGACACATGGGCTACTGCATTTAGCCTTTATGTGGTTCTGGGTATCCAAATTCAGGCCATCACGTTTGCATGGCAGACATTCTGTCCACTGAGCGGTCTCCCCAGGTCCACTTTAGCTTTTTAAAATTGTAAAATCAGTGTGTTGGTAGCGCACGCCTTTAATCCCAGCACTCGGGAGGCAGAGGTAGGCGGATCTCTGTGAGTTCGAGGCCAGCCTGGTCTACAGAGCGAGTGCCAGGACAGCCTCCAAAGCCACAGAGAAACCCTGTCTCGAAAAACCTAAATAAATAAATAAATAAAACAAAAATCAAAATAAATCAAATTCCAAAAAAAAAAAAATTAATCCCAGCACTCGGGAGGCAGAGGCAGGCGGATCTCTGTGAGTTCGAGGCCAGCCTGGTCTACAGAGCGAGTTCCAGGACAGCCTCCAAAGCCACAGAGAAACCCTGTCTCCAAAAACCCAAAAAAAAAAAAATTTAAAATCAAGTTTTCTTGTAACCATTGCTGTCTCTAACCTTTTCATTTTAACTACACATGACTAAAATGGCTGTGTTGGCACCTGTTTGCAATCCCAGCACTGTGGCAGGGAAAATTTCATGACTGTAGCCAGCAGACTACATAGTGAGACCTTGTCTGAGGAAGGGAGGAACCCTAAGTGTGTGTACACACCTGTGATCCCAGCACTAAGAAGGTGAGACAGGAGGAATATGAGGTAGAAGACGGCCTGGCCCACATTAGTAGGACCTGTTTCAAAAAACTAACAAGAGAAACAAAATACGAATGCCCAAAGAACTTAATGTGAGGTGAGGAACAATAAAAGATTAAAGAGCCAAATAATATTTATCCAGAAGCCCTTCAGGTTTTCAGTCTGAAGAAAGTACAGATTTGATAAGACATGTGACTTTTTGTTGAATTTGGATTCCCAATGAAATCATTCACCTAGAAAAAAGTCACAGGTATGAAGTAGCTCATGTACATAATTTGTAGTTGCACAAAATGGGATATATATGGTAGGAGAGAAGACTCAGTGGTTAGGCACTGGCTGCTCTTCCAGAGGATCCAGGGTTAGTTTCCAGCACCCATAAGACAGCTCACAATCATTTGTAACTCCAGTCCAGGGGATTCAACTCCCTCTTCTGGCCTCTTTGGGCACTGCACACATGTGATGCACATACATACAAGTTAAGTAAGGCATCCATATATATATAAAATAAAAATAAGTAACTTTTTTTTTTTTTTGGTTTTTCGAGACAGGGTTTCTCTGTATTGTTTTGGAGGCTGTCCTGGAACTCGCTCGGTAGACCAGGCTGGCCTCGAACTCACAGAGATCTGCCTGCCTCTGCCTCCCGAGTACTGGGATTAAAGGCATGTGCCACCAACGCCCGGCTAAAATAAGTAACTCTTAAAAAAATTAGTTACACAAAACAGAATTTAAAGCCAGGTGGTGGCAGTGCACACCTTTAATCCCAGCACTTGGGAGGTAGAAGTAGTGGATCTCTGTGAATTCAAGGCCAGCCTGGTCTACAGAGAGAGTTCCAGGACAGCCAAAGCTACAGAGAGACTCCGTCTTGAAAAACAAAGAAACAAAAATCCAAATCCTGTATGATAATGAAATGACTAAATGATAAAAAATAAGTTTTTAAAAATGTATTTTTTTATTTCATGCACATTGGTGTTTTGCTTGTATGTATGTCTATATGAGGGTGTTGGATCCTTTGGAAATGGAGTTACAGGTGTTGTAGGCTGCCATGTGGGTGCTGAGAATTGAACGTAGGTCCTCTGCAAGAGCAGCTTGTACTCTTAACTGCTGACCCACCTCTCCAGTACCAAGGACTATTCTTTGAAGGAATTTTATTCAAATTATTGTTAGAAACAAGTAGATTTAATTAGAATTGTTTTCTTGTAATTTTTTTAAACTTTACTTATTCACTCCTTTTTCTTTTTTTGAGATAGGTCTCATTATGTAGCTTAATGAGACTGGAATATGCTATGTAGACAGGGCTGGCCTTGAACTCACAGAGATCCTCTGCCTCTGCCTCCTGAGTACTAGACTAAAGGTGTGTGCCATCCCCTCAGCCAGGTTGCTGAAGCTACTCAGTGTTTGTGTCCTGGTCTTGTTCTGCAGTCTAGTGGAGGTTGGCCTCTGCTGCAAACGTACTCCACCAGATCATCAGGCAAGTCAAGAAGCATCTCCATCTTCACCCAAGCAGGAGGCACTGGAACAGCTCCGTATGTACTGTACAGTCCAGATGTCAATGGGGACAGGAAGAACAACCCAGGACCTTGGAACAAACTGGGTCTCCATAAATATAAAGTCTCATCAGTGCCACTGGACTACAGCAAACTGAAGGCCCATGAAGCTCACCATAAGACTGCTTATATCAGGAAGGTCTTTCAGAGGCCATCTGTACAGTTTCTCACTTAACCAAGAAATACTTTTCTGAATCTCTGAAATCATGCTCTTTTTGTTTGTTTGTTTTATCACATTGATGAATAAATCTCTGAAACTTGATAGTGTCACTATTCAACACTGAAAATCCATATGGGACTTTATAGCTGCAATGTAGGGAATAAAGTACTAGAATTTAAAGGAAAAGAAAAAGAAAGCAGGTGTGTGCCACCATACATGGTCTTATCTATTTCTTTATTTTTTTACATGCATTGGTATTTCGCCTGCATGTATATCTGTGTGAGGCTGTCAGGTCTTGAAGTAAGACAGTTGTGATCTGCCATGTGGGTGATGGGAATTGAACCCAGGTCCTTTGGAAGAGCAGCCAGTGTTCTTCACCACTGAGCCATTTCTCCAGCCCCTTTATCTATTTCTTTTTTGTGTGTGACAGTGGTGGGTCACATGTGCATAAATGCTATATGGCACACATTTTGAGCTCACCTAGTGAGAGTTGCCAGCATGTGGGTTCCAGGAACTGAACCTGGTGATAAGACTTGGTGACAAGTACCTTTACTCACTGAGTTATCTTGCTGGCACTCCTTTGTAAAATTTTAATCATGCTATGTGTATTAGTCACTTTTCTATTGCTATGATAAAACATTGTAACCAAGGCAACTGAAAAGGAGAGTTTACGTGGGCTTTTGGTCCCAGAGGGTGAGTCCATTGTGGTGAAACGGAGACTCAGAAGCTGGACAAGTAAGCTGAGAGCTATAATTCTTTTTTTGGGGGGGGTGGTTTTCCAGACAGGGTTTCTCTGTGTAGCCCTAACTGTCCTGCAATTTGTTCTGTAGACCAGGCTGGCTTCGAACTCACAGAGGTGCACCTGCCTCTGCCTGCTGAGTGCTGGGATTAAAGTCATGTACCACTAGCACCCTTAAACTATTAGCACAAAGCAGAAAGAGGAAGTTCAGAGTGGCTTAAGCCTTTAAACCCTCAAAGTCTACCCAGAGACATACTTCTTTAAGCAAGGCCATGCCACTTAAATCTCACAAACAGTACCACCAACTGAGGACCAAGTTTTCAATCGCCAGAGTCAAAGGGGGATAGTCTTCCTTTGTTGTTTTTAGATGAACATACTTAGTAGGTTTATTAACAAGCAATAAGATATGCTAGTTGGTATTTGCTTCAAAATACTCTAAAGATAAATATGGTCAAGTGTTGAGACTTGTGGAAGCTAAGAGGACATTTCTTTCTTTTCTTTTTTTTCTTCTTCTCTTCTTTCTTTCTTTTTTCTTTCTTTCTTTCTTTTTTTTTTTTTTTTTTTTTTTTTTTGAGACAGGTTTCTCTGTGTAGCTTTGGAGCCTGTCCTGAACTTGCTCTGTAGACCAGGTTGGCCTGGAACTCACAGAGATCCACCTGCCTCTGCCTCCCGAGTGCTGGAATTACAGGTGTGTGCCACCAATGCCCAGCCCATTTGTTTCTTTTGTTTTAAATTTTCCTTAATGTTAAAAAGGAGGAAGAAGAAGAAGCTGGGTATGGTGGTCATCGGCCCACACATAATTCCTGCACAAGAGACTGAGCGATCTCTCAGAAAGGAGGAGGAAGTTCCTGTCACTGAGTCTATAAGCTGCACAGGACACGCTGGCACCCAGTGTGCAACAGGGCAACAGAGATGGCTCAACAGGTCAAAGTGCCTGCTTTGCAAGCCTAGTGACAGGAGTTTAATCCCTAGAGCCCTGAAAACAGCTCCTGAGAGCTGCCCTCTGCCTTCCACATGTGCACTGTGGCACACTCCGGCCACACACAGACTACAAAAAATGCATTAAAACATTTAAAAGATATGTAAGTGTTTCAGGTATAGACAGATGACAAAGGAAAGGCTGGAGACGCATTTCCAAATACAGCCATGTTAGAACGGCACATAGTTATTTTTACTCTTTCTTACTGTCAGTTTCACTTACATGCCTGTCTGTCTGAGAAGGGCCTTACTCTGGAATTCACTGTGAAGCCTCTGCTAGGGCTAAACTTGAGGTTCTCCTAATCTCTGCTTCTGCATCCTCTTTCCCCCTTTATTTTGGTTTTTCAAGACAGGTTTCTCTGTGTAGCCCTGACTGTTCTGGAACTCACCCTGTAGAGCAGTCTGGCCTTGAACTCAGAGATCTGCCTGCCTCTGCCTCCTGAGTTCTGGGATTAAAGGCGTGCGCCACCGCTGCCTGGCATGCTAATAATTTTTTAAATTGAAGCTTGGCAGAGTGCTTACTTAAGTGTTCGTGAAGCCCTGGGTTTGATCTCTAAAACTAAATAAAACTGGGTGTTGTAAGAGGGGCTATAACCTTAGCACTTATGAGATGGAGCCATAAGGATCAAGAGGTCCAAGGTTCACCTCAACTGTATACAATTTTAGTCCATCCTGTGCTATATAAAACTGTCTAAAAAAAAAAAAGGAAAGAAAAAAGACAGAGAAATCTCAATTTTCAGCCATACCTGGCCTTGTAACTCTGGTCTCACAGGATATGCGTTTGGGTATGGGGCCCTCGGTCGCACAGAATTCCAATAGTTGGAATTATAGCCAGGGTATGGTGACTGTTCCTAAGGAAAAGGGGAAAACAAGTTAATTTTAAACAGCATTCTTCCTGTTGCCGATGCTTTCTTTTGAAACAGTTTCTCTACATATTCCAGGCTGGCCTGAAACTTGCTATGCCACCAAGGCTGGCCTCAAACTTGCAATCCCCCTGCCCCTAGCTAGAATTCCTAGTTAGAATTACAGGTGTGCATTACCATGTTCAATTCACTCTTTTTTGTTTTATTTTGTTTTGTTTTCGAGACAGGGTTTGTGTGTGCAACAGCTTTGGCTGTCCTGAAACTCGTTCTGTAGACCATGCTGGCCTTGAACTCACAGAGATCCTCCTGAATGCTAGGAATAAAGGCGCATGCCACCACCACCTGGTCCAATTCACTCTTAACAATGGTTAGATAGGAAAATGGAATCTCTAACAAGAGGCAAGATAATGGGAATCAAAAAGGAGTCCTACTATAAACCACTATAATTATTAAACTTAAAAGATAAAAGTATAAGTGTATCACATGCCTCAGAACAAAACAACTATTGAATAGCTGGTAAAACACTGATCTTATGCACTGTCTACCACACACTGAAATGATAAAAGGGATTCTATGTGAAGACTAGTAAAACCACAGACAGTAGTTTGCCTTCTCCCAATTCCAGTCACTTCATGTCAATATATGTTGAGTATACCCAATCTGAAAATCTGAAATCCAAACTGCTCTAATTCTGGATATTTTGAGCTTTGATATGGCATTGTAAGAGGAAAAAGTCATACTTGACCTCAGGTGATGGGCTGCAGTCCATGCATGTAAACAGACAGGGAGAGTGATTCAGTGGTAGAGCCCTTACCAAGTTCATTCAAAGCTCCAGGTCCCATTCACAGCACAACAACACAAACAAATGTATTAAAGTGTTGTACAGTTAGTTGCCTTCAAAGCTACATGTAGAAGTTGTAAATAAATGAATTTCATGTTTACTTTCAGGTCCTGACTCCAAAATAATTCATTATTTTTATGCAGGTATCTTTCAAAAACCTGAAACCTGACGTATTTCTGGTCCCAAACATTTCAGATATGAAATAGTTAGCCTGTTTAACTACTACAACATAGTTACTTGTCACTAGGATAATACTTAACCTAACAACGTTGGAATATGAAACTATTACTACTCAAGTTACTACAAGTAAATACATCTTTTTTTTTGTTTGTTTTTTTGTATTCTGGTGCCTTTTCCTATAGCTAAGCTTTCTGTTTACAACCTATAATTTCAGTGCCATCAACTCATATAGAACAATCACCGCTGTGATGACATCTTTTTAGGCTCTGTCCTCAAATAAACTGCAATAAAGCCACTAAACTCTTGTAAGAATCCTCCAAACCAATTCTTAACCCTTTCCAAAGTACTGACTGTCTAGTTTAACACATGATCTGTTTATTATTCAGTAAGGTAAGTTACTTGGCTTTGAACTTACGGATTAAGTGTACTTTTGGCTCATAACAAACCATTTTTATTTCCTTTGAAGAAGAGGGTTTTGTCTGTTGGTTTTTGTGGTTTGTTGGTTGTGCTGGATTAACCCTGGGATTATTGTGTACCTACACTCTCTCCCACGAATTTAAATCATGAGTGAAGACATGAAGAGACAAGGGCTGAAGCTCACTGCCCCGAGGCAGCGAGGCCAAGCCTAAATCTTAGGAACTCCAGCAAGGGACTGTCCATCCAGCTGACTCTTTCCGGTTCAATTTCACTACCAGTATCCTCCACACTATGCGTTTCCTTTCTTCCTGACTCAGCTTCCTCACACCATAGTCCCTTGCTTTTCTTTCTTCAGATACTCACCTCACAAAATCCAAACCCTGTTGAAATGGAATTATCCACTGTGTAGAGAAAATGCAAACAGCTCTCTAGTTTGTTTATAGTTTGTCCCTTTTTTCTTCCCATACTGGGTATTAAACCCAGAGTTTTAAAAAGCTAGGCAAGTATTCTACCAGTGTGGTACATCCCTAGCCATTTGTTATTTTACTTTAAGACAGGGTTCTACAGAGTTGCCGGGCTGCCCTGAAAATTCCTAACGTTTCATCCTAAGCTACCTCAAGAGATGGGATTGCAGGCCTTGCCAAGCTCTCTTCTATCTTCACGTTCCACTATTGCTGTGCATCTCAAGAAGGCGCTCAGCACTGACAATTGCACAGACTCCGTAGTAGACTCGCCCCCACCCCAGAACAGTCTGAGTACATAGGGTTAGGGTCACTCAAGTGAGCATGGGTGAGGGGTTATTCGCAGGTGCACCGACAATGAACAGCGGCTACACCACCTAAGGCCATCCAAACCCACCCCACCCCAGCAATGGTTAACTGTCAATTGTGCCTCTGGAAGGGGTGGTGCCTTGCCAGCCACTTTCTACTAGCATCTGTTTATGGCCTATAAACTCTCAGAAAAGTGGAGTGGCATGAGTCTCCGCTCCATCTGTTATGGAGTGCTGCTAGGCCCAATATTGTGAAGGTAATCACAGCTGCTGTGACTTCCCCAGTGCAACAATCATACCATACCCAGCAGACAGTCTTCCCTAACAGCCCTCTCCTTTCCCTGGCTCAGTCTTCCCATCCACACTTCCATAATGTTCTGGAGCCTTAGAAGGATAAAATGCATGTCCCATTTAGGGCTGAGCATTCAACAGTCACATTTTTTAAAAGCCCATTAACCAGTTATAAGTCTCAGCATTAATCACCACCCACTATAACACACACACAAACCCCACCACCACCAATACCAACAACAGCAAACCTTTGACCAAACTTGAGAATAGCACTAATTGTGAGCATAAACATAAATAATTTGAAGGAAGATCTTTAGTGGGCGCAATTTGTCCATTTAGCAAAACAGCAGTAGCAGCCATTTCCCCATTAGGGCCTATGACCTACCCAGCCACAGGCTTTTGAACAGGCTTACAGTACCAGTCATGAATTATCTCCTGTAGCGTGGGACTCAAACACAAAGTGATTCGTTAACCCTATAACAGTCACGCCATTATCACACAAGTGGGCACATTTTGGCAGGCAAGTTAGTGGTTTAGCATGGGTCCATATCTGGTTAAGACTGTTAGGGTTTTTTTTCCTCAGGCTGGCTGCATAGCAACTCAAGGCATTACGAAAGTTAGCCAGCAGGGAGAACGCTTCCAGCTCAGCTTCACTTTAGTCTCTCTGTCCTGAAAACAAGGCATGAAGTATCTTCAACAGCAGGATTTTTTAGTCAGGCATTGGTGGTGCACACCTTTAATCCCAGCACTCAGGAGGCAGAGGCAGGCGGATCTCTGTGAGTTAGAGGCCAGCCTGGTCTACAGAGCGAGTTTCAGGACAGCCTCCAAAACAATACAGAAAACCCTGTTTCGAAAAACCAAACCAAACCAAACAAACAAACAAACAAAAACCCAGGATTTTACCATCCAGTTCTGGTGGCCAACCAAGAGCAGTGGCAACAGAATAGAAACATTACAAACAACATGCATGTATATACATCACATATGTGCCTGGTGTCTGAAGAGGCCAGAAGGGGGCGTCAGACCACCTAGAACTACAGTTAGACAGTTGAGAGCTGCCATGTGGATGCTGAATTGTGCTCATAACCACTGAGCCATCTCCCAGCCCTAGAAGTTGCTCTCTCAAAAAGTTGATGAAAGCCTGGTGGTGGCGGCAGCACAAGTCTTTAATCCCAGCTCTTGGGAGGCAGATGTAGGCTGGTCTGAGTTCAAGACCAGCCTGGTCAACAAATCAAGTTCCAGGACAGCCAGAGCTACACAGAGAAACCCTGTAACATGTAGTCTTCCTGCCAGTCACTTGGGTCCCGCTGCTGTCGCAGCCCCCAAACAACACACAAGACACTATATTAATTATAAAGCTGTTAGCCATTTGCTTGATTTCTTATCGGCTAGCTCTGACTTAATTATTAACCCATAACTGGTAATCTAAGTATTTCCACATGATCTTCTCTTACTGGAGAAAGGGTCAGGACCTCTTACTTCTCCCATATCCTACATCGTGACTCACTGTGGCTCTGTTTTCCAGAATCCTCCTCAACTCCTAGTCCAACCTATCTTGTTTCCTTATTGGCCAACAGTGCTTTATTCATTAACCAAAGAGAGACATATACACAGAAGGATTTCCCCCATTGAAACTCTGTCTCAAAAAAACAAAGAAAACAAACAAACCAAAAACCTAAAACCAAACCTGGTTAAGAGTGGTAGACTTCCAATTTTCCCCTATGCCATATTTAAATGTTAAAAAAACAGGTAGGGTAGAGCTCACCTATACTGAGCATTTGAGAGATAGAGGCAAGAAGCTCAGAAATTCAAGATCACCCTTGGCTACATAGAGACCTATCTTGGAAAAAATAATGAGTAAAGTCTTAGTGTATTCAGAGTAAGCTCCTGAACATACTTAACCCTTTGCTGTGCACATGAACCAGTTGCAAGACTCTGCATTTCTGACAGCCTTGCAGTGATACTAAAGGTTGCTGCCCACAGATCACACTTTCTGGGTAGATTTTTAAAGTTTCCTGCAGGGTTGCAGGTATAGGTGGGTCACTGATAGAAAATACGCCTAGAATACACAAGGCCCTGGGTTCAAGTCCCACCACTAGAGGGAAAACAAAGGAAAAATTCCTATCCCCCCTTCATGTGTGAGCCCATGCATATTTGCATGTGTGAGGACACTGTACATGCATACTGAGGCCCGAGACTCATTTCCCTCAATCGCTCTTCTATCTCACTCAAGGAAGCAGGGTCTCTCAATCAAAGCCACATTGCTAGCTAGTCTTGTCAGCCAGCTAGATCTAAGGATCCCAACTCAACCCTCTAAAGCTGAACTCACAGATAAGCCACCCAGCTTTTACATGGGTCTAGGGATCCAGGGTCCTGACTACACACACAAGGCAAGCGCCTTGGCCACAGAGCATTTCACTAGCCTTGTACTTTTTTTTTTAATTTCAGAGATATAATATAAAATTTAGTACAAGTCAATAAAGTTAAGACTGTCGCTGGGCATTGGTGGTGCATGCCTTTAATCCCAGCACTAGGGAGGCAGAGGCAGGCGGATCTCTGTGAGTTCGAGGCCAGCCTGGTCTACAGAGCCAGTTCCAGGACAGCCTCCAAAGCCACAGAGAAACCCTGTCTCGAAAAACCAAAAAAAAAAAAAAAAAAAAAAAAAAGATCAACTCCTTTTCCTCATCAACTGATCTTTAATTTGGGTGATTACTTCATCATTAGACCATAAAAGCCCAACAGCCTACTCATTCCACCCTACTTTTGGAATCAGCACAGGAAATATGGATTCTTCTTTACATTAACCTCTTAGTACTGCATGTATTTATTCTTACACAAGTTTTAGAGATATACTTAGTCCACCCTTTTAAAATGTACAATCCAGCGGTTTTTAGGGTTTTTAGTGAAGTCTTTATCACTAACTTCAGAACACTGTATCACTTCAGAGGCCAGGTTTTCAATGCTTCCTTCCAGTCTCCAACTCCAGCAGCCCACCAATGTTTCTGTCTCTAGGAATTACTTACTGTGTCACTGCATTTAAATGGAGTCACACAATATGAAACCCAATCCTTGTGACTACCTTCACCCACCAAGCATGATCTATTCAAGGTTCATCCATGTTGAAACAAACATGTACAGAGAATCCATAACATTCTGGATGTTATGTTCTAGAACATATGCCAAGTTTGGTAATCCAGCCATCAGTTGATAACTATATGAGTTACTTCCAATTTTGGTCATTATGATTAATGATGCTATAAAGACATGTTAAACAACTTTTTAGGGGGACACGTTTTCCGTTTCTTTTTTTGTTTGTTTTTGGTTTTTGTTGTTGTTTTCCATTTCCTTTTTTTTTTTTTTTTTTTTTTTTTTTTGGTTTTACGAGACAGGGTTTCTCTGTATTGCTTTGAAGGCTGTCGATCCAGCCCGGCCTTGAACTCACAGAGATCCGCCTGCCTCTGCCTCCCGAGTGCTGGGAGTAAAGGCGTGCGCCACCACCGCCCGGCTTGTTTTCCATTTCTTGAATACACTTAACAAGTGGATGTGCTAGATCATAAGGCTAATTCTCTGCCACAAATTTTACCAACTACCCAGCTATTTCCCAAAGCACTGTAGTATCTTGCAATCTCATTAATGTGTGGCAATTTTATAATTCATTTTCAGCAAATGAGGATGTTATGAAGGCTAAAGATGTGTGCCACCATCCTATACCACTTTAGGAGAAAATAGAAATGCATTTGTGGCATGTATACAGGTAATAAAATGTTACAGGTCCAAATAGATTAGGGAAGTTAATCTCTCAGAGCCTTTTTCATTCAAAAATAGGAAAGCATTAATAACATCTGTCTTTCAGCCTTGTGACGATTAAATAGAACATAAAGGTACTTTGCAATATTGATTATTCGTGATTCAATCCCAGGCAAAGACTTAGTGACAAGGGACTAAACGATCGGCCCCCCACCCCTCCCCCGCGGGAGGGGCTGCTGAGTAACGCCTGGGGCTGCAGCTGCCCGAGCCACGCAGGATAAATTATTACAGCCCAGTCACCCTACATTACGCTCTCGGGAGAGAGATCCTGCTGCCCGCCACTAAGCTTAGGAAGTCAGCGCCGAATAATTTTTCGGCTTTTTTTTTTTTTTTTTTTGGTGGTGACAGGAACACTTATGACGGCTGAAGTAAAACACGAAGAGACAAATGGAACACGGGCATCTATCCCCTCACTCACGTCTCCAATCTCTGTCTCTGCACCCTCCCCAGAAGAAGAACAAATCAGAAACCCGAGTCGTAACAAACCCTAAGTACAAAACCCCGCAATGGTCCTCACCTCCGCCCAGGACTTCCCGTCTGGGTCCCCGGGAAAGACTGCGAAGCTCACCTGGTGTCCGCCCCCGGCTCTACTCGGCTCTGCCCAGGCGGCTCCGGAGGGGTAGTAGGCATCGCCACCTGCGCCTTCTCCGGGCCAGGTGGTCTCGGCCGGGGCGCCCCCGCGCCCTCGCCAGGAAACTGGAGGCTGGGGAGGCTCGGGCCGAAGAGGAGGGTATAAGGGCGGAGGTACGTGCACCGGGACATCGCCGCCCCCGGGCCCGTAGTAGCGGCCGTACGAAGGGCCGTCACTGGGGCCGTAGCCCGAGCGCCTCAGGGCCGACATGGGCTCCGCTGCCGCGAAGCGCTTCCCGCCCCCCACGGCCGGCCTATTGCGCAGGCGCTTGCGGGCGACAGGTACTGGCGGGCGGCGAAAGGGGTCGGACGGCCGCAGCCAATCCCGAGCCGGTTCCGCCCCTTGCACGCCGGGCATGGAGCCGGAGATGGATCGTACCCCTCGCTGTGGGGCTCGGAGCGGGGAAGCGGACCGACCCCGTACTCGTGACGCGGGGTCAACGCCTGTTTCCCCACCCCGCCCTCCGTCCAGTGGACGTGGACACCACTTCGCTGCCCGGAGAGGAAGAAACGCTGCCCACCGCCGCTCGCCCGGCACGCCTCTTTTCTGTGGACGGACAGGCGATACCGGAAGTGGGTGGGGTAACTTGAAAGCGCTTCCGGCGACTAGCGGCATTTGAGTTGCAGGTGAGCGGCGGGTTCCCGTCCGTGTCCAGCCGACGGGCGACTGGATGCCCTCGCCCACCGCGGCTGTCCGGGGCCTGCCTTGCCTGAGCTCAAAATGAACTATATGCCCGGCACCGCCAGCCTCATCGAGGACATCGACAGTGAGTACCTCTCCCCGGGGCAAGCCTGCTGTGGGACCCTTCCTCGAGTGCGCTCCCCTGGAGACGGAGCTTCGAGAGTGAGCCCCGGCCCCGGCGGGGTGGCCCGCCTTCACAGCCCGCCCCTAAGCCCCCTCCTCTGCCCCCGGACTGGTGACCCTCACGCTGTGGGACCCCTCCCGAGGGGCAGCAGCCGACATGCCCACTGTTGAAGTGGCCCAGGCGACTGCCTTCGCGTACCCTGCTCTTCGCGGATGGATGAGTGCCCATGGGAGGACCCACCAAAGCCCGGCCGTGTTAAGACAGCGGCAGCTGGATTTAATTAGCAGACAGCGCAGGTTTTCCCTTGTGTAGCTAGCCACTGTCTGGGAGGACTTTCAGATTAAAGTTGAGGGCCAGGTGTCAGCCGCAATAACTGACTTTTTTAGAAAGGCTAAGTCTCTTCAGACTTAACTTTTTTTTTTTCAGTTCGACAGCTTTGCTTTACCTGAAAATAGGTCAGTCCTGTGCAAATCAAGAGGATTCAATTTCATCTTTTAAGGATTTTTGTTGTTTATATATGTTTAGTCTTGCACGTATGTGCACCATGTGCGTGCCTGGTACCCACGAAGTCAGATACCCTTTTCTTCATCAAATCCCCTGGAATTGGAGTTAAGGACAGTTGTGAGCCGCAGTGTGGATGCTGGTAACCGAGCTCATCCTCTGTAAGGGCAACATGTGTTCATTTGAGTCGTCTCTCCAGCCCACACTTTAATTTTTACCCCTAAATTCTTCCCTGTGTGTGGTTCCTCAAACAGCGTTTGTTTTGTTGTCTTGTTTTTTTGAGACAGGATTTCTCTGTGTAATATCCCTGACTGTCCTGGACCTCCCTTTGTAGACCAGGCTGACTGCCAACTCACAGAAATCCACCTGCCTCTGCCTCCTGAGTGCTGGGATGAAACGCATGTGCCACCACTGTCCGACCTTTCACACAGCATTTTAAAAGCAACATTAATGAAAAAAATGTGTATGAGTATGTATGTCTGCGTACTGTGTGCTTGCCTGTTGCTGGGGAGACCAGAAGAGGACATAGCATCCCCTGGATCTAGAGTTACAGATGGTTGTGAGCCAACATGTGGGTGCTGGGAATCGAACTCGGGACCTCTGTAAGAGCAGCCAGTGCTCTTAAGCGCTGAGCCATCTCTCCAGCCTGTAAACAGCATTTTTACATCATTTTAACCCTGTCACTTTTCAAAAGCAAAATGATTTATAACAGCTTCAAGCAAGTAAAAGTAAAAGAATTAATTAATTGTGTGAGTTTGCCAATTAGAGAACATCTAAGATTGCATCCTCTGGAAGAGCAGCCAGTGCTCCTCACCACTGAGCCCTCCCAGCCTTCCCTTGTTTTCTTCGTCTAACACTAGCTCTTGCTAATTTCCTTACTTCTTTGGACACTACCGTTTTTTAAAACAGGTGTTCTGAGTTGCCAGTTTGGTTCGTTTGCTCTGAGTCTGTAGACATCCTAGACCTACTTTAACATCATAGCTCCTATTTCCCATGTCTTCCATGTTTTCTTATTCCTTTTGAAGCTAAAGCTTGCCTCCAGTACTTTTCTGACTTTAACTCCTGTTCTTCTTTCTTTAACTTTGAGACGAATGTTAAATATACCACTTTTCCCCTGTATGCTTAATTTACTTATATTTCTCTAATTTTTTCATTTCAGCTTTCCCTTTCTCGTAGCCAAAATTTATCCTTCTAGGTCCAACTGGGATAGGTGTCGTTTCTTAAGTCTTATGTAATTAAGATTTGCTTGCAACAGGCGTTGGTGGTGCATGCCTTTAATTCCAGCATGGGGGGGGAGGGGGGCAGGCGGATCTCTGTGAGTTCGAAGGCAGCCTGGGCTACAGAGCAAGTGCCAGGATAGGCTCCAAAGCTACACAGAGAAACCCTGTCTCGAAAAACCAAAATAAAAAAGATTTGCTTGCTTGTGATACTTAATTGTAGCCTAATATGACTAAAGTCCTTTAGAGAAGAATCATTGCCCCTTTCTCTGTATAGAAAGTACTTAATTGTAGCCTAATATGACTAAAGTCCTTTAGAGAAGAATCATTGCCCCTTTCTCTGTATAGAAAGTACTTTATGCATAACATTAAAGAAATGAGTGGTTAAAATCTTGTATGCTTTTCTAATATCTGACTTATTCTAATCCCTTACTGTCACCTTAATGTTATCTCTTCAGAGAGAGCTCCCCCTACATTTAGTATAGCCATTTTGGTGTGTCCTTCATTCTACAGTCATGCTGTCTTATATATTAATTCTGCTATATTTATTGCATGAGGTAGTTCATAAGGATGATGACTTTTTTAAAGATTTATTTGTTATGTAAAACAGTGTTCTGTCTGCATGCATCCCTGCAGGCCTGAAGAGAGCACCAGATCTCATTACAGATGGTTGTGAACCACCATGTGGTTTCTGGGAATTGAACTCAAGACCTCTGGGAAAAAGTCAGCCAGTGCTCTTTCTTTTTTCGAGGCAGGGTTTCTCTGTGGCTTTGGAGGCTGTCCTGGAACTCGCTCTTGTAGACCAGGCTGATCTCAAACTCACAGAGATCCACTTTTCTCTGCCTACTGAGTGCGGGGATTAAAGGCATGTGCCACTGCTGCCTGGCCTCAGCCAGTGCTCTTAACCAATGAGGCCAGCGTGGTCTACAGAGGGGGAGGGTGGTGGGGAGCAAGTGTTCCAGGACATCCAGGGGCTACACAGAGAAACCATGTCTCAGAAAACAAAGGGGCGGGGGAATGTAAGAAAGGAAAAGTTAAGGTAATTCTAGGATTAAGGTGGAGAAATTACATGACACTAAGGATTAAATGTGAGCATCAGAGCCTGGATCCAGTTGCCCTTCCTTGGCTGCTCAGTATCCTTTTCTAACTACAGTACCACTCTGAGTCTTTACAGCACTGATCTCATCCAAATCCCAGGCTGCCCTTGCCTTCCCTCCCATGTCTTACAATGAACGCCACCCTAAAAACATTACAAGAGGGTCAGTACAGCTTAAACAGCTAATAACTGAATTTTGATGTTACCATATAAGCTCACTGGAACTGTCACTTTTGTTTTAAAGATCTTTTCTCCTTTCCCCAGAAAAGCACTTGGTGCTGCTCCGAGATGGAAGGACACTTATAGGTTTTCTAAGAAGCATTGATCAGTTTGGTATGTATTGTTGTGATCTCACCCTTTAATCCCGTTGAATTTTTTGGTGTCATTTTTATTCAAATTTACTTATCTCTAACTTTTCCCCATGTGTCAACAAAGTGAACTGAAACTGACTTGACTTTCACTAGTGTTTTTATTTTATTTCCCCATTAGAGGGAGCCAAATGGCAGAAAAAAAATTAGTCTTCAAATCATTTCCTGTGGTCATCCCTCCCTGTCCCCTAAAAATAGAGTAGAAGCCATTTCCTGAAGCTGTTGAAAGTGGGGCAATAAACTCAATAGTTTACATATAGGAATATATCAGATTTAGGAGTTAATCTTCATTTTGCAGTCTGCATTTTCTGTTTCCCTTTGATATAGATGCTTCTGAGTTCACACTGAACATTTGTAGGTCATCTGCCAGATCCCCAGATTTGAACGTGAGGAAAAACTTAGCTGAACCACCGGAATTTAGAAGATAATAAACAGCCAGCCATGAGACTATGTCTCAGATACTTACTAGGCTGAGGCAAAAGGATCACTTTGGAAATAGATCAAAAACCATCTCAAACAAGACAATAAGATATGGCCGGGCGTTAGTGGCGCACACCTTTAATCCCAGCACTCGGGAAGCAGAGGCAGGCGTATCTGTGAGTTTGAGACCAGCCTGGTCTACAGAGCTAGTTCCAGGGCAGCCTCCAAAGCCACAGAGAAACCCTGTCTCAAAAAACCAAAAAAAAAAAAAAAAAGACAATAAGATACAAACATCACAGGCCTGGACTCAGGGGTTAAGAACACTGACTGCTCTTCCAGAGGACCCAGATCCAATTCCCAGCACCCCCATGGCAGCTCACAACTGTCTGTAACTCCAGTTTCAGGGCATTCAACACCCTCACACAGACATACATGTAGGCAAAATACCAATGTACATAAAACAAAAATTTTTAAAAAGATACAAACATCAATTTTTGTTCAAGTAAAACAAGTAGTTTGAAAGAAGAAAATTTCTCCTACATCTTAAATTCATCAAAGTGCTTTGAAGGAATAATAGTGAATATTGAGATTACCCGTATGCTTATCTGACAAGATGAAGAAAGATTCTTGCTGTGTCATAATCCTTAAAAATTACATTGGGTTACACCGGGCAGTGGTGTCGCACGCCTTTAATCCCAGCACTCGGGAGGCAGAGGCAGGCGGATCTCTGAGTTCCAGGCCAGGAAGGACCGACAGCCTCCAAAACAATACAGAGAAACCTTGTCTCGTAAATACCAAAAAAAAAAAAAAAATTACATTGGGTTACATGAATCATAAGTACTGAACAAAAGTGAAGTCATCACACTGCAAAGAACTCTCCTTCCAAAAAATCAGAGCTTTAGTCTTGGCAGTTGTCTAGGCTCAAATTTTCAAGATTTCTATTTGTTTCTATCTTTCTAGAGACCGTGTTGATACTAGCAGTTAAATAATATAGAAGTAACTTATTCCTGCCTTCATTCATCTATTAGCCCGAATAATGGAAAATACTCTTTACTTGTTTGAATGTCTCCTAAAACTGAACATATGGTGGCTTCTGCCTGTAATTGCAGCATGTATAAGAGGTTGAGGCAGGAGAATCATCACAGGTTTTAGGACAGCCTGAATTACATCATGATTTCCAGGCCAGGTGAGGCTAGAATGAGAGTCTACCACCTCCCCAAAATAAGAAAATAAAAATAAAACAAATTCTCCTAAATGGTTTGTTGAAATTAATGAAATTTAAAGATAACTAAATAACTAAATGTTTCTTCTCTGTGTGCTTGTAGCTAACTTAGTGCTGCATCAAACTGTGGAACGCATTCATGTGGGCAAAAAGTACGGTGATATTCCTCGAGGGATTTTTGTGGTCAGAGGAGAGAATGTGGTCCTCCTAGGAGAAATAGTAAGTGAAAACTTAAGCTGCTGTGGGTCTGGGCACTGATGCTAACTGCCTTCTTCCCAGGTTCACAGGCTTTTCACAAGAACCCACCAGTTAGGGGAGCTGGCGTTGCCAAAGCAACACTGCAACAGGTAGTTAACACATTCCATTGCCTTTTGCCTTTTTAAAGATTTGATCTTGCTAGCAAAATATTGTTGGCTTTAGCCAATTGAAAACAGTATTGCCGGTGCTTGCTTTCATACCACATATACTAATATTGGAATAATACAAAGATGAGCATGGCCCCTCATCTGGAAAGAAAGAAACAAACAGTATTTCCGGGTGTGATGGCTCATGTCTATAATCCTAGCAGTTGAGAAGCTATGGTAAGTGGAACTCCTCTAGTTTGAAGCTAAGCTATGCTGTATGGTGAGTTCCAGGCCAACCCAGGCTCCAAAGTAATACCATCTTTTAAAAGAATAAAACAGCTGGATGGTGATGCACACCTTCAATCCCAGTACTTGGGAGGAAGGGGCAGATGATCTCTGTGAGTTCAAATCCAACTGGTCTACAAAGCTAGTTCCAGGACAGCCAGGGCTATACAAAGAAACCTTGTCTCGACCCCCCCCCCAAAAAAGAATAAAACAAGAACAAATACATTGATCATTCATGTAGTTTTAAATAATGTCTAATAACAAAAAGTTAGATAATTTTAATGATGTGTCCTGATTTATAAAAGTATAATTTAAAGCTAGAAGTATATCATAATGGTACAATCCTTGCCTGGCTCTGAAAACAAGAAAATGTACATGTTGGAATATTTTAATTATTTAAATAATTAGTTAGGAGTTGGAGAGATGACTTGGTGACTAAGAGCACATACTGTTCTCACTGAGAGCCTGAGTTTGGTTCCCAGGTCACAATTGCCTATAACTCAAGCTCCAGGGGATCCCAGAACACCTATGCTCATATGCACATGCCATCCCCAACACTTACATAATTTTAAAAAATAATAAAATTAAATAATTGATTGCAAGCAATTTTTCATGGCATGAAGTTAATTGGCAGCATTTAAGGAAAGTATCATATACATTTTTAAAGGGGAAAAAGGAAAACAATAGGTATAGGCAAAGCCATTCTGGAGTTTCAGAATGGAACTCATGACCAGGGAGTAGAGGCCTGAATATGTGTGCCAGAAAGACCAGATAGTAAGTGAGATGTTAAATTACATCTTACTATGTGTATTTGTGTGTGTACGCATTAGAAGATGATTATATGTATGTGTTTATGTATACATGTATATGTATTTTTCTTTTAACAATAACTTGAGATAATTCTGTCAGGGACAGTTTGATTGAGAGACCTCACGTTGGGAATAGCCTAACTCAGCTGTGTAATGAGTTAGAAGTCAGCTTGGACTGGGAAGATGGCTCACTGAGGAAATGTTTGCTGCACAAGCATGCAAGCCTGCGTTTGCCCCCCCGGGTACCGACATAGCAGCCAGGCATGGTGGTACAGACTGCAACTCCCAGCACTGGGAGCTAATGATGGGTAGATTCTGGGAATTCAGAGGCCAGCCAGTCTAGCTGAAACCGAGAGTTCCAGGTTCCCTGAGAGACTATCTGAAAAACTAAGGGGGTGATAAAGCACCTTTGTCAACCTCTGGCCTCCACATGCACACACACATAAAAACATGCACCCGAATACTGCTGTGAAATGTATTCATACACCATTGTTTTAAAATATTTTTTTGTGATAGGGCTAGAAAGATGGCTCAGCAGTTAAGAGCACTTGCTGCTCTTGCTGGGTTCAGTCCCCAGCACCCACATAGTGGCTTACAGCCATCTGTAACTTCCAAGGGCTGATACCTTCTGTGGGCTCTGGGCATGCACACAGTGCACATACATACACAGGTGTAAAGCATTCATACACAATAAAAAATCTTTTTCTTTAGAAAGAATGATTATGTCAGTCATCAGTCAGGAGAAATTATGTACTAACGACCAAAAAAACCTTTAGCCAGGATCTGTTCAGAGAAGCATTGCATTGCTGAAGAAGTAAGTCTCTAATGGTGGCACATGCCTGTAGTCTCAGAAATAAGGAGACTGAGGCAGGAAGGTCACAAGTTTCTAGCCAGCCTGGGCAAGACCTTGTTCCAAAAAAAAAAAAAAAAAAGGTGCTTGGATTCTCCTTGATGATGGAGAGTCCCAGCCCTAAGAAAGTTTACTCTGGAAAGATGGTTGAATCATAATCACTATGAATAGTTCAGTGAGTGATACACTGAACAGCCCAGGAAGCAGAGAGCTAAGAACATTGTCTTTTCTTCACTCCATGGTTATAAGGGAAGAGTTAGGTATTTATATGTAGTTTTTAGCAGATAACCTTTGACCCAGGGAACTGACGCAACTTGTGTGGCTTCTAACCTCCTGGTGAGAGTCCTCCCTCTGACACCACAACTGCTGAGCTCGAGTCCTTGGAGGCAAGTGTCAGCTATTATCCAGACTGAAACATTTGCAGTTTTTCTGATCAGTGTCTTTGCAAGCTTTCTCATCAGAAGTCATGAAAGGGACTGGAAAGATGGCTCAGTACTGAGTACTTACTGCTCTTCTAGCTCTTGTACAGAGCCTGGATTCACTTCCAGCACCCACACAGGGGAGCGCATAACTGACTGTAATGTAACTCCAGCTCCAGAAGGTATGACACCCTTTTCTGGCCTCTGCACACACCCCTGACTAGACATTAAAGAATAAATATTTTAAAAAGTCACAGGAGATAAGTGGCACACCTCTAACCCCAGCATTCACTAAGGACAGTGTATGGAGGCCAGCCTGGGCTAGGTAGTGAGTTCTAGGACAGACAGTTTTTGCTGTGTGACCAAGATCCTATCTGCGAGGAGTAGGGAGCCCAGAAATATATTGCTATTTTGTCTATGTAGGCTTTCCATGCTACAGAAACACAGCTAATACTATACATTGTAAGAATGATAAAAATCTGTGAATAGTAAGGTTCCTTTATAGTTCATTACAAAATTGGTTATTAAATGTTTATGCCAAGTTTACAGTGTTAAATGAAAATAAAATTTACAGTCACTATTTGTGTTATGGGTTTGTTTTTATTTTTAAGTTGTGTATGCACCTGATCTGATGCAAACCAGTGCAGGGCTTGCTAGCATACACGGGGCTCTGGCCAGCACCGTGGAACAAAACAGTTCCTAGGCCAGTAAAATGGCTTGGGGGTTTAAAACACATGTGCAAGTCTGACAATCAGAGTTCAATTCCCAGAACCTAAGAGAATGTGGGAGGAGAGGAGGACTCCAGAGTTATCCCTAGGCCGTCACACATTCACTGAAACACACATACAAAGCTTAAAAACACAGTCCCAAACCTAAACATATAATCAGTGTCTCTGATAACTAATAGAGTGACTAGCCTACACCTGAAAATTGGTAATATTCACCAAATATTGTTGTTCCATACTAGAATTATGAATAATTTTAAAATTTCAGATTGCCTGCTAATATTAATTTCCTACAGTGTGCATGTGTTTTTGAAGTAAGGGAAATTAAGTAATATTTTTATTAAAAGAATGTACGTGGGCATGGTGGCGCATGCTTTTAATCCCAGAACTTGGGAGGCAGAGGCTCTGTGAGTTCAAGGATAGCCTGGTCTAGAGAGTTCCAGCACAGCTAGGACTACACAAAGAAACCTTAAATTGAAAAACCAAAAAAAGAAAAAGCCACCGGGTGTTGGTGGCACACGCCTTTAATCCCAGCACTTGGGAGGCAGAGGTAGGCGGATCTATGTGAGTTCGAGGCCAGCCTGGTCTACAGAGCAAGTTCCAGGACAGCCTCCAAAACAATACAGAGAAACACTGTCTCGAAAAACCAAAAAAAAAAAAAAAAAAAAAAAAAAAGAAAAAAGAAAAACTGTAAATTACAAGATTTCTCTGTAGCTATCGTGTCCTGGAGTTACTTTCTGTAAACAGCCTTAGAGAGGTGTGAATGCAGGTGCATGAAGGGGTCAGAGGAGGTCTTGGGTATCAGTGCTCATTTTGTACCTTGTTTGAGACAGGGTCCTTTCCACTGTGTGCCCCAAGCTAACTGGCAGTGCAGTTTCCAGGGATTCTGCTGTTTCTCCCATCTCCCTGTAGGAGCACTGAGATCATAGGTGTGTGCTACTGTGTCCAGCTTTATGTGCTCCTAGGGATTCAAACTCAGGTCTTCACAGGTACCAGCAAGCACTCTACACATTGAGTTATCTCCTAAGCAAGTTAACCCTGACTAACATGGGACTTCACCAACTGCTGCATGCACATTCTGAGTGGTGTATATTGTGTAGTATGTTACCTGCCTCTGTCTGCAGGAGTGGTAGTTCAGCCTTATCACGGTTATGAAAAGCAGTCCAAGCTACATACTGGAATCTGTTTGTCTGAAGGTTTTCTATTCTGGACTTCACGGGAAGTTGTTCAAACCTGCCTGTTTTGCAGGACTTGGAAAAGGAGAGCGACACGCCCCTCCAGCAAGTATCTATTGAGGAGATCCTAGAAGAACAGAGGGTAGAACAGCAGACCAGACTGGAGGCAGAGAAGCTGAAGGTCCAGGCCCTTAAAGATCGAGGCCTCTCCATTCCTCGGGCAGATACTCTGGATGAGTACTGAGTCCCCGCTCTAGAAAGCAAGGCCTGTCACCTGGTCACATCACACATTTGACCAAAGACTGTCAGAAGTGAAAGGTGATCTTACTCTTTCACATATGCCAACATGAAGAAATCATGTGATTTGTTTTTTTAACAAAAGCACTGTATATTTTGATTTGCTTTTCTGTGTCAAACAGTCTCATATAGCCCTGGCTGACCTAGAACTCACTACGTAGACCAGGCTGACCTCTGACTTGTGGGATTACAGGTGGCTTCACCGTGTCCAGCTTTATTGTTTAAAGAAAAGGGGCGTGACCCACCCCCACACAAGTCACCATGGAGCCAAGAATCACGTCTGTATATTGCTTTTCTTAGCTCAGAGTTTACATTTCTTTTCAAAAGATATTTCCTCATTTATTTGTAAATAAAGAATGAATCCCGTAATGTCATATTGTTTCACAAAACGGAGTTGCCTCTGGTGAAATGACAAAAGGTGTGAGTATCCATTTGCTAGGATCCCCTGCCATCATAATTCCAAGTAGTTGGCTGCTTGGGAAGGCATTTTCATGCTCTCTTGCTGGTTCCTGTTCCCATTTTCATGTTTATATATGATCAAGTTTCAAGATTGAGAAGGGAGTTTTCAAGGAACTAGTTACAACAGAAGCCTCTTGTTTAAAAAACTTAAACCCTGCTCTACCCACAGCTATCCCAAACTATTTCTTATGTCTTCATAATATGCTTTGTTCTCAGAGACTTCTGTTAATTTAGCTAGGTTTCCAGGTCCTTTCCACTTAAGTTTTGATCGTCATTTGCTTAGATCATCACCAAAAAAAAAAAAAATCCACAAATGGTGTTTAGTAACTACTGATTCATAGTGGCACACTGTGTTGGAGAGTAATGATTGCATCAGTATAACAGATGACCCTTCAAAGGCAGACAACAGACAATGAAGCAACAGCATAAAAATTGGCTTATTGTCACATTGAAATGATTCTCAGTAATTATCCCAGATATTTCCTTTCTATGATCTTTTGGACAGTGGTACTCTTTCTTTCATAAGATCTTTGTGGATTGTTTTATGCTGTGATATGATATACTTAGTTTATGTTTTCAGGTGTTTAAAAAATCTGTCCCAGATGCCTGTAAGCCATTTGGCATGTTAATTCTTCATTTTGGAGTTGGCTTTACCGTAGATACTTTTGAAAGAAATTATGCTTGGATTGAGGATGTAGCTCAGCAATAGTGCTTAGAATGTGCAAGGTTCATGGGTGCCAAGTAGTGGAGACAGAGGCAGGCAGATCTCTGTTGAGCCCGAGACCAGCCTGACCTACACAGTGAATTCCAGGACAGCCAAGGCCACACAAAGAAACTCTGTCTCAAAAAACAAGCAAAAAAAGAATGTGCAATGTTCATATCACATATCTAAGTATAGGGACAGTAGAGTGACTGTTTAATTGCCCTTTGCTGGTTTAGAACATTTGGCACCTTCAAGAGCTGTAGGTCACTTTTTTCAACATCAGACATTTCTTTGCAAGGTTCAGTCATGTGTGACATATTGTTTCTGATCTACATCATGCAGCAGTCTGGAATTGAACCTAAAAGTTAAACTGTTTGGACTGCTTCCTTCCTCTTATTTCCCAGATTGCCCAGCTTGGGGGCTTGCTTCTACTGCCTCTCCCTGACCCCAACCACTGTGGGTGTACTCCTATTACACTGCAGGAACAATTCCAGTTCATATTAAAAGTTCCTACCAATTGGGGCAGCTGCTTTCAGAGGGGAAATGAGATCGTCCAACGTGCTGTTTGTGGCTTCTTCATTCGGAAATAACTGAGCATATCTGTTTCAGGTCCTTTTTTTTCTAAACTCTTCCTAGGCCCTTCGTATATTTGATTTCATAGTCTCTGCTTTCTAAACCCACATCTCTCCACTCTGAATAGGATACAAAATAGAGTTCAAAAACAAAGAAATAGAGCACATCTTGTTTAATGAAGTCGGGTTACATGTAAAATTTGCATGCGTGTATATGGATACTGGTAATATACATTTCTGAGTGACTCAAACACTTGAAAAGCATTATATATAGTCCATTATAAAAGTACATCTTCATTGCCCTATCTTTGATTTCTAACCACTAAAGATTACCTTTGCCTGGGATGGAGCTGAATCTGACATCTAAGCTTAGAATACCTTAGCTCTGCATGAATGCTTTTCAATCTTCAGAGCTCTGCTCAAGCTTTGCCCTCCTTGACTGCCTGTTCAAAACATCTCTAGAACAGAAAGGTAACTCAGCGGTAGAAAGCTTGTTTAGCATGAGCATTTGAGGTAGGGAAAGAAAACCTCAAAAATCCTACCTCCACCTGTTTCCCTTCCAGCTTTATTTTTTACACTGATGACCATTGATGGCTGACAAAAGTCATTACTGTCTGAACCCCCAGAGTAAACGCCTAAGACTGGGATTTTTGAGTGTATAAACATATGTCTATAATCCCAGCACTTGGGAGGCTGAAAGGCAGGAAGGTTGTGTATTTAAAGCCAACCTCTACTACAATGTGAATTGGAAGTCAGCCTGGGCTACGTGAGTCCCTGTCTTTAAAAAAAGGAAAAGCCATGGCTAGTGGTGTACACCTTTAATCCCTGCACTTGGGAGGCAAAGATAGGAGGACTTCTGGTCACATAGAGAGTTCTAGAACTACATAGACCCTGTTTCAACCATACCAAACCAAGCAGAAGAGTGGAGTTTTCTGTGTGCTCCAAACTGTAGCCCCAACATCTGAATGATGCTTGAAATACTAGGTTTCACTATAAAGCTGTTGAAGGCTAGATTGATACCGATAAATGAGCAGGGTGGTGGCAATGCATGCCTTAATCCCAGGATTTGGCAGGTGGATCTCTGAGTTCCAGAACAGCCAGGGCTGTTACACAGAGAAACCAAAAAAGACAGATAAATGGATGAAAATACAGCTGTCAGTTCAGGTTGACTCATACACTTTGGGGACCAGAAGTGTACGAAAAGGTGAGGACAGCTGGGGGTACTGAGCAATCAGGAGGTGAGCAATTACACATAAATGTTCCCCTAGGACTACCTTAGCTGTAGGCCACAGCTGTAAAGAATCTGTCAGTATCTGAGAAAACATCTCAAGAGAAGAATGCGTCAGAAAGCTAGGGCCCCAGTTGCCTGTTCTTCCAGCTGCCTTCCGGGAAACTGGACTGCAGTTTCCACCCATCACTTTGCATGTGGCCATTCCCTTTTCTATTGGGAACAAAAGGTGGTTTTGTGGGTGTTTAATTTTCTCTGCTCAGTCTTACATTTACTAATCAAAAGTGAATGTTGGGCTAAGTGGGTGTATGCACCTGGAGTTCTACCAGGGAAGCCGAGGCAGGGCCAGCCTCCACAACATAGTCAACTCTCCAGTTTGTTTTAAAGAGGACCCAGAGGGATGGCTCAGGTTCAGTGGTTAAGAGCACTAACTGCTTTTTTCTGGTGTGGTTCCTAGCACCCACATGGCAGTTCACAACTGTTAACTCCAATTCCAGGTTCCTGATGCCTTCTTTGGGCCTCCATGAGCACCTGGCACATGAATGGTACACAGAAATGCATTGAGGGCAAATACAAAGTAAAATTTTAAATAGCCCCCCCCCAAAAAAAAAAGAAGCTGGGCATGATAGCACTAGCCTTTAATCCCAGAATTTGAAGGGCAGGCAGGGAGGGAGAAATGAACTGGGGTGACCCACCCCTTTAATCTCAGCATTGAGGGAGGCAGAGGCAGCAGGATTTCTGGGTGGCACCCCTTCTCCCTCACCTGTCCTACAAGAGCCCTCCTTTGAGTCTGTGAATCGTAGTCATACTCACAGTGTCTTAACTGTAGACTCACACGGGGGACATTCAGTATAGGCTGGCTGGGTAGTCAATGGAGTTCCCTTTTCTGTTCCAAAGCCTTGCCCCTCTCCCAACCTGCTCTGTCTGTCCGGTCTCCTTCATGTAGGCTGTGCTCTAATCAACATGGAAAGCCAGATATAGATACCCAGAATCAGAGGACATTCCCAGATCTTTCTCGACCTTTTAGCTCAGAGGAACAGCAAGAGTTAAACAGTCATTCGGCTTGGAAAGGACTGGGAAGGCAAGCCTTGGCCCTGGGGGAGGTCATTCAACATGCCCTCCCTGAGTCAACGGCAGCCCGTCTCTGACATCAGCAACAGCTGTATGCCTCAGTGCTCCAGTCTGCCCACACTGTCCCCCCTCCTAACTCTGAATGCCATAATTCTCCACAAAACGGCAACAGCAGGGCCTTGAACATTATCTGAACGGCTTGTCCCACACGACCCCCCTCCCAACTCTCTAGCACCTTCTCTGAAGGCAGGTCCACGTGTATCCGAGGTTGCACGTGTCCCAAGCAATGGGCCGGGAAAAGCTAGGGCAGCCAAGCCTGCCAGCACACCCTCTGCCTAGACACAGGCTGCAGAAGAACAGGCCTCCGTCCTCCTGGAACTCACTGAGGGCCAGAAGCAGCGCAGGTAGGTTTCCTGAGCCAAAGATGTGCCTCTTGCTCCTCTAAGCAGTGTCTCAATGGAGGAGTAGGAATTCACTCTGTCCTCGTAAGAACTGAGTGCTGGAGCCAGCAACAGGGCTGGAGAACGAAACAGTACCTGTGTCTGGGATGTAATCCCTTAGAAGAGGGTGGGCGTGGTAGCACATGCCTGTAATCCCAGCACTTGGGAGTCAGAGGCAGGAGAATTAGGATTTCAAGGCTCATGTCAGCTAAAGTTTTAGGACAGCCCAGGTTAGGCACTCCATCTTAGAACAGAACAGACAAGCACACATGGGTCAAGCACTGGGTTACACCTTTCCAGGGGCACTGATGGGGGAGGGTTAGCATCAGGGACAAACACTAGAAAACTGAGTGGACAAAACTGAACAGTGGCAGAAGAGTAGTTACAGTGGATCTTGGGGACTAGATCCTGGGACCTTGGGTGCCTCAAAGCAGTAGCTCTCACAGGCCCTCTCACACAACTTTACCAGAATGGAAATGTAGGCTATAGGACTCATCCATATGTCCTTTTATCTAATTGCCTTGAAAAGGGTGGGCCTTGTCTTGACTCAGGACAGTAGTTGACAGGATACAGAAATCCAACACTGGCTGCAGGGTTTGGGGGCAGGGCAAATCTAATGAGACTATTGGCAACATTATTGCTATAGGAAATTGGCTTAGGAGCAGCCTCAAAGTGCCTTTGCCAGGAAGAGAGATCTCACAAGAGCAGTACTGGCATGCCCCAGGCAGTTCAAAGGCTCCATGGGTCTTTGCGGCCCAGTACCACAGGTTCCCCTACCTGCAAAAACTGTCGTGAGTAGATGTCCAAGTACTTGTACTTGTCATTCCCACCTTTCTGTAGAGGCCAAGTCCTGTAGCAGGCCTGACTGATAGTTTTGCAGCTTTTTAACATTTCTATTTATGTATGTATTTATTTATTTAGAGATAGGGGTCTTTCTGTGTAGCCTTGGCTGTCCTGAAACTTACCGTGTAGATGAGGCTGGCCTCGAACTCACAGAGACCTACTTGCCTCTGCCTCAGAGTGCTGTGATTAAGGCGCGCACCACCACACCTGGCTCTGGTCTTGTAGCCTTAACTTACTCTTTGGTTCTTTTACCCTGGCTCGCTCTCTCAGCTGGTGTTTCTGAACAGAGGCGGTCCACCTCAGCTGGTGGGCGTTTAAGTGAATGCTGGATGTGGGGCTTGAGGACAGGGCTCACGGTTTGCATTTAAAACTTTGGAGAAGCTGTGTGCCTTCTGTCCAACAGCCCCATCTCAATCCCCCCCCCCGCATCGACTGAGCCTGGCCCTCTCCACTCCCTTCTACGCACTCTGCCTCCTCCCACCTTGGCCAGTGCTGCAGCATGAGGCAATCACTCCATCCTTGACCCTCTGCACAGTGACTGATGGCTTTTTTATCTCCAAGTGATGATGCACAGCCTTCCGCTGGAAGCATTTAAGGCAGAGCGCTTGACTCGAGCCGCAGCTGCAAGACCTTGAGCGGCTCAGGAAGAACAAATCCTTGAGTGCAGCCACAAGTGCAGTGCTGCCACATCTGCAGGAAAGCATGTTGCTAGCCACGTTTAAGCTGTGTGCTGGAAGCTCCTACAGACATCTGCGGAACATGAAAGGTGAGTCTCCGGGGGCCGAGAGCTTGCCAAGAGCCTCCAGGCAATATGGTTTTGTGGGAAAGATCCTGCATGGGGGACAGGCCACCTAGGCTTTGGTCCCAGTTGTGCCTCTTACTGGGTGAGCCTGGGTAAATCTTTTCCCCTCTGGACCTCAGTTTTTCACCAGAAAAATTAGGCTGGATAGTAAGATGTCGTATCTCACCCAAACCCTGTAATTTCTGGCCTCTGCTCTAGGACTCCAGTTGTTCTGGAGCTAGTACTGACAGTGCCTTCCTTTGGGATTGGACCAGGTCTGTACCAAAGGTCCCAGGCAAGTCTGTGCCACCATGGTAGAGAAATACAGAAGCCATCCTTGACTCTAAGAAGCAGTGCCTGGCAAGCAAAGACCCTGGCAAGAGCTGCAGAAGACAGACAGGAGTGTTGGGCAGCAGAAGTACAAGGCAAAGTGGGAGGGAGGCTCTTGTCACTGGATAGCCAACAGGCAGATCTTGGTAGTGGGGTAACCTTCAGGAGACAGACGTATCCCCCCATATCCAGCCTACTGAGTACTACTGAGTAACCTTTTTCTAGTTTACAGCAGGCCCAGGTAAACTGTGTCCAAGTAGGGCCAGGTTTGACCAGCCTGCCCTTATTTCCCAGGATGGAAAAGAGATTTCTGGGCTCTGGAAGTGCTGGAGGAAGCGTAATACTGAACTTGGTTTTAAAGATGTGGCTCTAGTTCAGGTCCCTGCTGACATCTGTTCCTGAGTCACTTTGCTTCTCTGTTATGAGTGGACTGGATGGCCCCGCACTAAGGGACAAATGTTTCCCTTCCCTCTCTGCAGGACTGAGACACCAAGCTGTGCTGGCCATTGGCCAGGAACTCAACAGAAGAACACTGGGAGACTCCAGCCCTGGATGGATCAGTCAGGTTCGGCGTCGGAGCTCTCTGCTTGGTAAATGTTGGGGCTTCTGGGCTTCTGGCAGTGATGAGTCTTAGGGTGCAAATGTTGCTCATGAGGCCTGCTCCCTGTCTGTGCCTACCTAACTCCTGTGTCTACCTTGACCTTCAGACAGGACCCTTGCCTTTGATCTTGTCTTGTTTTGAGGACTGAGCACATTCAGAAGGCAAAGGGATGAGAGCTGGGGAGCCCATCGGCTAGGACACTGGAAAGACACTTTCTTTCTTTCTTTCCGTGGCTATGCACACAGGTTCTCAGCTGGAAGCGGCACTCTACAGTGAGCAGGAGCTGTCCTATATCCAGCAGGGAGAGGTGGCTATGCAGAAGGCCTTGAGTATCCTCAGCAACCAGGAAGGCTGGAAGAAAGAGAACCAGCAGGTAAGTAAGCGTGGCTGTGAGAAACCCGGAGCTACTCATTGTCCCACTGCCGTGTTCAGCACCTGCTCCACTCCTACCTCATTCACGGTTAATAAGCAGCCAACAGTTTTATTTTGAGAACTCTTCTAAGAATATATTCTCGGGGACTGGAGAGATGGCTCAGTGGTTAAGGGCACTAACTACTCTTCCAGAGGATCCGGGTTCAATTCCAAGCACCCACATGGCAGCTTACAACTCTCTGTAATTCCAAGATCTGACAGCCTCACACAGACATACATGCAGGAAAAACACCAATACACATAAAATTAATATATATATATATAATAAATAACATATTCTCAGGTTGGGGTGAGGGTATACAACTTTAATCTCAGCACTCAGAACCAGAGGCATTGGGGGGGGGGTCTCTGCAAGTTTGAGGCCAGCCTGGTCTATGTAGCAAGTTCCAGGCCAGTCTCAGACCCTGTCTCAAAACAAAGAAGCAAACAATATGTTCTCAAATAATCCTCTCTCCATAAGACCTGATTGAGAGACAGTTCTTATTTTTTAATTGCCCTCTGAATCCTGTACGTTCATCCAATAGAAACCACACACTATGGATATTCCATGTGCATTGGAGGACATATTGCCCAGTACTGAAACCCTTACAATGCTAGAGTGTATTCTATACTATGCAGTCCATCCTGTAGAGGAACTTGCAGTGGGTAATGTGGGCTCATCTTGCCACACAGCTGGAGTATACAAAAATGTCCCAGTATTGTTTGAAGCCCTGTCCTGAATGTTTTATCCCTCACTGAGAGCCAGTAACAAGACTTTACATTAAAACCAGTAGCTCTACTATTAGATCTACTTTGGTGACCTTATCTCCAGAAAAAGTTTACACATGATTCATCACCTCAAGTTCAGGTGAAACATCTAGTTACAGATAGTTTAGGAGTAAAACAATCTGGGATCCAAGCTCAGCACTGCTCTTTGCTAAAGGTCCTGGGCAAATCATGGAAACTTTCTGGCCCCACATTCTTCTGAAGTGAAATGACATACATTGAACCAACAAGATAAACAAACAACCCCAATGTTCCCTCTATATGATTGGCTAGTTGTAGACCAAATGCTTTACTCCCCAGGTCTGTCTTTAGACTCTTTGAGCTTTGAAGTATGTGTCATCACTGAGACGAGGCAGTGCTAAGTGGTATACAAGACATGGGGCCACAGTGCTTGTCCTCATCAGCAGAGAGCCAGGGCCCTAATGCTCACTCACCTTAGACTTGCTAGTTCCTTTCCCAGTACTAAGACCTAGACCAGGGGTGATTTTCTCTATCCTTCACCCTGGGCTCTCTTTTGTCCCCAACAGGAAAACGGGGATGAGGTGCTGAGTAAAGTGGTCCCTGATGTGGGCAAGGTATTTCGGCTGGAGGTGGTGGTAGACCAGCCCATGGACAGACTCTATGCAGAACTTGTGGACCGCATGGAGGCAATGGGAGAGTGGAACCCAAATGTCAAGGAGATCAAGGTGAGGAAAAGCCCGGGTGTGGGTAGCAGGGACCCAAGAGAATGCAATCTAAGAGGTAGGCCAAAGGCATCCCAAACTGTGGGTGCTTAGCTCACACTGGCTGAGTCCTGACTCCAAGTCCCTTGTATTAGGTCCTGCAAAAGATTGGGAAAGACACAGTCATCACCCATGAGCTGGCTGCAGCAGCAGCAGGAAACCTGGTGGGACCCCGTGACTTTGTGAGCGTACGCTGTGCCAAGCGCCGAGGCTCCACCTGTGTGCTGGCAGGCATAGCCACACATTTTGGGGAGATGCCTGAACAAAGCGGTGTTATCAGGTAAAACTGGCAGCAGTTTCAAAACCGCAGAGTCACAATCCAGATCCCTATTTCCAAGACCAGTCCTTAGCCACTCTCAGCTTTAGCAAGGAAGTACGGCCAGAACAGCCCCACTCCAACAGACCCTCCCAGGAACTTCTAAGAATCTTAATACTTTTCCAAAGCAAGGAGCAGGCTCCCCTGTGTTCTAACAACCGGGAACATAGGAGGCGGCCTGCAGCTACAAGCAGCAGGTTCTGATGAGCTGGTAGCCACTGTTAGTACTTTTGGTGAAGTACTTCCTCATGAAATTTAAAATACAAGGGACTCTGGCAATGTGCTAGTGTCACTAATCTTGTCTTCCTGTTTTGACTGCTCTTTATTTCCCAGAGCTGAACAGGGTCCCACCTGCATGGTGCTTCACCCACTGGCTGGGAGTCCCTCGAAGACTAAATTCACTTGGCTGCTCAGTATTGACCTCAAGGTGAGGGGCATGGGAGATAGCCTTGGAGTCATGACAAAAATATGCTCTTGTCCCCCAACATAGAAAGAATCCTCTTGCATTTTTCCTGACTTTTAAAACACTTCATTGTTGTGTGTGTACACATGGTGTATATGTGTGAATGCAGGCGCTCACATGTCTCAACAGTGTGGAGGTCAAAGGACACCGTTGACTTGGGATTCTCCTTTTATGTGGGTTTCAGTAATTTAACTCAGATGCCAGGCCTGGGAAGCAAGCACTTGGACGCAGCAAGCCATTTTGCCAGCCTTCCCCTTGCGTTTTGATAGAATCACAGGCTGTTGGATAGGCAGTGGACTTATGGCATGCTATTCTACCATTGTATAAGCCTGCTAAGGCTTCCTCTTACCTCATCTAAAAAGCTGGGTGCAATATCAAAAATTTTAGTACTTAAAGGCAGAAGTAAGATCACACATTTGAGGTTCCAGGACCTAGTTAAATGGTTAAAAAAGAAAATCAGTTTTATGTATAAATATGGCCTTTTAGAAAGAAGTGATCTTAGGCCCTGAGGGAGATGATGGGAAAGGGGATACAGATTTCTCAGGGTCACACAGCTAGAAATCCTGTCTCTAACAATTGGACAACCAAGGTTGCATCTCTAAACATAAAGACCAAGCCCTTTTTGTTAGATACAGGAGTAGAATAGTATCCACAAGATACCAGTGCTCACTGGGCATGGTGGCACATGTCTTTAATCCCGCACTTTGATAGACAGAAGCAGATGGGTCTTTGTGAGTTCAAGGTCAGCCTGGTCTATAAAGCAAGATCCAGGACAGCCAGTGCTGTTCCACAGAGAAATCCTGTCTCAAAAAAAAACAAAAACAAAAACAAAAACAAAAAAAACAAAAACAATCAAAGATACCAATACTCTCGTCTCTGATCCAGGGGTGGCTGCCGAAAAGCATCATCAATCAGGTCTTATCACAAACCCAGATGGAGTTTGCCAACCACCTGCGCAAGCGCCTGGAGTCCAGCTCTGCCTCTGAGGCCCGGTGTTAAGACTGTACCCACTACATCAACCTGCATGCCATCAGCAGCCTCCCGCAGGAAGCCTGCAAGTCTGTTTCAAATCTCCAGTTGATGACTACGGGAGGGGTAGTACTTATCAGACACTAGGACTGACTGGCGAAACATGACCATCAGGAAATTAGCAATGAGGCTGAGCAGAAGAGACCTCAGCCTCTCCCACAGATTAGCTGTGAAGTGGGCTAAGAGATAGACATGCTAACACTTTTATGTAGGCCTGTGTATGCTCACCTAAAAACCCTACTCAAAACGCAAGTAGTTAGTGTGACAAGGGGGGGTGTTTAGGAACTGTTGTCTTCTGAGCTCAAAGCCACTGCCTGAAGCAGTGTGTGCACACAGCAAGGCTTCCCCAGGGACTTCAGTGACCCTCTGTTCCTCCATAAAAGGCCAAGAACATCAAACCACTCACAAACAGACCCTTCCAGAGTACACTCCAAGTTCTCTCTAAGGAGAAAGGAAACTAAATATTACGTTGGCTTCCCTACTTATTACATCACAATAAAGTACCACACATGAAATTTCAGCCTATACTTGTCAAGTCCTATGGCACAGAATCTGTGCTGGGAGCCACAGCTTCATCAGAGCTCTGGATCAAGACTGTGGGTTCCAATTTCCTAGTTCATTAAAGGAACAAAACTTCACATTTGTCACTTGTTTAGACTCTTTCCTAAAAATGCAATTTTATACCAAACACAACTCTAAATTGGTTGTTAAAGAACTCTAGCCAAAAGCCACTGTGACGGCACATGCCCTTAATCCCAGCACTCAGGCAGCACACACAGGTGGATCTCTGTAATACTGAGGCCAGCATGGTCTACATAGAAGGATAGCCAGAGCTACACGGTGAGACCCCCGTCTCAAAAACATGAAAACAGGTTGGAGGGATGACTCAACAGTTTGGAGCACCAGCTGCTCTTCTAGGGGGATCCAGGTTCAATTCCCAGCACTCACATTGCAGCTTACAACTGTAATTGCAGACTCAGGGAATCTGATACCTTCTTCTGTGGGTACCAGGCACACACATGGTACACATACATACATACATACATATATACATGCATATATACATACATACATACATACATACATACATACATACATACATACATGCTGAACACCCATTATTAAAAAGAAAACTCTGCAGCACCTGCACCACAAGCTAGCCCGAGGTATCAGGAAAAGAGAGACAAGACGTCCAGCTGTTTGTACTAAGAGAATGCATGTGTTGCCTTTATTGCCAGGAGTGAGTGAGTGAGTGAGTGAGTGAGTGAGTGTGTGTGTGTGTGTGTGTCTTCATTGCAAGTGCTAAGAGGTCTCTCTCTTGTAGGAGGGAGGAGCTTTATGTACAGGCTTACAGCACAGTGGAAAAACCCCAGGTAGAAGAGATCATGTTTTCCTTCTGCAGAATGTTGATATTGGAGGGTCAAGGCCGGGGCAGTAAGCCAGGACTAGAAAACAGGAAGCACTTGGACTGGAAAACAAATTGTACTTGTAGGCTGACCAGCAACTCACAGTGACCCTGTGGGGCTGGGACCCAACATCTTCCCCCTTCTTTATATATAAATTAGCACCTATCTCAGGTGACTAGGACGTTAATGCCAATCTTAGTATACAAGCATTTATAAACAATATTTGGGAATGTGGGCATCATTCTTTCCAAACTACTTCCTGCTGTTATGGGGTGCTGAAATACCATGGGGATCATGACAAAAAACAAAACAAAACCCAGAAACCTGTTGAAGTTCTTGTTTTTGTGGTCTGTAAGGCTGCATCATCTCAGCTGTTTTAGGTGTTGGATCACCTGGGCCACTGCTTCAGGTGGTCTTGCTTCATCAAACCATACTAGTCTGGAAGGGACCCACAGCTTTTTATGTCCTGTGGAAACAAAAGCAGAAATTCTTTTCCCAAGTAACCTGTCCTTATATTTAAATTTAAGTCAAAGCATTTTCAAAATATATAAGTTGGATTAATTTAGCAGCATTAATAATCAAATGTCTTTTAGCAGTTTTTGTTCCTTTCTTGGCAATTAAACAATTTAAGGACAACACAACTATACACAGTATCCAGACTCTCTTGTGTATTTTTCATTCCATATACTTTTATCTTTTCCTTTTCTTTTACTTAATACTAGTACCTCGTTTATTAACTGTTACCAATTTTTAATTTACCCACTTTTAATCCATCCTCCAGCTGAGGGCGATCTCTCAGGTTCCCCTTTCTTTCCTGACCTTTGTGTCAGGTGAAGGCCTGGAGATTTAATCCAACCCACCCTCCAAATGAGGGCGATCTCTCTGGTTCTCCTTTCTTTCCCAACCTTAGTGTCAGGCGAAGGCCTGGAGATTTAATCCAATCCACTCTCCAAGCTAGGGTGATCTCTCAGGTTCCCCTTTCTTTCTTGACCTTGGTGTCAGGCAAAGGCCTGGAAATTAGTTTTAAGTCTTATTTTATGTTTGAGAAGTCCCTGAGATTTTTTTAAATTGATTTTTTTGAGACAGGGTTTCTCTGTATTGTTTTGCAGGCTGTCCTGGAACTCGATTTGTAGACTACGCTGGCCTCAAACTCACAGAGACCCCATGGGGTTGGGGCCCAACAAAACCCAACAACCTCTAGTCAGGTACCTTGGCTCAACAGCTAAAATCACAACACTCCAAATGATAACACAGGTTAATACAGGTGAATTGCCCTAAGTTCCAGGCAAGCTTGAACCACTGTGAGACCACCTCAATAAACAAAACAAAACAAAAACAAAATTAGAGCTATCAGTTAAGAATAATAGCCCTAAAAGAGGAAGGTTATAACAGGATTTTTATTTACCTAATTAAAAGGACAACACCAAATAAGAAATCCTGACCAATAAGTGCTATTGTTTATGAAGTTAGTAAGAAACAGGTTAGAGAGATGTCAGTTTGGCTCAGAGCTAGCAACTTACTTACTTGAAAAGCTTAAACTAGCCGGGCAGTTGTGGCGCACGTCTTTAATCCCAGCACTCGGGAGGCAGAGGCAGGCAGATCTCTGTGACTTTGAGACCAGCCTGGTCTACAGAGTGAGTTCCAGGACAGCCTCCAAAACAATACAGAGAAACCCTGTCTCGAAAAACCAAAAAAAAAAAAAAAAAAAAAAAAAAAAAAAAGAAGAAAAGCTTAAACTATTACCACTTGGGAATAGTTAGAAGGCAATATAGTAGTAACAAATTCCTGTTCCAGGATTTGGAGGAATTATGCTTTAAAGATTTGAGTTGGGGGCTAGCAAAATGACTCAGTGTGAAAGTGTTTGCCACCAAGCCTGATGACTCTTGGAACCCATATAGAGGTGGCAGGAGGGAATTGAAAAAGTGATTCCACCGAGTTTCCAGATGTCCACTCGCTCGCGCTCACCCACACTAAAAACCTTACACTTAATACATGTATACCAAAATATGAGGGAATTCCTTTGCTGAATGTGCTAAGGATGAGAACCAAACTGTTACAACTAAAGCATTTCACTGTCAGGGCAGGCAGCAAGCACTTTTATCTGCATGCCCATCTTGCCAGCCCATTTTTCTGTCCTTTATAGCCTTAGAATTGGTAATTTCCATGTTTTGCAAAGAATTCTGGCTTATTTACGAGTAAAGCAGCAGTGGGGACACTCATTTATTGAGGTCTTAAGATTTAACAACTGAGATTTATTGTAACTCATTCTGGTTGCTTTCCAGTCGACTTTTGACACAGATGAGACTGTTGCCCCTCCAGGGCTTCAGGGTGAGGAAGGGCAGTTGTAGGGCTTTTTGGCTACAACTGTCACCATGGTCAGCCAAGAGAAAGCAGCCGCTTGCTGACAGCTTCGGGAAAGGCTGATGGAGAGGAAAAAGGCCTCAGCAAACACAGCTATCCTTTGCTGCTTCACACCCTGCAACTGGATCTTTGTGCTGTCTGACAGGTTTTACCCCTTTGCTTAATCTTAAATTTGACCAGAACTAGTTGTCAATGGTAATCTGTGACACAGTAAATAAAAGACCAGAGACAGATATTGAGGTTCAAACTTCAAGCCAAAGATCAGAAAAGCAAGGCAGTCGGCCGTTAGCCTTGCCTCTACCTTAGGCTGAAAGGGCTGTCCTCTCGTCAGCGTGGCCAGAAAATAAATCTTCACTTAAGACCCTTTGGTTCTTCCTTTTATACCTCTCAAATTCTGGGGTTAAAGACTCGTGATGCCAAGTGCTGAAATCACCTTTGTGTGAGCTGTTTCTCTGTAGGGCTGGATCAGTTTCCTGTAGCCCAAGGTGGCCTTGAACTGAGATCCGTTCTGCTTGTCTCTTGAGTCTTGGGATTAAAGGTGTGTGCCACCACTGCCTGGTTCTATTGCTTGTGGCTAGCTTTGCTATCTGTGCCTCAGGCAAGCTTTTTTGTTTTGTTTTGTTTTGAGACAGGGTTTCTCTGTGGCTTTGGAGGCTGTCCTGGAACTCACTCTGTAGACCAGGCTGGTCTCGAACTCACAGAAATCCGCCTTTCTCTGCCTCCCAAGTGCTGGGATTAAAGGCGTCAGGCAAGCTTTAATAAATCATAATATGTCACCACAGTAATCTGATTATAGGCACCTATAGATGGGTAGTTACTTTTGGGTCTTTCAAATGAAACTTACTAACACATGCAAGCTCACAACTGTACACACACTTCTCACAGGGTCTCTCTCACTCTGTAGCCCAGGCTGGCTTGGAACTCATTTCAACCCTCCTGCCTCAGCCTCTTGAGTGCAGTGATTAATGGTGTGACCCACTACCACCTGGCCTTTTGCTTTCAGACACTTAATACTGTCAAATTAAACACCACTGGGGCTGGAAAGATGGCTCAGAGCACTCACTGCTGGTTCTTCCAGAGGTCCTGAGTTCAATTCCCAGCAACCACATGGTGGCTCACAATCATTTGTAATGTAGTAGCCTCCAAAGCAACAGAGAAACCCTGCCTAAAAAAAAAAAAGAAAGAAAGAAAGAAAGAAAGAAAGAAAGAAAGAAAGAAAGAAAGAAAGAAAGGAAAAGAGAAGTAGATGGATGAGCCATCCATGCTGGTCCATCCTTAATCCCAGCCCCCAAAGGGGGCAGAGGAAGGCAAATCTCTTGTCAGCTTGAGGCCAGCCTGATATCTATCCATAGCCAGCTCAGCTACATAGACCCTACCTCAAAAACAAAAATGAACAACAAAGACATTGAATGGCTAAAACAAGGAGTATGGGTGACTCAGTAAGAGACAAGTGTAATAGCATTGCCATTTGCTTTTTGTTTTGAAGACAGGGTTTGTCTGTGTAGCCCTGGCTGTCCTGGAGCTCGATCTGTAGACTCACAGATATCCACCTGCCTCTGCCTCCCAAGTGTTGGGATTAAAGGCGTGTGTACCACCATCTGGCCCAGTATTGCCATTTGTGTAATCCTGCATACCACCTAGCTCCTGCTGAGTCACTTTACCCATAGGGCAGTCATTAGGTAATTCTAGGGGTTTGCGTTTGCCAGACTCATGTACTTAAAACAGACGAGGCCATTAAGGGGTCCTCCCAAAGGAAGACATTGCCATTCCCGTATCCTAACCGCTGACTGGCCATTACAAAGGCAGGTGGGCAAGAGAACCACCTGCACACTCCACACCAGGTTCAAAGAGAAGACGAGAGGAGGCCTTTGGCATT